CCACTTGGTAACTGCGCTATAGCCGAATGGCAGCTACAGCAAGATTACCCAGTTTGGGGAGGGTGTCATATGATGTCCACCCAAAACATGCCCTCCCACGTGCCCCAGGGGTGCACACCGGCGATCTCTGTGATTGCTGTGTCTTACTGACACAGCTGAATCACGTGATGAGGTAAAAGGTCAATCACAGTGGCCTTTTACCACGTGATCAGCTGTGTCCAATGACACAGCAGATCACGGAAGTAAATATATGCTGCGAGTTATTGGCAGCGTGCTTTCCTCACACGTGAGGAATGTACTGCTGATAACTGGCAGCTGTCACAGAGGCACAGATCAGCACTGATCATCAGGCACTGATAATCATTGCCCTTCAGTGCCTCCCCACCAGTGCCGCCAGTCAGGGCTGTCAGTCAGTGCCGCCTATCAGTGCACCATCCTTGCTGCATATCAGCTGCAGCATCGCCAGTGCCTCCTCATCAATGCCCATCAGTGCAGCCTATCAATGCCATAAGTGCTCTGCTTATCTGTGGTCCGCCTCATCAGTGCACATCAGTGAAGGAGAAAAAATTACCTGTTTGCAAAATTTTATAATAAAAACAAAGAAAACTTTTTTTTTCAAATTCTTTGCTCTTTTTTGTTTATAGTGCAAAAATAAAACCAGTGGTGATTAAATACCACCAAAAGAAAGCTCTATTGTGTGTGAAATTTTTTTTTTAAATTTCATATGGGTACAATGTTGCATGACTGCGCAATTGTCATTCAAAGTGCGAATCGCTGAAAGCTGAAAATTGACCTGGGCAGGAAGAGGGTATAAGTGCCCGGTAAGCAAATGGTTAACAGGTGGGAAGCCTCACTTTGGTCATTCATTGCATGCGCTGCTAGTAATATGGAGTCATGTTAGAGCAGGGGTGTCAAACTGGCAGCTTTTCAGCTGTTTTGAAACTACAAGTCCCATCATGCCATGGGAGTAATGCTTGTAAACTGTCAGTCTTGCAATGCCTCATGGGACTTGTAGTTTGGCAACAGCTGGATGACTGCCAGTTTGACACCCGTGTGTTAGAGCTTACTGAGCTTCAAAGAGGGCAAATTGTTGTAGCCCGCTTAGCTGTTGCCTCTGTGATTGAAGTTGCCAATTTATTTGCCGTGTGGTAAGGTACAGTATCAAATGTTATGACTGCATATACAGTGTCTGTGTAAACCGTCATTTGATCACCATAAGCGCAGTCGATATGGTCAACCTGACCGATAGAGACTAAAGGACATTCCAAGAATAAGAAAACAACTGCTGCAAAAGTGACTGCAGAGAGCTCAAGTATCTCAGTCTTCTGTATACATCCACACGCCCATTGAAGTACACTACTGTCCATTTTCTATCTGCAAAAAGCTGGATTCTAAACACACAGATGGAACACCCGTGTGAAAAGGGGCCATAGGCGTCTTGCTTTAGGAGTGATTGTTTGCATTTGACAGGTTTGCTCATTTTTTTATTTGTGTACTGCTGGTGTTTTTTTTTCGTACACCACAAGGCATGCCATGGCCAGCTATGGCACTGCCTGACACCACAACACTGAGACACTGTAACCTTTATTGTTCCACATACATAATTTATTATTTATTACAGGTTACTTATATAGCGCCATAGCGCCATCAATTTACGCAGTGCTTTACATATATATTGTACATTCACATAAGTTCCTAACCCTCAAGTGGTGTTGTACAATCTAAGGTCCCTAACTTACAGTCATACACATACTAGGACCAATATAGACAGGAGCCAATTAACCTACCAGCATGTCTTTGGAGTGTGGGAGGATACGGAGTACCCAGAGGAAACCCACGCAGGCACAGGGAGAACATGCAAACTCCAAGCAGAAGGTGCTGTGGTTGGGATTCGAACCAATGACCCTAGTACTGCCAGGCAAAAGTGCTAACCATTTAGCCACTGTGCTGCCTCATAAAGCATGATTACATATCCACATGTGTACATGTCACATGTGTTTTATCTCACATCTTGGTACATAAGATGTGAAAGATTTACAAGCTGTTCATATTGATATTTCTCCTGTTGCTGGTTAGTGACTGGTTGTTTTATGCAGGTTATAATGTATTGCTCTAGTTGTGTGGTAGTACACTTTTCCTCTTCTCCTTCTGGCGCTCCAGGCTGTGGGCAGACCCTTGAAGTCATCATGTACAGTGCAGGGATATTATTTGGACGGACCCTTGAAGCCGTCATGTACAGTGCAGGAATATTATTTGGACAGACCCTTGAAGTCATCATGTACAGTGCAGGGATATTATTTGGACAGAGCCTTGAAGTCGTCATGTACAGTGCAGTGATATTATTTGGACAGACCCTTGAAGTCGTCATGTACAGTGCAGGGATATTATTTGGACAGACCCTTGAAGCCGTCATGTACAGTGCAGGGATATTATTTGGACAGACCCTTGAAGTCGTCATGTACAGTGCAGGGATATTATTTGGACAGACCCTTGAAGTCGTCATGTACAGTGCAGTGATATTATTTGGACAGACCCTTGAAGCCGTCATGTACAGTGCAGTGATAATATTTGGACAGACCCTTGAAGTCGTCATGTACAGTGCAGGGATATTATTTGGACAGACCCTTGAAGTCGTCATGTACAGTGCAGTGATATTATTTGGACAGACCCTTGAAGCCGTCATGTACAGTGCAGGGATATTATTTGGACAGACCCTTGAAGTCGTCATGTACAGTGCAGGGATATTATTTGGACAGACCCTTGAAGTCGTCATGTACAGTGCAGGGACATTATTTGGACAGACCTTTGAAGTCGTCACGTACAGTGCAGGGATATTACTCTGCATTGTGGAGGGGGCAGGAGTTTGCCTGAGAGTACTTTAAAGAGAAGGCTTTGCAGAACCGTTTGCACCAATGGAGAGACTTTGCTGGAGTGAGGACTGAGGTGAGTATTATGTAGCTGATGTAATACAGTTTATACAGCGCTCCCAGCAGGCACATCTCTTAGTAAAGGAAATAGTGTGTTTGGACCAGTTTGGCACATTTACCACACCGCTCTGTGCTGTCATTTCGGCCTGGACAAAAAGTCAAGTCCCAAAGTAAGAAGATGCAGGCACCCGTGACAGCCAAGAATGCTGACAGTGCAACGCTGGAGGGGATCGCTTGGCAGGTAAGTGTACAATAATGTGCTAATATGCAGTGCATACTATTATATTATGACAAACGCTCCCGGGGTTTTTATTCCACTCTAAATTGGGAGTAATATAGGATCCTTAGAAATGTACTGTATGCACCATGATGTAATGCAAGGGCAGAATGAGTTGAGGTTCGGGGTTGATTTTCTAAAGGAAAATAGGCTGTTCACCTTTAGGGCTCATTCACACTTGACTTTATTTCTAACTCTTGCCAAATGCCCCTATAGCTTTTGACAGCGTTTGGGAAGCATTTTTAATGCTCCTCAAACGCTCCCAAAACACCCTATGCGCGTTTTTGAGGCGGTTGATAGGCATTTGCCAAGCGTTAAAACCGCACCACAAAACTCCTATAATGAGGTTAAATGGTATTAACGCTCCGCAACTGCGTTGCAATGGCACTGCGGAGTGGTACCATAGACTTGAATGGGAGGCTTCAACTCCTCCTGACTGGACACGAGGCGTCAGTTTTGCCATGCCGCTAACTCTTCCCTGTGATCAGCACTGTGTGCTGCCATGTGCAGAATTTTCATAGACGTTTGAGAAGCGTTAAAAACGTTTCCCAAACGCCTGTCTGAGGCCTACTGACAAAGCTAGTGTGAACGTAGCAATGTGAAAGTGTTGAGATTTCACTTTGCAAAGAATGCTTACTCATTTCTTTTTCATTTCTTATTCCAAAATATCTTGTTCGTGTCCTCTGGATCCAAGTGACATGCTCTGTTATTGAGTCATTGTCTCACAATCCTAAAACACCACTTAGGACAGACATTAAATGGCTATTAATTGGTGTACACCCAGGTTGGGGTCCACATGCAGGGCAAGGTCGCATTGTCTCCGAAAAGGCCTGACCTGACCCCTTTATGCTCAGCTTGTCTGTGTTCTTCACTGGCCAGTCCTCTTGTTGGCAGCTTGTCATTTTGGCAGCGCAGTGTATTGGAGACGTCACTCGTCAATCATGTGCTAGTAGTTGAGCTGTTTGGCTTGGGCACTGTCACAGGGGAGCAAGTTGCATGGTCCCTCTATAACCAGCAGTGCTGGAGCAGGTGAAGGAGCACTGGCAAGATGAGTGTAGGGAGTGTTGGAGGGAGGGCCTTTTGCAGAGACAAGTAACCTTGCCCTACATGGGTAAGGAGTGTCTTTCTTTGCTTGAATAGTTGAGTTGATTCATTTCCAGAGGCATATTAAGCCATCAAAGTTAACAAGAATTGCTTACACTATAAAAAACAAAACAAAAACAAAGAAATAAAAGCTCCCAGGGGGCAGAGGTTTAATTCCACTTTAAATTGGAAGTAATATAGGATCCTTAGAAATATACTGTATGCACCATGATGTAATGCAAGAGCAGAATGAGTTGAGGTTTGGGGTTGATTTTCTAAAGGAAAATAGGCTGTTCACCTTTAGTGAAAGTGGAGAAATTTCACTTTGCAAAGAATACCTATTCACGTACAAGAAAAAAACAAAACAAAAAAAACCCCTCATTTTTGCCTGCACGTGATTGGATGGTGGGGAGTCAGCAGAGCTGCGTCTCATTCACTTGCAAAGTGAACAGTCTGTTTGCCTTTAGTAAATCAAACCCATTGACTTTGACATTTGTGTATGCTCCATGCTTGGCCTAAGTGTTTTCAGATCTAAAATGCTCCAGGATGCCAACCCATCAGTCATATGATATTAACCTCCCTGGCGGTATTCCCGAGTGTAGCTCGGGGTAAAGTTTCAGCACCACAAGCGGTAACCCCGAGCTACAATCGGGAATACCTTGCAGCGTTGCTCCGGGATCTCTTCTTCTCTTTTCTTGTCCTTCGCTCCTGCGATGTCCCACCTGCAGTGTCCCTGGCAATGTCCGGCTGATGCCAGCATCTGTCTTACGGGTTCCGTTTCCCTGCGACGTCAGGACGTACGGGGACGGAACTGGCGGGAAATTTGAAAGTTGTAAGAGTGACATTCACTGAATTCACTAAAATCACATAGTAAAACATTACTGTATCAAACCATTTCACATACATTTTGTCCCGAGTGCTTTGTCCTGTGCCCTGCCTGCATTTTTACTGTTCTTTCTGTCTGGAAACTGAGAAATGTCCATGGCGTCCAAAAAGTGTCCCTTTAGGTCAAAATCGGTTTTAGACCAGCTAGAGAACAGCGATAGTAAATCAGAACTACTTGCAGAATTGAGTGATAATGATTCGTGGGGAAATTCGTCATCAGACACTGAAAACGATTCTGCGACTTTGCTCAGTGATGTGCGAACTTGGCGCTATATTTCAAATTTCAGTGTTTTTGGTTTGATTACATTATTGAATTAAATTTATTATTATATTATTTTTTATGATTATTTATTAAATTATAATTTATGATTTCGTGTTTCAAATTTTAACATACCCGGGATGTTTACTAGACTCTTGTTCGGACAGATTTCAGTGAGTTATTCCTAAAAATTACAGGCCTACAATAACAAAAAAAACATATTTCCATGCAAAAAAAGTACTGCTTTGAGCACAGAAATATGGACATAATCAGACCGCTAGGGAGGCTACGTTGCCATAGAATACCGATCACTGAGCATGTGTTTGTTTAAAGCTACTTTCATTTTATTTGTTTTTTATTATACCATTTTATGTACTTTTATTTTGTTATCTTTGTTTCTGTGCGCCTGGCACCAGTAGCCCTAGATTCAACTAGACTCTACTAGAGATTTATGCCCTAGCCAAAAAAAAAATGACATACCACAGGCCAGCGTAGTTTTATAGGTAGAATAAACTTAATTCCTAAAGCTGAGTATACACGTTCAGTTTTTTCTTGTTCAGTTAGCGGGTTGAACAAAAAAAAAAACAAACAATTGACAGATCCCTGCATTACCACAATACATGATATGGGGATCTCTTCTGCAATGGCTGCAAGCACTGATTAAATGCTGTTTTTTCAGCAAATTTGTTTGACAGAAGCCAGTTGATAAACTGGCTTCTGTTGGACTGCCAACAGTACACATGTACCAAAAGTTTGGTATGTATTTATCGTGGTTAAGAGTCTATATATTACATTAATCTCGTGACTAATGTACAGTGATCTACCTTGTGTAAACTCAGCAGACGGCATACTTTGACAGCCTTTGTCAGCAGAAGACACACAGCCCAGTGTTGTGTGAGATGATGGGTGCGGATCTACTGTATACTGTGTAGCAGATTAGATCTACCTCCAACATACCAGTTGTTCATGCAAAGACAAATTATTATTATTATTATACAGTATTTATATAGCTCCAACAGTTTGCTCAGTGCTGTACAATATAATGGGAGACAGTACATGAGACAGCACAGTAATAATACAATACACGAGGGGTTCGAGGGCCCTGCTCCTTGGAGCTTACAATCTAGGAGAAAAATGTGTACATTACAAATATATATACCTAATGAGTTGCCTAGATTGATTTTCCTTAAAGTGATATTAATGGCATTTGTTTTAAAATGACAAACACAATATAATTTCCTGCTTTATGCAGTTGCTTTGCACAGAGCAGCCCTGCTTCTCCTCCTCTCAGGTCCCCCACCAGCAGAACAAGCAGCATGCTGTCGGGGCACTGAAACAGGCTCACTCCTGAGCCGCTGCTCTGAGTGTCCATTCACGCACAGAGTTACTGCTTGACCCCCCCCTCTCATTGGTTTACTGGCTGTAATTGACAGCAGCAGGAGTTATTAGCTATCTCAGCCAATGAGACGGAAGAACAAGCAGCGTGCTGTCGGCGCACTGAAGCAGGCTCACTCCTGAGCCGCTGCTCTGCGTGTCCATTCACACACAGAGTTACTGCTCGACCCCCCCCCCCCCTCTCATTTGGTTCACTGGCTGTTATTGAAAGCAGCAGGAGCTATTGGCTATCTCAGCCAATAAGAAGGGAGAACAAGCAGTGTGCTGTTGGGGCACCAAAGCAGGCTCACTGCTGAGCTGCTCTGCATGTCCATTCACACACAGGGTCACTGCTCGACCCCCCCCCCCCCCATTGGTTCACTGGCTGTGATTGACAGCAGCAGGAGCTATTAGCTATCTCAGCCAATAAGAAGGGAGAATCCCCAGAGAGCCAGGGTTCATGATGGGGCTCAGGTGAATATTGGGGGGGCCGCTGCACATGGAAGGTTTTTTGCTTTCATGCATAGGATGCATGAAGGTAAAACCCATGAGCCTTTACAACCTTTTTAGGTATAAAGAAAGTCGGAATTCAATTGACTGACTGATATTTTCACTCTTTTTTTTATTCCAGCCTCATAATTATCTGTACTGATCAGGTTTATGAAGTGCCATGAGGAATCCAGCTGTTAAGTTCTGGGAGTTTTCTGATAAATGGCTGCAGATTTCAGCTTTCCTTCCAAATCTCTCGTCCTAACACTTTTTGTATCAGCTTGACACCTAGCATACTTAGCTTGTATTTGCTGCCTCATTACTTCACTCCTTTCCACCAGAAGTACACGTGTGAACTTCTATGCTGCTGTGCACTTTACAGTTGATTTTTTTCATCATTCCATTGCATATTGTAGTTATATAGCCAGTGATCACTGTTGTCATAAAACATTACCAGGTTGCATGTTTTTTCCCTCGTGTAGAGGCCCCATGTGTGCTGCAGATTTATATTAGAACCTGGCTGCGATTATATGCCCTGCGTCCAGAGCGGATCTCTCACGTGTCATCACAGCATGAGCAGCCACGTGGGTGAGAGAGATTTGCTTGCAATGGGGCTGTCTCTCGCAGCTAACTGCAGGAACACCCACTGGAGTTCTCACATATAAACGCAACCAGGATACATTTGCAAGTATGAATGCACCCTTAGCAAACACCTATGTTCACTTTGCCCTGCACCCTGTTGAACTGAGTATTGTAACAGCTCATTCAACAACCTTTTGTAATGACTACTCCTTACTAAAACTGGGCCTGATTACAACACAGCATGAGCATTGATGCAATCAGCATACCCTTATGTAGGCCATAGACGGTTCGTTTATCAGCCGAATGTTCGTCCGCACGAAAAATTGGCTAATATTCATGCCGTCGGCTGTTTTTCGTGAATCTTCTCGTTGCTAGAAAATCCAAGAAAAACAGCCATTTTTCGTAGACATTGGTGGTGGCAACGGCAACAACAGATTTTTCGTTTATCAGTCGATAAACGGCCCGTCTATGGCCAGCCTTAGACCTCATGCACACGGGCATATGAATTTATGCTCCAAATGTGCTGGATGTTTTCTGCTGGAACTTGGTTGAAAAACATCCCTCTAATTTCACATATGTACACATGTTTATGCAGATTTGGCTTTGAGTGTAAATGTGTTCTACTGGCCAAAATATTAATTTATTCTGGCCATTGGAACACGTTTACACTCATACACGTTAATTATTCTCGTAGGCTCCCCTCTGAACGCAGCTTTGGTGCATTTTTTTTATACTGATCTAAACATCTGATGTGCATGGCCACTTAGGCTAACACAGAACTGCATTTAGAGGCAAAAATAAGAGGCCTCTGTTGTTTTAACAGCAGCATTTTTTTTTGCCCGTGTACATGAGGCCTAACAAACTGATACACTGGGCAGTATGGGAATGTAGCCTGTAAGATACAACAGTACGCATCGTACAAATTGTCCCTGGAAACAGCTAGACCTTTTTTTTTTTAACTTAATAATGTGAATGATTCCACATTTGCGTCTGTCTTCATTTAATGATCTCCTACCCACCTTCTGAAGAGGGAGCTGGATTAAAGCAATAGTAAACCACAGCTTGCAAAAAGAAAAAAAAAAATTCCATGCAAGGTAATGTTATAATATACTAGTATGCATTGCATTCTAACACATTAGGAAGGACTTAATTTAAAACAAATTCCTCCACAGACCTGCTGTCATTGCTGCAGAGGTTTCCATTTTCACCAGGTCTTCCTTCCAAGTTCGCGAGCTCTGGCCTTCTGACTGGCCGAGGCACGATCATGTCACTCCCGCACATGCGCGCGAGAGTCTCAGGCCACGGGTATGCTGTTCCTTTAGAGCACATGCGCAAGCGGTGTATGTTTAGGAGAAATTCATTTTACCTACAGTTAAGCTTATGATAAGCTTGCTTGTAGGTAAAAGATACAAAAGTGGGTTTAATTCCACTTTAACTACTCCCTTGATATGAATTACATCTTTTATTATGTCCAAGGATACCAAGCAACTTTGACACAAAGTTTTAGGCAGCCCCCAGCAGGTTGAATGAAAAAAACTGACTCTATTCCCCCCATCCACTCACTCCATGTGGACCTGGGAATCTGACAGCGGGGAGATTTCCTTACCATCAGAGTACACCAATCTGCATTGCAGGTTGTAGCCTGTAGTGCTAGTTGAGCATAGAAAATCCATCAGAATGGCTGTACAGAAATCGATCAGTAGATCGACTAAACCTCTAGGGGGGGTGCAGGGGTGGGCTGTGCCCAAGATGTTATTTGCTTCCCCACCAATGTCTCTGAGAGTGCATCCATGAGCCATGAATCTGTTGGGGTAACTTGATGTAAGAGGGCATAATTGATGTAAAAAGACACTTTCATGGGGACAGGTAATGTAAGGGGGCACACTGAGGGGGCATTTGTTGTAAAGGGGCAATTCTGATAGTGACCCTGATGTAAAGGAGGAATTTGGTAGGGACACCTGTTATAAGGGTTGTTCATCCTAATCAAATGACAACCCAATACTTGCTAAATTTCCCTCTATTCTACCAGTTAGATATTACTTCCTGGTCATAACTGGTCAGAAGTGCGTCTGATGACCAAGGGAATACTGGTTCCCTGCATCTGTGACGGACTGTCATTGACTTACACTCCATTGACCTTATGCCCTCTGACTTTTCTTTTTACTGCACCCCCAGATCAGAGTTAGATTTGGCCCGGATATAAATAATCATTTATTGATCACTGCTGACCCTTTGAAATAGCTCATTCTAAGGAAGCAGGAATCCTAGCCCCACCCCTGTTACCCCTCCCCCCATTTACCTTCCCTGGCCTTCTCTCTTTCTTGCCCCTCATTACTCTTTATACAACTTTCTCTTTTATTTCACCTACTTTCCTTCTGTGTTTCCTGGGTGATTTTGGAGCCTCTTTACTTACCCCATTACCTAACATACTATACCCATGCCATCTCGCTCTAATCTGTTTCCAATTCTTAGTCCCTCTTAACCAGGGGGGTGTTTGACTCATAAATATCTACTGTCAGCTGCAAGAGACTTAATACCCCAAGAATGTAGGTCACGTTCTGCAAGGTACACAACATGAAGGCAGTAGATGTTTGCTATGGGTTGGATTTCCCAACCACTTTGTTCCGTACTATCCTTTCTGGTCAACACTGTTGCGGATGGGGGAATCGCACCTGTTCCCACAACCACCCGCAGCCAAAATGCGCAGCTCTTTAAAAACGTGCAGGGTTGACATTCATTCTTAATGGCACCCCCACACATCTTAAAACACATATGCGGGTGTGGGAGCCGCAGGGAAATTTCTTGGCCGCTGCATTTTTTTCAAGTGCTATGCCGACCAAACCAGCCCTATGGTTTATGCTGAGATCAAAACAAGTGCTGTTGTTGGTGACCTATTGAAAATGCTCTTTTCTGTACTGTCAGTTTGTTTCTCCGGTTTCAGTCACTGACCCGGGCAAGTATGCTGTAGTGAAATTAAAACTCTTCAGCTGCATACTTGTTTTCTGGATTAGGCATTCAGAAAACATTGAACCAAGATCAGCATGAGAGCAGAACACAGTGAATTTCCATAAGGAAGCCAATTATGGCAACCTACTATACTTTACTGATAGGGTAGTGTATGCAGACTTGCAGCAGAGGTAATGGGGCAATCGGCAATGAATTTAAACTTGCGGGATAAACATAGATCATACTCATAGGTCTATGCTCAAAATATAGTCTATAGACAAAAAAGGTTTTAATAAATAAATGGACCACTCATCTATGTTTCTCCATATTTATATGTTCTTTAATGCAGATGGCTGCTCGATCGCCTGGCAACAAGCTGGTGTCAGAGAAAACTTGGGGCTGAATTAAGAATCGGGAGTCTGGGGTTCCTACGGTTCAAAACATCAGTCTGAAGTTTGGAAAGCAACAGCAACAAACCTTGGTGAGTATGTGATGAGTTTCCTGTGAAGCGAGCTGAACAGGAACTGTTTTTCCTATGTTCCCTCTGCATCCCTGGGGTGATAAAACATTCAGTAAAGAAGGAAAATCACTTCTGAACGTGTCTTAACATTTTCCTGTTTCCTGATATCTTGACATCGGCAGTGGGGTTTAATGGAACAGGTCATGTATCTTTTTCGTTCTCTAAACAGAATTTGCAAAAAAAGCTGGTTAGGTGGCCAATGTGCTGATTTCCTTTAACATATGCCCAGAATAATGTGTTGCCTGTACCCACCCTGTTTTAAAGGGTAAGCACACATTTAAAAGCATTTTCAGAATTCAGCTACTGCAACTTTCCTAATCTAACCACATACTACAGACGCTGAGAAGAGATACCGTATTTTTTGCTCCCATAAGACTCACCTAGATTTTAGAGGAGGAAAACAAGAAAAAAAATATTCTGAACCAATGGACTGCAGACATAGTACAGGAGATGACCAGATACTGCAGACATAGTACAGCAGATGACCAGAGACTGCCGAAATAGTACAGGAGATGACCAAAGACTGCGGATATAGTACAGGAGATGACCAGAGACTGAAAACATAGTACAGGAGATGGCCAGAGACTCCAGACATAGTACAGGAGATGACCAGAGACTGCGGATGTAGTACAGGAGATGACCAGAGACTGCGGATGTAGTACAGGAGATGACCAGAGACTGAAAACATAGTACAGGAGATGGCCAGAGACTCCAGACATAGTACAGGAGATGACCAGAGACTGCGGATGTAGTACAGGAGATGACCAGAGACTGCGGATGTACTACAGGAGATGACCAGAGACTGCGGATGTACTACAGGAGATGACCAGAGACTGCGGATGTACTACAGGAGATGACCAGAGACTGCGGATGTACTACAGGAGATGACCAGAGACTGCGGATGTACTACAGGAGATGACCAGAGACTGCGGATGTACTACAGGAGATGACCAGAGACTGCGGAAGTACTACAGGAGATGACCAGAGACTGCGGATGTACTACAGGAGATGACCAGAGACTGCGGATGTACTACAGGAGATGACCAGAGACTGCGGATGTACTACAGGAGATGACCAGAGACTGCGGATGTACTACAGGAGATGACCAGAGACTGCAGAAGTACTACAGGAGATGACCAGAGACTGCGGATGTACTACAGGAGATAACCAGAGACTGCAGAAGTACTACAGGAGATGACCAGAGACTGCGGATGTACAACAGGAGATGACCAGAGACTGCGGACGTACTACAGGAGATGACCAGAGACTGATGACACCAGAGACTGCAGGGGAGAGGGGTGGGTGGTTGGGGGGGCGGGGTACCCGAATTTGACAGGTACCTCCACGTAGTCTTGTGGGACACGTGACAGGGTCAAGAATACGACGGGGTCATTCACAAAACGCAGCTCTTCTCGCACATGCGCAGTGGGCACCTGGCTGTGAAGCCGCAAGCTGTCGCAGCAGGGTGCCCACACTGAAGATGCCGGCGCCGGGGAGAAAAGACGGCCAGTGAAAGCAGAACACTGTTGGACCGAGGAACAGGTTCTTCTGCACAGCAGAGCCAAGTGGCCGGCTCGGTATTCTAACACGGCGGCGGGAATACCGGGCCGGCCGCTCCATATTTGCTCCATAAGATGCACAGACATTTTCCTCATTTTTTGGGGGGGGAAAAAGTGCGTCTTATGGAGCGAAAAATTCGGTAATTTCAAACTGGGCAGAGGCTGGCAGATTGGTCACATCCTGAGCACCTCCAACTTGCTTGCAGTCCATTGCATGTTCTGTAGGATGCTGAAGAACAATGGCCCTCTCCAAATCAAGTCAAATGCATGTGCCAGACATGACTGATTCTTTGTCATTCACACAACCACCATATAGGCCTGCAAACCTCGTATGTCCTAATTTGTGGTGTTCACGTTTGGGGATCTTTGATTCTTTATCTCCTGGTACAGTTGCCAAATTACAAAGCAAAATTGGGGCACTCAGGATGTGTATGCTTTGTCTGCTCTGGACTAGTATTAAATTTAGTGTTACTAAACCCACAACAGTAAAATCAGTCTGTATATGCAGTAAAGCATGCTTGTTATACTCCTGTGGAACCTAAGGGGTTAATCCTCTGCATTGTGTAAAAAGGCTGTGTGATCCTGTATTTGCTGATCCTCCTCTTCTTCTACAGTCCGCAATCCATCTGCTGATAAAACAGAGCCTTGTGGGCAAGTTGCACATGATAAATTTGGTGTGTATGGCCAGAGAGTTTTTTTTTTTCTTGGGAGAGTGCATGTGATCAGCACAGGGCCAATCAGCGCTGTCTAGACAGAGGGTCAAGGCTCCTGCAGCCTCATAGGACAATTAGTGGAGAATGAAAACCCCCACGTACAAGCTTTAACCAATGCTTTGCTGGACACTTATAAAAGTCACAGACTGCTATAACTGCTGATGAGAAAAGGTATTTAGCAGTTTATATTTACTAAAATAATTGCACTTCCATGTTGTGTGTACTGTGGGAGACCAGATATAGTGAATGAAGGGTCCTGGGTTTAGTAACACTTTACCTGTTCTCAACATATTTAGATATAGGCTTCTGTTTAGATTAGTTGCTGCACAGGGTTTGGGGTTAAGTTCTGAAAGTGCAATTAAGACAAATCTGTTAGGGAGAGGGTATTAAACAGCCAGCAGGATCAGAAATCCTGATCTGTTAGTGCATATGTATTAGCAGGTTTAGATATTGTTGTAGGAGAAGGGGGTACTTATGCTTATGTTCTGATCAACCATCAGAAAGTCGCTGTTTGCATATTCACTTGAAGTGTTGGCTGTCTGAACCTCCTGGTTGTATCCCCCCCCCCCCCCCAGTTAATTTTAAAGTTGCATTTATTATTAAGGCTCTGTGCACACTGGCTTAAAAAAAACGCCAGTGCTGTTGGCAGAAAAAAAACGCTGATTTTGACTGGTTTTTTTGTACTTGTGTTCAGAAGCGTTTAGCTTTTCTTTTCTGCCAAAAAATGCAAAACAGAAGGGTTTTTTTCTGCCTCTAAACGCTGAGCTTAAAAATGCCTCTAGACTACCTAAAGTACATGGACGCATAGGATAACATTAGTGGCTTCTACAGGCAAAACACTAGGAGTTAAGCCGGTGTGCATGGAGCCTAAACATCATTGGGAGTCAGAAGGAGGTGTGCTGTGCCTATCTCCCCTATAGAAAGAAATTCCTGGAGGATTAGTTTCTAATTTATTTTCCCTGTGTGGTTACTGTGTTAAAGGAATGGGAGCTCTGTGAACCGTTGATTGGTGGTCTTCATCAGCTTGGTTATTTTTGTGATTTAATGCTGGTTTGACGTTGACGATTGCCATATGTATGACCAGCATATGTGTTTCTTTTTTCTGAAAGGGTTTGTGCATGTTTGTGGAATTGCTGCTGTTCTGTTGTTTGGTCAGTTGAGCCTAGCTTAGCTGACATCTTCAAAAGGCCAGAAATCTTCATTTTCTTCCTTTCCAGTTATGCTGTAAACACCACTGTAATGTGATTTTTTTTTTTTTTTTCTATAAAGGAAATTGATAGTATCTGGGTGTCTAGCAAACTACTGAATCATGAGTTACAGTAAGTATTTCCCTTTTCCTTTTATAGTTCATGTGTGTTTTGTCTGTCCTTGGGCAGATGTCCTCATCTAGCATTTACAGTGAGGAACAAAAGTATTTGAACACCCTGCGATTTTGCAAGTTCTCCCACTTAGAAATCATGGAGGGATCTGAAATTCACATTGTAGGTGCATTCCCACTCTGAGAGACAGAATTTAAAAAAAAAAATTCAGGAAATCACATTGTATGATTTGTAAAGAATTTATTTGTCTTGCACTGCTCAACATAAGTATTTGAACACCTGAGAAAATTAGTGTTAATATTTGGTACAGAAGTCTTTGTTTGCAATTACAGAGGTCAAACGTTTCCTGTAGTTCTTGACCAGGTTTGCACACACTGCAACAGGGATTTTGGCCCACTCCTCCACACAGATCTCCTCTAGATCTGTCAGGTTTCGGGGCTGTCGCTAAGCAACACGGAGTTTCAGCTCCCTCCAAAGATGTTCTATTGGATTTAGGTCTGGAGACTGGCTAGGCCTCTCCAGAACCTTGATATGCTTCTTACGGAGCCACTCCTTGGTTATCCTGGCTGTGTGCTTTGGGTCGTTGTCATGTTGGAAGACCCAGCCACGACCCATCTTCAATGTTCTGACTGAGGGAAGAAGGTTGTTGCTCAAAATCTCACAATAAATGGCCCCATTCATCCTCTCCTTAATACAGTGCAGTCGCCCCGTCTCTTTCGCAGAAAAGAACCCCCAAAGCATGATGTTACCACCCCCATGCTTCACAGTAGGGATGGTATTCTTGGGATGCAACTCATCCTTCTTTTTCCTCCAAACACGACGAGTGAAGTTTAGACCAAAAAGTTCTACTTTGTTCTCATCTGACCACATGACTTTCTCCCATGCCTCCTCTGGATCATCCAGATGGTCTTTGGCAAACTTCAGCTGGGCCTGGACATGTGATGACTTGAGCAGGGGAACCTTCCGTGCAATGCATGGTTTGAAACCATGACGGCGTAGTGTTTCTACCGACAGTGACCTTTGAAACTGTGGTCCCAGCTCTCTTCATGTCATTGACCAGCTCCTCCCTTGTAGTTCTGGGCCGATTCCTCACCTTTCTTATATCAGTGATACCCCACGAGGTGAGATCTTGCATAGGAGCCCCAGTCCGAGGGAGACTGACAGTCGTCTTTAGCCTCTTCCATTTTCTAACAATTGCTCCAACAGTTGATCTATTTTCACCAAGCTGCTTGGCAGTTGCCCCGTAGCCCTTTCCAGCCTTGTGGAGGTCCACAATTTTGTCTCTGGTGTCTTTTGACAGCTCTCTGGTTTTGCCCATGGTAGTAGTTGGCGTCTGACTGACTGTGCGGTGGACAGGTGTCTTAAAAGAGCTCAGACAGGTGATACTAAGCTAGATTAATGAGTGGAGTAGAGGTGGACTTTTTAAGGCACAGTAACAGGTCTTTGAGAGCCAGAATTCTTGCTGTTTCTCAGGTGTTCAAATACTTATGTTCAGCAGTGCAAGACAAATAAATTCTTTAAAAATCATACAATCTGATTTCCTGAATTTTTTTTTTAATTCTGTCTCTCAGAGTGGGAATGCACCTACAATGTGAATTTCAGACCCCTCAATGATTTCTAAGTGGGAGAACTTGCAAAATCGCAGGGTGTTCAAATACTTCTGTTCCTCACTGTAACTGTGTCGCATATACTGTATGATGCTTGTCTAGAAATTTGTTTAGAATGCAGTTCTTGCACTGCATGCATTATCTAGTGATTGTGTGTGCTCTTCTCAAAGAACAACCTCAACATTTCATAATCCTGATATGTTCCTGCTGTACCATGTATGAAAAAGTATCCTGTTCTCTTTGTGTTGCTTCCTTTGTGTAAAATCCCTGGTGTTCCTGCCAGTTCCTCTGCTTTTCTATTAAGTTGACCACACCATGCGGGAGAATGAATGGTCAGCTCTCCAGCTGTGCTGGGAACTCAGCTTGCTCTCCTCCAATGATCAGACTTGTCCTGATTGCCCCCCCCCCCTTTCCCCCACACAGCCTTTTATTGGGAAGTTTAGTGTAGTTCTGTTTCTCCTCCCCCAGCTCCTGTTCAGCTGAGAACAGAGGATATGTGATCACTTATAAGAAAGGGGGAAAAAAAGTATTTATAATGTTTTTTATATCTATACACAAATGTTTTGCCTTACATTTCAATTTTAAACTGAATGGTTATTTTACAAGGTGAGGGTTTACATCCACTTTAAATCCTTTTTTTTTTTCTTTGTAGTCACTACTTTGCCCTGTGTTTTGGAGAGGTGCGTATTAGAACAGACCTTCAAGGATTATCGCTGCCTCACCAAGGGACACCCAAACCTCCTTCAGGAGCTGCCCCAGGTGGCAGTGGGGACAGCACATCAATTAGTCCATCAATGCTGAAAGTCGTAACACAAGTAAGTTTTGTGGCTCCAAAACTGGCAGATGTTTTCAAGCATGGTAAATGTAACACAAATGGTCAGTTTTGTTTTTTTTTGTCTCACAAAAAAAGTAACATTTGCCTTTTCACACTTTTTCAACAATTTCAACAGTTTTTTGTTTTTTTTTCAACAATTTTGAAAGTGTCTGTGTACTTGGATACTTAAGAACTTTTGAGCAACTCAAGCACTCATCATTGCACATTTACAAACCCTACTCTTCCCAGTACTCCCCTGATAGTGACATGTGACTTTCAAATTGGGTACATATTAGGCCACGTCTGTACAGTTTGCTTTCCCATAACGTATTCTATTCCTACCTCTGATCCATCAGCATTTGTTTGTGTACTGGCTTCCACAGGTCCTATTATATGCAAACCTATATTTTTTTTACCAAAATTAAATTTTTAGTACCCAACACAACTTCTAAAATTGGGATACCCTTAGAACACAATGCTGTCTTTGTGTCTGAGTTGGAATCAACTGCAAAGACCTTATCACTGGAATCTCTGAGAGATGTACGACACTGAAGGAATTATTTGTCATCTGCCTATATCTGAAATCTGAGTTTTAAATGAATTCATGACTATCGCTCATATAAACCATATAATATATGACTATGGTTATAAAAATGTCAAATTTGATATTGTGTGCCATGGCACAAGATAACAATATATTGGTTTTCAGCTGTCTTGGACCATTAGGCTTGTCAGGCTCTTGACCTACCCGTTGCCTCGGAAAGGACTTTGCTTATTAATAAGTAAGAACTGTAGGCTTAGTAAAGGAGACCATTAAAGATAATTTATGAAGTTTAACCCCTTCATGTCTAAGGGTAAAACAAATGTAAATGCCAAAGCACAATTCTGCAACGTTGACATGTGATAGTAAAGCTGTACTTTGTACATCTAGGTGGATTATACCATGATTTTTTCAGGACAAATTGGGCTTTCATTTGGTGGTAAATGATAATGGATAGCGCCTAATTTTTTTTACTATCAAAGGAAAACTGGCCCAAAATAGTAAAAAAAAAAAACATTTTTTTTATTTAGCTATGTGTTTCTTGTTACGACCATAACCTACCACCAAAGAACAACCCAAAATAAATTCTCCAGCTCTTGATGATCGCAGCAATACCATATACAGTCAGGTCCATAAATATTGGGACATCAACACAATTCTACCATTTTTGGCTCTATACACCACCACAATGGATTTGACATGAAACGAACAAGATGTGCTTTAACTACAGACTGTCAGCTTTAATTTGAGGGTATTTACATCCAAATCAGGTGAACAGTGTAGGAATTACAACAGTTTGCATATGTGCCACCCACTTGTTAAGGGACCAAAAGTAATGGGACAGAATAATAATCATAAATCGAACTTTCACTTTTTAATACTTGGTTGCAAATCCTTTGCAGTCAATTACAGCCTGAAGTCTGGAACGCATAGACATCACCAGACGCTGGGTTTCATCCCTGGTGATGCTCTGCCAGGCCTCTACTGCAACTGTCTTCAGTTCCTGCTTGTTCTTGGGGCATTTTCCCTTCAGTTTTGTCTTCAGCAAGTGAAATGCATGCTCAGCCCGATTCAGGTCGGGTGATTGACTTGGCCATTGCATAACATTTCACTTCTTTCCCTTAAAAAACTCTTTGGTTACTTTTGCAGTATGCTTTGGGTCATTGTCCATCTGCACTGTGAAGCGCGTCCAATGAGTTCTGAAGCATTTGGCTGAATATGAGCAGATAATATTGCCTGAAACACTTCAGAATTCATCCTGCTGCTTTTGTCAGCAGTCACATCATCAATAAATACAAGAGAACCAATTTCCATTGGCAGCCATACATGCCCACGCCATGGCACTACCACCACCATGCTTCACTGATTAGGTGGTATGCTTAGGATCATGAGCAGTTCCTTTCCTTCTCCATACTCTTCTCTTCCCATCACTCTGGTACAAGTTGATCTTGGTCTCATCTGTCCATAGGATGTTGTTCCAGAACTGTGAAGGCTTTTTTAGATGTCTTTTGGCAAACTCTAATCTTGCCTTCCTGTTTTTGAGGCTCACCAATGGTTTACATCTTGTGGTGAACCCTCTGTATTCACTCTGGTGAAGTCTTCTCTTGATTGTTGACTTTGACACACATACACCTACCTCCTGGACAGTGTTCTTGATCTGGCCAACTGTTGTGAAGGGTGTTTTCTTCACCAGGGAAAGAACTCTTTGGTCATCCACCACAGTTGTTTTCCATGGTCTTCCGGGCCTTTTGGTGTTGCTGAGCTCACCGGTGCGTTCCTTCTTTTTAAGAATGTTCCAAACAGTTGTTTTGGCCATGCCTAATGTTTTTGCTATCTCTCTGATGAGTTTGTTTTGTTTTTTTTCAGCCTAATGATGGCTTGCTTCACTGATAGTGACAGCTCTTTGGATCTCATCTTGAGAGTTGACAGCAACAGATTCCAAATGCAAATAGCACACTTGAAATGAACTCTGGACCTTTTATCTGCTCATTGTAGTTGGGATAATGAGGGAATAACACACACCTGGCCATAGAACAGCTGAGAAACCAATTTTCCCATTACTTTTGGTCCCTTAACAAGTGGGTGGCACATATGCAAACTGTTGTAATTCCTACACCGTTCACCTGATTTGGATGTAAATACCCTCACATTAAAGCTGTCAGTCTGCAGTTAAAGCACATCTTGTTTGTTTCATTTAAAATCCATTGTGGTGGTGTATAGAGCCAAAAATGTTAGAATTGTGTTGCTGTCCCAATATTTATGGACCTGACTGTATATGTATGTTATTTGTTGTTTGTACTCGTAGTACAGCCCAGAAACAATAGTGCGCATTTTGTTTTTGTCTTTTTTTTTCTACCTGACCTAAACACACTGACCCTGACATTAACACTAAATGACACCAAATTTTTTTAAAATCCTGACATTTGACCTTGACCCAACCACTAACCCTGGCTCTGAACTAGATCAAACCTTGATCTAGGTATTTTTCTTTTTAGTTTTATTTTTTAATATTTATTTATCTTTTTTTTTTTTTTTTTTACAAACATTTTTTTTTTCTCTGTATGCCAGGAGTTAGAGAGATACAATGTATCTCTCTTCTCCATTCATAGAGAGAGAAAAAACAAGGGGGCCGGGCTGCACAGTGATTGATCAGAGGCTATCACAGCGATCACGTGACCCGGAATCAGGAGTCCCAGGTCCTGATCGTTAGAATGGGACCCGGAGCTCTCAGTGACACCTCGGTCTCTGTGCTGGGAGCGCGCCGAGTGGCGCGCTCCCAGCACAAAGACAGGTATGCAAATATGCGGCACCACGGAAAAAAGCCCAGTTCCGTGAGGCCGCATATTTGTGTGCCGTCGGCGTCAAGGGGTTAAAGCAGATGGGCGCTATAGGAACATTTTCTGCAGATGTTTCAAAAACAGTATAGCTTTAACTTAAATAGATAGTATTTTAAAGGTTTGTTGTTTTCCATAGCAACAATTGAGTACTGTCCGTGATACTTTTTTTATTTTCACTAACATACAATTTTGAGGACAAGCTTTCGGGGGAATGTCCCCTTCTTCAGGTCTAAGCAGTACTGAAACAAAGATTTAGCAGAATGTTAGAAGAGATGTAGGGGATGGGAAAAAAAAAAAAAAAAAGTTAAATTTAAGTGGTTGTAAAGGCTAAAGATGGGTATACAGTAACCAAAAACTGACCAGTTCAGCAGGACCTGGATGAATTTCTGTCTGTATGTACCGCTGTCTGTTCAACAGAAGCAAAAACAGAACAACACAAAAAGATCAAGCCCACATGTTTGTCGCTATAGGAAGCGGCTTTCTGTGGTGGCACACAGAGAGGAGGTGGAGCCAGGAGCATAAGCAGGAAACCCGAGAAGAGGAGGGTTGGGGATGCTCTGTGCAAAACCATTGCACAGAGCAGGTAAGTATGACATATTTTTATTAAAAAAAAAAAAAAAAAGAAGCAATTTTGCTATCACTTTAAGGCGGGAGATTGATTTTATTGAAAAAAAAAAAAAAAAAAAGAACAATATAGAAATGTAATGTATATTTAACCTTATTAATATTTGTCTGTTGCATTTCTGCAGTTGCTGTCTATACATCTGGATTCTGTGAATATTATGGTTCTCAATGTGGCCGAGTCTGAATCTTTGTGGCATGTCACTTTTTCGAAGATAGATGTAATACTGGACAGTGATGGGAAAAAGTAGGCAAATACTTTTACTACTAGTGTTAAAATTAGAATATACAGTATATCGAATGCATTTCCATGGTACTTGACTCACTGTAGAAATATGAATGGAATGTAACCTTTGGTGATCTTTGTCAGTTAATGTTTACAGAAACTCTTCTGCCATCAAAACACAGTTGATCTATAGATTTTGGAGTACTGGTCGTTGTGATACAGAAAAAAAGCTTGCTGCTGAAACTGTTAAATCACTAAGGCCCTTTTACTACCTTACTGATTTATAGTCTTAACCCTTTGAGGACCAAAGGACGTATTTGTCCCATGTTAGTAATTGCGTGTATCATCTGATTAAGAACTTAAAACTCTTTTTTTTTTTTTTTTTTTTTTTTTGGTTTGAGTCAAAATATTAGTTCTTATCAACAAACAACAAATGGATCTAGTTTTTTTTTTTTGCCAATTATTTCATGAAATGGCTTAGTTACAGCAACTGAAGTGTACAAACTTTAAAAACAAAAAAATTGATTCTTTTGGCGTTCCAAAACCTTACGGTCCTCAAAGGGTTAACCCACTGAAATTACAGCAAACAACCAAATTGCCAAAAACTGGAACATCCTTGTCAAGATCAAGAGATTAGTTTTTGTAAGCCAGTTTGAGTGAGGTGATTGTAGCCATATTAGTGCATTTGCAACAGGAACAATTGAGTACTGTCTGTGATACTTTTTTTTATTTGCACTAACATACAATTTTGTCCTCAAAATTGTATGTCAGTGCGAATAAAAAAAGTATCACAGACAGTACTCAATTGTTCCTGTAAGCCAGTTTAAAATAGATGTAATCACAATTGCTTAAATCTCATATAGTCTTTAACAATCATAATTAATTTTCAGGTTTTGTTTTTAAATAGCTTTCATTAAAGTACCTGGTAGTCCAGTCATAAATGGCCTTGTCCAGGCTCTTCGTGTTATTGAAAATGAAGATTTGAAGAGCCAGCTACTAGTCTTCCCGAATAATTAGCTTTATTGTAATGAGTAAGAGTACAGATAATATGGCTTACGCGTTTTGGCAATAAGCCTTAGGCTACGTTCACACTAGCTTTGTCAGCAGGGCATCAGACCGGTGTTTGGGAAGTGTTTTTAACGCTTCTCAAACACCTATGAAAATTCTGCAAATGTCAGCACACAGTGCTGTTCACACTGAAGTGTCCTATTGCGTTGCATCGCGGCAAAACTGGCACCTCATGTCAAGTCAGGAGGAGTTGAAGCCTCCCATTCAAGTCTATGGTGCCGCTCCTCAAACACCTGGCAGGCGTTTGCGAGGATTTTGCAGAGCGTTAATACCATTTAACTTCATTTTAGGCATTTGTGGTGGGGTTTTATAACTCTTGGCAAACGCCTCAAAACCATGCATAGAACGTTTTGGGAGCGTTTTGAGGAGCGTTAAAAACACTTCCCAAACGCCTCTCAAACGCCTCTCAAACGCTATAGGGGCGTTTGGCAAGAGTTAGAAATAAACGCGCCCTTAGTTATAGAAATAAGTTATGCTATGACTAAGATTTATTTCCAAAACGCGTAAGCCTTTTAGACTTAGTGGGCATTCGCAAGATGAGATCATTCACTCCATCTTGCGAATTTGATAGTTCAACAATACAGCGAGATCTGCAGGTTAGGCATGAGAGCTCTCTGAAGGCCCCAGTAACATTGCCTTCCCAGAAGGTACGAGTGTGGCCAGGGTACTTCTTCTGTGCCTTTTAGGGAAATAAGGAGGGCAAAACACAAAAAATAATTACATTTAAAAAAATGCATGCTGGTGTGAATTTCAATATATTAGGGGAAAGGTCTGCTTTTACCTATTGCCTGAAATCTTCCAGCTTGTGTTCAGTACTCTAGGTCACTACTGTGGTGCTTCATATGTTGACTGCAGCTTTGAAAGTTGTGCTGATAAGGTTCAGTAGGACAAAACTGACCTGTTTCTAGTCAGGAGGAAAGACAGTCATTTACAGGCCTGACAAAAATGGAATTTGCAGCTGTGATTAAAAAGTGTTGGTGTTTTGGGTCATCTCCTAATTTGTAATTGCTCATTCACACGAGCTTATACACATTTATGGTGGCTTAAATAATATAACCCCATTGCAGTCAAATTTTATATTTTTCAGTTGTAGTTGTCTAGTGGTAATATGATACTGGAACAGAACTAATGGTTTTTACTAGATATGTTGGTAAATGAAGCCAACTCTGCAGATAGTGAATGCATGGAATTACTAATCATTTCCTTTTTTTCTTTCAGGATAGACTACACAGTGAATCTTAACCAACTAACCAGCAAATTACTAAAAAGCAGTAAGCAGGTGAGAAGTTTGTCAAAGAATACTAAAGCTTAATGTAAGCTCTATTATATTACACTTCCATGCTGTTCAGCAATTTCCAAAGGACATGTCTATATAGCCCCCACCATGACTGTACAGACATACTCTAGGACTGATTTGGGTAGAAGTCGGTAAACCTTCATCTATGTGTGCATTTTGGGAGGAAGCCACCATGGCAAGATTCAATTTATTTGCACATATACAAACTACATATAGGCCATGCTTCTGACAATAAAGGAAACCACAAATTCAGGAACACCGGCCTCTGATACCCACATTGCCGCCATGCTACCAATATAAGAAAAAACCTTATTAAAATTCACTGGTTGCAAATAAGCTTACTGGTAATGAAGGAAATTGATATTTACATCACATTTATTATTGTGGGCGAAGATATTTTCTTTCCTCAATCTCCTGCCTACTAATGCATACAACTTTTCTTCATGCTCTCTCTAAAACTAAACGTTTGCCCTCACGTTTTAATCAAATGTTCATAGAATACATCTGAACTGCTATATTGCAGTAAATTACATTTACTACCAGAACTTGTTCTTTTTTAACTTTGAACCAGCATCTGCAATGGGTATAGAAAAGAATCACACTGTTTAAAATAATCACATTTTGTTGCTTTGCAGCCTGAAATGAAGACAGACACCGTTTTTGTTTTATCCAGCTGTATTTATTCAGTGAAACATATAACATCCATGTGAAAGATATAACACCAGTTTGTCAGAAAGAGACAAAAAATCAAAAACAGAATCACTGAGTTGGAAATAGGATCAGGCCCTCCCTTCCATCTAAAAATGACTTATAAACTCAATTAGGTATAGCCAATCACCTTCTCTATGGCACACAATGGCCATTTAACTTTTAGCTGTGGTCATTTTGATTAGCTCAGCATGAAAAGAGCTTTCTTAGAGCATGTAAGTCCCTGGTAGTGCATCTGAAGCAAACAATCAACTATGGGTGGCAAGGCACTGTCAAAAGATCTCCGGGATAAAGTTGTGGACAGGCCCAAGTCAAGAGATGGATACAAAAGAATTTCAAAGGCTTTATCAATGCCTAGAAGCACAGTGAAGTCTATTATTAAGAAGTGGAATGTGTTTGGTACAACACAGACCCTCCCTGGATCAGGATGTCGCTCCAAACTGGATGAAAGAGTCAGAGAGGCTACCAAGAGGCCTACAGCAACTCTGAAGCAGTTGCAGGAATGTATGACAAAGAGTGTTCATTGTGTGTATGTGACAACAATATTGAAATTCTTGAGGAAAATCTGCTGCCCTCTGCTAGAAAGCTGTCAATGGGAAGAAGGTTTACCTTCCAACATGACAATAACCCAAAGCACACAGCAAAAATGACCACAAAGTGGTTGAAAGAGAAAAAGGTAAATGTCCTTGCATGGCCTAGTTAGAGCCTAGATTTATACCCCCATTGAAAATCTGTGGAATGACTTGAAGACTGCAGTCCAAAACAGTTACTATCAAATTTAACTGAACTTGAGGAGTTCTGCAAAGAAGAGTGGGCAAATATTGCAAAGTCTAGATGTGCAAAGTTAGTAGAGACCTATCCCAACAGACTAAAGGCTTGTACCACCTTGGCAAAAGGTGGTTCAACAAAATCCTGACACAAGGGAGTGATCCTTTTTCCAATTCAGTGATTCTGTTTTTGATTTTTTTTTTTTTTTTAATTTAAATTTTCTGACATGTTGGTGTTATATCTTCTATACCATCCTGTGTAATTTTCAGGATGGTATAGAAAGAATTGCAAATCATTTGGCAGGTAAAACAGTAAATATCTATTTAGCAGTTTGCTATAAGTTTAGGAAGTTTATAAAGTTTAGCTTTAAAATGATGCTTTTTTTCACAAATAAAAAAGATGTTTTCTTTACCTGCACTGTGCAGTGGTAGTGCACAGAGAAATCCCTTACCTCCGCTTCTGAAATCTGGCACTGTCTGCTGCTTCTTCTGCGTGTTCTCCCTCAACAAGCCGTATGCTAAGGGGGCACTCACGGAGCTGGTAAGCCATGCCCCCGCTCCCTCCACACAGGAGTTTGACTGACAGCAGTAATAGCCTATGGCTCCCTCTGCTGCCTGTGTTTCCTGTGAGGCTAGGAAGTGGAGGAGCAGTGCTGCAGCCAGTACACATTGGAGCGGTAAGAAGAGTAAGGTAAGTGTTTAGGTGTGGAGGGGCTACAAAAGGCAGTGGGAGCATTTTTTAAATTACTGCATAGAATGCTTTAAGGTAAAAAACGTTTTTGACTTTAGAACCACTTTAATTCCAAAAGTTAAATCCATTATAGTTAGGTACAGTGTGCAGAGTAAATTACTCTAATTAAATATTAATTTTATATTTTTTTAATATTCATATTAAATACTCTGTTTAACTATGTTTGCTTGTCAAATGCCAGAATAGTAAATTAAGTCATGGTATTACATTGTCTGCACATTTACCTGTGTATGATATTGAGTGTATAGGAAGTATTAGTATGCTGTTAATATTTAAAGAATATTATTTTCTATGTCCCAAAGGTTTTCTTTTGAATACTTTTCTATCTTAGAACTTGTCTCATATAAAAAATGTTTTTCTGGTGTGACTTCAGGATGAAGCCTGTCTTGCAGAACTGTCCCTGGCTCTGTCTCTGGAGTGCAGCTTTAAGGAAAAGTGCTTGCGTGCAGCCAGTCTGAGGGTGCGTTCCCTACATGTAGAGGTGCATGAAAGTCTCTTCAACAGTGACCTGTTGCAGAAGAAGCTGGTTTCAGCAGTGCAGAGCAACACTGAAGGGAGCTGTAACATTGAGGAACAGGCAAACCTAGGTTAGTACCAAGGATTCCACTGAAAGATAGGTACGTAGTGTTGGCAAGTGTCACCACCAGTGCTTAAAATTTTTGAAACTTTATTGATATTCCATTTGACAGTTTAATGATAATGTTGAACAGTCTACCTCACAAAACAGTTATTTTCCGATTACTGTTTTCAGTATGGGATTCACCTTAGGAACGACATTTTTTTTTTTGTTGCATCTAAAGTTTAAAAAGTCCTCTCAAATTCACCAAAGCTAGTAGTTTCTCTGGGATCATTTGATTGATGTTCCTTTGCACTTGCAGGAGATGCTGAACCTCCCAAGTGGTTGCAGCTTGTTGAGCGGCTTCCTTGTAAGCTGGATGTGGCTTTTGAGAACAGCACTGTGGTCCTGTCTATGAACAGCCAACAGAGGTAAAATCTCAACAATAAATCAAAGGCTGATTATATGTAAATAACACTGTATAGTGACTTTAGCAGAAATGCTGTGCTTCTTCCCAGGCACCTAAACTGGACATTAAAGCTCCTACAATATTCTTATTTACGTGAAGAGGATCAGCTGCCCATGCGCAAGTTCATTGGCACTTCAGAACTTGCTCAAATGACCTCTGAACTGCTAGTGGAAGGTAAGTACTGAATTACTGGAAGGTTAATTGGTGCTAAAGCTGAAAGTGTTATATCTCTACTGAACATTTTTTAACCACTTAACGACTGCCTGCCTGCAATGTACTGTATACGGGCAGCCACCGTAGGCAACGTACCGCTGCTTACTTCAGGGTTTTGTGCGCATGCAGGCGTGCCCCCCGGCCAGCACCCGCGCTGTGTTGACAACACAGAGCTCTGGACAGAGGGAACAATCTCTGTGTTTCTCCTCCCTGCAAAGCAAGGAGGAGAAACTTGGAGATCGATTAGTAAAAGCAGCACACTTTACACATTGGACATAGTTATTCACACATTTAACCTCTTGATCGTCCTAGATGTTAACCACTTCCCAGCCAGTGTCATTAGTACAGTGATCGTGTATAATAACACTGATCACCGTATTAGTGTCACTGGTGGTGGCAGTTAGTTCCTCTCAGTGTCAGATTACCCGCCACACTATCGCAGTCTTCTTATAAGTCGCTGATCACTGCCTTTTAGTAGTATCAAATAAAAATTCCAGATTAAATACCATAGTTAGTAGGCGCTATAACCTTCACGTAAACCAATCAATATACACTTATTGAGATTTTTTTTTTTATCAAAGACATGTAGCAGAATATATTTTGGCCAAAATTTATGATGAAATTAGATTTTTACATTTTTCTTATTAGATGTAATTTATAGCAAAAAGTGAAAAAAAAATTATTTTTCAAAATTGTTGGTCTTTTTTCAATTATATAGCAAGAAATAAAAACCCAGTGGTGATCAAATACCACCAAAAGAAAGCTCTATTTGTGTGAATAAAATTATATACATTTTGTTTGGGTACAGAGTAGCATGACTGTGCAATTAACAGTTAAAGTAGCGCAGGGCGGTATAGCAAAAAATGGCCTGGTCATGAAGGGGGTAAAATCTTCCGAAGCTTAAGTGGTTAATGTAGTGTTGTTTACTGGAAACATATAAGCCATACCTGTGTTCATCACAAGATGATGTCCAAGGGATTTCCAGGATTAATTAAAATTTTAATGTTGCTTTAGAATCTGTAATCCTCCTCTATGTGGAAATCTCATTTATTTTCAGATTTAGGAGCTGTACCTTTTTTCTTTTTCAATAGTTTGTTCTTTTCAAAAACCGTTTCTCATACAAAAGCATATGCCTATTTCTGGGCTCTTTTCTATACTCTGTTAATGTTCTCTAATTCCATATAATAATATTACCTCTGTAATAAGGAAACCTGTATCTTATTCTACCAAACTTTGACAAAACCTATGTATAAATAACTCTTAGATTGTAAGCTCCAAGGAGCAGGGCCCTCCTAACCCTCTTGTATTGAACTGTATTGTTGCTGTATTGTCTCCCGTTATATTGTAAAGCACTGAGCAAACTGTTGGCGCTATATAAATCCTGTATAAATAATAATTGAATACAATTAAGAAGAAGGTAAAAGAGAGGAAGGTAGAAATGTGGAGTGGTGAACCGCACCCCTCCAACTGGAGCTGTTCCTTTTTCATGTTCATACATGACACAGGCAGATTCATAGATAGCTGTGTTACAGGCAGGTACCTTCAGGTGATTGGACACCAGCAAAAGAACTGTGAAGACTCCTTTGTAATGTTACTTACTCCCGCTCCCCACCTCCCAGCAGGCCTAGTTCTTTGCTAATGTTATTTAGGTGTTGGATAGTTCTCTCTACGGGGGAGGGGGGTTATATTGTTTGTTTGTACTCCTTTGGACTCTGGACCCCGTGTTAAGTGCCCACCTTGGCATGCATTGCAGTGTGTTTGGTTTGCCACATAGTGCTATACAGGTCCAAGGCAGAGGTGATCTGCATGAGTGTGCTGTTGGCTGGTTTTGTCGTTTTGCCCTCCACTCATTGGTATTGCTATAGGACATCTCAACTGCATCTGACTTTGCCTGTGTTCTGTAACATATGAACAGTAAAATGTGTTTTTTTTTTTCTAGCCTATAAAATCCTTTCCTTGGAGTAGAATATAAGACACAGTATACTTTCCCTCTGTGTTGTCCTTATTGCTTGCTAAAAGAACTTGAGGCTGCACAGATCGAAAGGGCTGGGACAGTGATAATAATGGGGGATTTTAGCTACTCGCAAATTGACTGGAGTAATGGTACTGCAGGAACAGTGAAAGGGCAAAACTTTTTAAACCTACTACAGGACGGTTTTATGGTACAGTTCATAGAGAACCCAACTAGGAATGATGCTCTGCTGGACCTGGTAATCTCAAACCATGTAATAAAAACCAGTGCTGATGTGACTGTGGGTTGCAATATAGATATTGGTGAGTGATATTGATACTGCAGTACCATGAGGAGTATAATAGATAATCACCCTGCTTGAATAGCAAAAACATGGCTTTATTAGCATACCGACAAACAGTGTCACCAAATGCAATCCTAATGCAGCAGGGTGGACCAGGCTGTAGCTGGAGGAATGTCCATTCACTTCTAGAGTCCCTCGGATCGGGAATGAAAGCCCGATTGATGAACCCGGCCGGGGACCGCGGCGCACCAGAAGGGATGTCACACCTCCGGGGATAAAAAAAGCGAAAGTCTGGCACTGTACATGGACCGCACGCTGAAACTGGTATCCAACACAACGCGTTTCAAGTGCATGCGCTTGGTCAAATCTCAAACCATGCAGAGCTTATTACGAATGTCCATATAAAAGAACATCTTGGTAGCAGTGACCATAACATGATTTAATTTATTGTTAGCTGTAAACAGCAAGCACATATGGGAAATATAAAAACACTCAATTTTAAGAGCTAATTTTGCAAGCCTGAGAGCTGCTCTCCAAGACTTAGACTGGGAGGGAATATTGGCATCAATGAACACAACACAGAAATGGGAGTTCTTCAAAAAGACTGTAAGTGAACACACTGCAAAATACATTCCCATGGGGTAGCAAGTTTAAAAGGCTAAAAATCAAATCTCTGTGGCTTACGGCCAAAGTTAAAAAAGGTATAGATAATTAGAAAAGAGCTTTTATTAAATATAAAAATTAAGGAACGCTATCATCTTTTAAACATTACAAAGAATATAACAAAATATGCAAAAAGGAAATAAAGGCCGTAAAAATTGAAAACGAATGACAGATTGCAAAATATAGCAGGACCAACCCCAAAAAATTCTTCAAATATATTAATAGTAAAAAGGTTCGGTCTGAGCATGTAGGCCCTTTACAAAATAATCTAGAGTGGGTGACTGGGGACAAAGAGAAGGCAAATTTATTAAATACCTTCTTCAGCTCTGTGTATACAAAGGAGCATGGGGGAGCTCTTGTCCATAATGGGCATGGTATTGACACCGCTCCAGATGATCCACATTGGCTCACAATTGATATGATCCAAAAATATTTAGACAGAATAAAGGTGAATAAAGCACCTGGACTGGATGGCATACACCCACAAGTCCTTAAAGAATTGAGCTCTGTTATTTCAAAGCCATTGTTTCTAATTTTTAGGGACTCTTTAATGACTGGCATAGTACCACTGGATTGGCGTAAGGCCAATGTAGTGCCAATATTTAAAAAGGGGTCAAAATCGTTACCAAGTAATTATAGGCCTGTTAGTTATTATTATTATTATACAGGATTTATATAGTGCCAACTGTTTGCTCAGCGCTTTACAATATAATGGGAGAAAATACAGCAACGATACAGTTCAATACAAGAGGGTAAGAAGGGCCCTGCTCCTTGGAGCTTACAATCTAAGAGGGAGGGGTTGGTGGTACAAAAGGTATAACTGTAGGGGATGAACTGATAGGAGAAATAGAAGATTCTGTTATTAGCTGAAGGCGGGATAGGCTTCCCTGAAGAGAGAGATGTTTTCAGAGATCGCCTAAAAGTGGGCAACATAGGCGATAGATAGATATGGTTTGAGAGTTCCAGAGGATGGGGGAGGCTCTTGAGAAGTCCTGGAGACGAGCATGGGAGGAGGAGACAACAGAGCTAGATAGCAGGAGGTCGTGTGAGGAGCGGAGAGGATGGTTTGGGTGATATTTGGAGACCAGATTGGTAATGTAATTTGGGGCAGAGTTACAAATGGCTTTATATGTTATTGTTAATGTTTTGAATTTTATTCATTAGGCAATGGGAATCCAGTGGAGGGATTGGCAGAGAGGGATGGCAGATAAGGAACGGTTAGTAAGGTGGACAAATCTGATAGCAGCATTCATGATAGACTGAAGAGGGGATAGCCTGCGATGAGGTAGGCTAATGAGGAGGGAGTTACAATAGTCAAGGCGAAAGATAACAAGGGAGTGAATAAGTTACTTAGTAATTTCAGAGGTTAAGAACGGGTGAAACTTGGAGATGTTGCGGAGGTGAAATCTACATGATTTGGACAGTGATTGGATTTGGGGCTGAAAGGACAGATGGGAGTGTAGGATTACACCTAGGGGAGGGCTGATGATTGTATTATTGATCTTGATGGAGAAGTCAGGGGAGGGGGCACGGGCTGGGGGGAATACTAAGAGCTCAGTTTTGGAAAGATTTAGTTTGAGGAAGTGGAGTGACACCCATGCTGATATGTCACTTAGTAGGTTAGTAATGCGAGAGGAGACTGAAGGGGTGAGGTGAGGAGTAGAAAGATAGATTTGTGTGCCATCAGCATAGAAATGGTACTTAAAGCCATGGGAGTTTATCAAGTGACCAAGGGAGGAGGTGTAGATGGAGAAGAGAAGGGGTCCAAGGACAGAACCTTGAGGAACCCTTACAGAAAGAGGGAGTGTAGAGGAGGAAACAGAGTTTTATAGGTACTGCTAAAGGAGCTCTGCAATAGGTAGGATGAGAACCAGGAGAGAGCAGAGTCTCGGAGGCCAAGAGAGTGGAGTTTTTTGAGGAGGAGGGGATGGTCAACAGTATCAAAAGCTGCAGAGAGGTCAAGCAGTAAGAGTATGGAGTAGTGGCCATTAGTTTTAGCAGTTAGTAAATCATTAGTGAGTTTTAGTAGGGCAGGTTCAGTGAAGTGTAGTGTGCGAAAGCAAGACTGTAAAGGATCAAGAAGGTTGTTGTATGTGAGGTAGGAGCTCAGGCGATTGTAGACTAAGCGTTCTAAGAGTTTAGAAGTAAACAGAAGCAGAGAGATGGGTCTTAAATTGTTCAGGTTGGTGGGGTCCAAGGAGGGCTTTTTATGTATGGAAGTGATCTGTGCATGCTTTAGAGGGTGGGGAAGGTACCATTAGAGAGGGAGAGATTGAAGATGTGAGTGAGGGAGCATAGGACAGAAGAAGAGGGTGACCGTAGTAGTTGTGAGTGGACAGGATCCAGAGGGCAATAGTAGCAAGGTCAAAAAAGGAAAGTGTTGAGGTTTAGTACAAGGTATGCTAAGTGGGATAGATCTCTGTGTAGCAGAGATGCTCCTACGAATTGCATCAATCTTGTTTTTGAAATGATTTGCAATCTCGTAAGCAGTGAGTGAGTTACTGGGTGGAGGTGGAGAAAGTAGAGTTAAAAGTAGAGAAGAGCCGATGAGCACAGGATGACAAGGTATTAATAAGAGTGACAAAGTAGGCCTATTTGGCAGCATGGAGGGAGGAACTGTATGTTAAGAAAGCAGATTTATATAGAGTGAATGCTTGCTGAGATTTGGTTTTACGCCATAATCACTCCAGTGCACGACTATGTCACTTAAGATTTCTCGTGTCATCAGTCTGCCACGGTTGTAATGGTCGGGGCCTGATACTTCATGTAGCTCGAGGAGTAAGTGAGTCTAGTGTGGATGAAAGCGAACTGTTTTAGACAGCAGTGCCCAGGACAGGGGAGAGATTCTGTCATAGAGGCTGTCAGTTGCAGAGTGGAAAATAGAAGGGTTAAAGTTGTGAAGGTTTCTGTGGGTAACTGGGAGGGATAAGTGTTTGTAGACGTGAACACTGTGAAGGTGATGAGATTGTGATCAGAGAGAGAGGAAAGGGGGCATTTGTGAAGTTGTAGGGAGTGCAAAGATGGGAGAAAACAAGGTCTAGTGTATTCCCATCAGAGTGAGTGGAGGAGTGTATCCATTGTGTTAAGGCAAAAGATGAGGTAAGGGTTAAAGAGTTGGGATGTAGATGGGTTGTTCACATTAATGGGGATGTTAAAATCTCCAAGAATGATAGGGGGTATTTCAGAGGAGAGAAAGTAGGGTAGCCAAGCAAAGAAGTCATCAAGAAAGCGCAACACCGGTCCAGGAAGCTGGTAGATCACTGCAATACTCAGAGAAATGGGAGAAAACAGCCGAATGCAGAGACTCTCGAAAGAAGAGAAGGATAGAGAGGGAGGGGTTTTTTTATGGTTGAACTGGATGGACTTTTCTCTTTTTTTCAGCCAGACTAATATGTAACTTGGAGCAGGAGGGGTTATAGGATGAGGGGTTCTCACAGTTTTTTGCCAGTGTCCAATCACCTGAATGTTCCTGCCTGTAACCCAGTTGTCTCTGAATATGCATATGCCTGTACTGTACTCCAAGAAATTAATTTGGAGGTGATCTTCATATTTCTAAATGATCTAAAGCAGTAATCAAATGTTAATTCATGGAGGCATCTTTTTTTTTTTTTTTCCTTTTTTCCGAAATTCTTTTAGTCGGAATTCAAGTTCATATTACTGCTTCACAAAATATTACCACAGACAATTCCATTGACAATATGTGATAATACATTATTAATGGGAGTAGCATTTACCTATGTAAGTTAATACTGTAATATCTGTCTCTAATTTCTGTCCAGATGGTCTGCTGTTGTCTCAGAGCCGACAGAGAATTGTCTGCTTGAACCACTTAAAAGCCAGTGTACAGGTGAGAGTTTAGGTGGCTAAAACCTTTTCACAAACACTACTAGAATGTAGTATTTTGCAAACATTGCTCAATCGTGTGCCACCATCACAGCCTTCATAGTGTCTGAGTGCTGCCTATTGCTATATTAAAATTTACCATGTTTACCCTAGCTACAATGCCAGTGTCCAGTTAGATATTTTTAATATTTGCAAATGTCCGCTGCAACGCACAAAGGCCCATAAAAATTGTTCCATTATGCTATCTCTGGTATCAACAACAGAGGTCATTTTGTCATCCTGCGTCCTACATAGTCCCACCTACAATGAACGCAAATAGCAGCTGTAGTACACATCCCACACTTTAGGAAACACTGATACACTAAACCAGTGTTTCTCAATGTTTTTTTTAGTCAAGGCACCCTCTACAATTATGGACAGTCCTGAGGCATCCTTATAAATTATGGACAGTCTTGAGGCACCCCATTCTTAAATGTAAAAAACTATTTTAATAGCTTTATATAATGCAGCAACATCAACGCATGTAGGACACCCAACATTAGAGGTGGTTTATTCTTCCAAAGCAAATACACTTTTGCACACTGGTAATGACTAGTATTTCAATGTTTCTCTTCTTCCTCAGCTTCTCTCTCTCACTCAGTTAATGTGACCCTAGTGCTGATGGACAGGGGAAGGTCAAACAAGGATGCTGTGCAGGCAACTGACATCCTACTTATCAACTGATGATGTCATTGGTTGTCAGAACGGCGGCGGCTAGAAGGTTCTAATGCTGCACAATGAAAACCTGTGGCTTTGAGTAACTAAAATGCAGGCTTGTTCCACCTGCTGGCTTGTATACGTGTTTTGGGCAATTTCTAGACATTTTGCCAAGGCACCTCTGAAGAAACCTTAAGGCACCCTGGTTGAAAAAGGCTGCACTAAACGTTTACAACAAAGGCATTTTATAATCTGTCCTTTGCATTTATTAAATAGCCTATCTTCTGAACAAGGTTGTCATGTTAATATGTACATGATGGTCAGTGTGTAGTTCTCTTACATAGTTTCCTTGGTGGTAAAAACCCACATTGTTTTGTTAGATTTGGATTCAGCGGGGAAGAGTTAGAATCTCATTAATACAATTATTGCTGTCTTTGCCCCAGTTAAAATGCATTTTGTTTTTTCTTACTTCCATCACACCAGGTAACATCCATTGATGTCCAGAGCAATGCAACTCTCAATACTTGCATCATCCATTACCGTCACCAGGAGTTTTCTCATTGGTTCAGCTTGCTGGCGCTGGATCGTCAGTTACAAAAGGATGCAAAAGCCTCAACCAAAAATAATCGGTGAGTTTTTCCAAGAATACCATTTTTTTTTCCTCTGTAATTGCTCAGATATAAGACCAATCTCATTATTTCACTGATCAGCACAAGAAGATTTGATAATACAGCATAAGGCGGTTTAGTCTTATTTTGTGAGCCATCCATATTCTAAGAATAAATCGCCATGATTCAGTTGTGCGAGTATTACATTCGTTCAGCCTAGAGTTCGTGCAGATTTTATTTGTGATAGTTTACAGTGAACCCTTACTAGGCAGCATAATTTTCACTTTACAGGAGAGACTGCTCACCTTTTCTGTGCTTCCCCACAGTTGTGATCAAGCATCAGACTACTGCTGTAGATAGATAGGCCATAGATGGACAGCTGAACCAGCAAAATATTGATCCATGTATGGCCATTCTTACTCAACAGAAGTTGGTCTAATGATCGACGTCCGTCAAATAGGAATGCTAGAAACCTACTGTTGGTCAGCGGTTGCAGCTGCTGATCAGTGTATTCTGACAACAGAGGATTCCAGCTGTCAGAATGCATAGCAGGGGGAATTCCTCTATCCACCTCGCTTGTGTGGATGGGTGATTATATATACATTTTTTTAATTAGCCCACTGGATGACTGAAAAAAAAAATATCCATCTATGGCTAGCCTTACTGGTATAGAGAAACAGTTTTGCTGAAGGGCCATATGTTATGCTGCTACTCTAAAATTGTACAAATGTAAATCTTTGCCTCCTAAGATTGTGAGGTACAAAATTAAATGTTGCGTTTCCTTGGTTTGGAAACCTGTAATACCCCTTTGTACTCTTAAAGACCTATATAGTAAATAATGCTTTTTTTTCTTAGCAGCTTTGTGATTTGTGTGGAAATTTTCTCTTATTCAGTGTCATTTGATGTATTAGATGATTCCAAATCTGAATAGCTGTGTTCAGTTTTAATATTTTCTTACTCAACCTCATGTACCTGTTAAATGGCCAGAGCCCCACCATTTATTTTGTCCTTTTCTTTTAACTTTGCAGTATGCTTAATGAAGTGTTTTTTTTATGTTTAAAGCAAGCCTTACTTTCTCATAGAGTTTTTTTCTATTATTTTGGCTCATCCTTTTGTGAAAGTTTCTTTCCTCTTGTTTGAAACAAAGCCCATGCATTGTTTTTATTTAAATGTAAGGCTCAATGAATACTAATTGTACTTTCAGTTTAAATCAGCTTAATACATTCTAGGTTTATTAAAACAAAAGGCATGCAAAGGCTTTCAGTTAATTTCCTTTAGAAAGCAGCCACAACCTGAGTAGAAAATCTTGTCCTCTGTCCATATGCTGCAGAGGAGGCTCCTTACACTCTGTGATGAAGCAGTGGTTCCTCTGCAGGCGTCCAACATGCCCACTGTTAAGTCAGAGCTAGCGATCTCCAAGCACCTAGGAGCATGATCTTTTCTGACTGAAGAGCTTTTAATCTGAATTAACAGGTGGTGTGTTGGACCCCTGGGCCTTCTCTGCAGCATGCTGGCAGGGGACAGTCTTTTCTGTTCTGGCTATGGCTGCTTTCTTTATAAAATGAACTGTAAACTTTGGGCACCTTTTGTTTTATGGGAAGGGTGAGTGGGTTGCAGTTTGCTCCAGAATTCCTGAAAGTGGAGCTTTACTGTAATGCTTTCTTTCTACAGCTACTCCAGTCACTGACACACAAAAGTACTCCCATCATGAAATATTTAAACACTGTGCCCTTCAAAGATATGGTCTAAATGGACTTTAGTATGTCTCTTTTTATTTTTTGGACTCTGTAATATATATATTTCTATCTACATGTTTTGTTGTAGACCTCTTCCTGTGATATTAGCACCAATAGTTTTCAATTCGAACATCTCTAACGTCAATGTGTCTGTCCAGCTTGAGGAAGCCCAACCTTTTGCTGTGGGATTTTCATCTGTGTCACTGGGTGAGTCATAGTAATCTTTTCAAATTTTATTTAGTAGTGTCAGTAATGAAGGGATAATATTGCATTGAATACAACCAAAATTTGTTTCTTCCAAAAATCTTTACATGAACATGTGCTTAAGGTAATGTTCTAAAACAGTCATATTCCACTATGGCAGAAATGTATTTCTTATTTAAAATGTAAGGAAAGTGAAATTGTTGCGCATTTGGTTGGGTGTCTCCAATCTATTTCTTCAAACAGTCTTTTATACAGAGTCTGTGTGCACTGTACAGTGTCTGTGTGCACTGGACATTTTGTTTATTGGATGTCAGCCCAAAGGGTTCTTCCACAAGAGAAACTCTCTGGTCTTGGGTTAAAATTCTCCAATGCAGAACCCATGAGATGCTCTGCTTCAAGGCAGCTCCCTTTGCCCAGATTAGCTACAGACATCTACAAGCAACATTTTGTCCATTGTAGGACCAGTCTCACAAGAGACTGATTTTGGTTGGTATGAAAGACCTGGTTGCTCCTGACTTGGTGGCTTAATATTCTGGCTCTGGGAACTTTGTCAGGGCAGGGTACTTGGTCATCATAGGAATTTTATCTCCTACTTAACATCCTGGAATTTTCATCAGTTTGGCTGGCTTTGTAGCGTTGGACTATCCTGCTAGAAAATCACCCAGGTCAGATTAAATCAGAAAATACCATGGTGGATGTCTTGCTGCATCAAGAGAAGTAGAACAGACCCTGTTTTCGGTGAAACCTCACATTCGAGCTTTGTCAGCTGTGCACTTTCCAGGTGTAGACAACTGGCAGGTCCATCAGAGCCAAACCTGAAGGAGTGATTTTACATCCTAAAGTGTTCCGGGACCTGTGTCACAGGTGGGGACATTAGATGTGGAGCTCCTGGCTTCCAGGTTCAACAACAAACTGGACAGGTTTTTTAACAGATACAGGGATCCTCTACTGTACAAAATAATCAGATGACCACACACCAGCCATTTCTGATATCCTCTTTTATTTGTTTCTTAAAAAAATTAATAATAAAAAATGAATGGATGTTTATGACCTTTTTCACACACAGATAGATAAGGACCTGTGGTTAAAGCACATTATTGATCAACGCTATTCACTTCTTGTGTATTGCTTTTATGAATGAATAAAAAAGGAGTCTTGAAATTTTTGGTCTGCAGTCATCCAATTTGTACAGTGGTGGTCCACAAGCAAGCTGGATAGGCATTTGTCTAGAAACGGGCAAGGGTGGGCTGAGCTAAAGTGACAAACTGCTATCTTTATAGGGATCCTCTAGTGGAAGCAGTGGATGCCTCAGTGGTCCCACAACATCCGTACGCCCTGACCTATGCATGTCCTCCCTAAGTAGGAGGGCATTCTGGTGAGTCTCATTGCTACAGGACTGGCCCAGGCAGATGTGGAACGCTGGCCTGGTAAGTCCCTTGGCAGTCATTCTGTAGATCTTGCCAGATTATACATATCTTTTGTTCTAAGGTCCAAATGGCCATCCTGCTTCTTAGTTGCTGGTTGTGAGGGACAGGGGGCATTGGTGTCTTTAATGCCTATGATGCTCCAACTAGGAAGTCTACTTCCCACAAGTTCTTTCATAGGTCATTGAAGCCCAACTTCACTTGGTGTGAGTCTCAAGGCTTCCACCGCAGGATTTTCTCTGTGAGATGAATCCTCCTCTTTCCTGCAGCTGGGTCTGGACCAGGGCCAGCGTTTAGCTCACAGCACTACTAAGGTTCAGGTTTCTGCCTCTTTTGTCCTGTTTCAGATACTGTTTGCCCCTCATGCTTTTTGCATGGGTTTTATCATGTACCGTTCCCCGCCCATTCCCCTTTCACTCCATAGGTTCTGGATCTGGTTCCCTCTCCACTTTTAGAAACTGCCATTTAAACCCATTTAGAGACAATCCTCTCTCTGATCACACCCACAAGGTGTTTTTTTTTTCTTGTAGCCATCACCCTTGTAGAGCGAGTGTCTGACCTAGTGACTTTCTCGGGCAAAGAACCATTTTTGTTTTGCATAGAGACAAGGTCATGTTGAGGCCCAGCCATTCATGCCTTAGGCAGTTGCTGCCTTTCACCTAAATCAGGATATGATTCTCCCATTCCCCTACCTGGTTTCAGTTCACCAAAAATAAGTTTTCCTTAATTGTTTGGATGTTGTAGGGCTGTGCAAGTCTAGCTCTCAGATACTGCTTCTTTTAAAAAGACTGATTCTCTTTTTGTCATCTCTGATGGACCTCAACGGTCACCATATTTTCATTCTACCATTTCTAGGTGGCCAAGACAGATGATCTTTCAAGCTTTTAGTCAATTTTTCTAAACTTTTTTAGCAAAGGGGAACCCTTGAAATAATTTTCAGTTCTTGGGGAATCCCTGCAGATAAAGGGGAAAATTACATTACAGTGGTGGTCAGAATGCCTCCCTTAGAGACAGCTGAAAGATCATTGTTGTCATCCTGCTTGCTCTGCCATATGATGTTCAACAAAAAACTATCCAGATACTATCAAGTGATAGGTCAATCAGCCACAGCTCAAGGAACAACTAGCAACCTCTGGAGGGAACCCTAGGGTTCAACAGAACACTGGTTGAGAATGGCTGGTCTTAAGGTTTGAGTCCCAACCTTTCCTGTGAGGGCAACTCTACAAGATCACAGTGTGTCTGTTGGCTTTTCTGAATCAAGGTGGCTGAAGGACCACAAGTTTTTTCTGGCTGCACTTTGAGAAACAGGCAGTCTGTTGTTATCCTAAGCCCCTTAAAGATTATTTGGTGTGTTGCCAACCCCCAGTAGGACTGTTTTTGGACATCAGGAAGATTACTCTTTCTTTGTCCCTCAATGGATGAGAAACAATAGGACTTTTGTACTCACTGTAAAATCTTTTTTCTTGGCGTTAACTGAGGGAAACCATTCCCACCTCTGTGTGTTTATGATAATGCTTTCAGGTCTGCCTTTCCATAGAACAGAGGCATGCTGGTAATATGAGGGGTTATCCTGGGCTTGCCTGCAGTTTTTTCGGTTTACCAGTGTCCAATACTCCTGTAGAAGGCAATATAAAACAGAAAGATTTTATGGTGAGTACAAAAATCCTATTTTTTGTGGAGAACAGCCAATGCTTATACCCTTTTCTGCTCATGCTTGAATATTCACCTTAGGAGCCAGCCTTGGCAGCTAAGTCTCAGTTTTGTGATAAAGTACATTTTGAGCTTTCGTTTTACAATGTGTTGGTACAGCTGCTGTAAAGAATTCAGTTTTCCAATGAAAAATATGGCAGTTCTACTGTTAACTAAACCCCTATTCACACCTGAACATCTTGTGGCATGATTCCTAAAGTGTAACAGTACTCAAGATAAAGAAACCTATTATTCACAATGGGCCCATTCACACCTGAGAATTGTGTTGCTTAATTGTGTAGCCCTATAGACTTTAATGGGAGTGCATGAAAAATCCTTGAAAAACACATGTAAAAAACATGTGCTACAAGTCACGTGTAAAATTGTGCAAAAAAAAAAAAATCTATAGTTTATAAGCTATGGAGTCATAAGAAGGAGTATGTCAGCAGATTAATATTTACCTCTGTATACTTTTTCATTTAGAATTTAAAGTACTGTCACATTAAAAGTATCTCTAACATCTTTTCCAGAGTTGAAGCACCTACGCACACAGAATCTTCATCAGAGGGTTCTTCTGGCTGTCAGTAACCTGTGTTGGAGGGTAGGAAAAGACTCTCATATCCAGCAGGCTCTTCACCCTCCAAATACTCATGTTTGGGGTGAGGCTTGTGTTCTCGACTCCTTTAGTTTACAGGTGAGAGGCAGAAAATTAGTACAGCTTGTAATTGTATACACTACTTAGATTCATGGAACAAAAGATGTATTCTGTGATCTGTAGATAATAACTGGATTGCAGTGTTTTCTTTTCTAATCTGTATAGGTCTACAGGTTTCATTTATTTCATGATGAGGTGTCTGTGCTATACCTTACTTGAATGCTTCTAGTACATTGATTTGTAGTTCATTTCAGGCATACATTACGTAAAGTGATATTTAAAGGTAGATTTAAAAAAAAAAAAAAAACAAACATGTCATACTTACCTGCTCTGTGCAGTGGTTTTGCACAGAGCTGCGATCCTCCTCTTCTTGGGCCCCCTGTTGGTGCATCTGGCCCCTCCCTCCTGCCAAGTGCCCCCATAGCAAGCAGTTTTCTATGGAGCACCCAAGCAGACTTGCTCTCAAGCCGCTGCTCTGTGTGTCCATTCACACATGGCGCATGTTTCCGTTTCACCCCCTCTCTCTCCTCAGTGACCCACTGGCTGTGCTTGACAGTAGCGGGAGCTGCTTGACAATAGCTGAAGCCAATGGCTCCTGCTGTTGTCTTAGCCAATGAGGAGGAAGAGTCCCCAGAGCGCCGCTGCTCTCATGTACATCAGTGGATCGAGATGGGGCCCAGGAAAGTATTGGGGGGGATGAGGGAGCTGCTGCACGTAGGTTTTATACCTTCCCATTAAGAATGTATGAAGGTAAAAAACCTTGAGCCTTTACAACCACTTTAAAACCAAACTCCAGGTAAACGGCACTGTACAAAACAGTAGAGTCCTTACTGTGTCTGAAATTGCCTCTGCCAGTCCTGCTGGAGGGTGATAGCAAGACAGATTCAGGAACACAAACACACACGTTCTGAAATTGCTGCATGTTGACTTACAAGCCCTGGGATAACATTGGCAGTGAAAAGAAGTTGACTTGACTGTAGCTGCTACGGTGGCAGTGTGCAGCTATAAGTAAATCAGTCCATCACTGTCTCTGTTTAGTAATACACAGCAAGCTGCCCTGTTTTTATATAGAATTTTTTAGGAGTCCATACACTGTCTCTATACCTCTTTAGCTTTCTACTTTAGGAGATTCTTTCTTAGATCTATTATATTAATGACATTTGTTTTAACTTTTGTTCCTGTTTCTAGGGCAGCTACAATCAATCGCTGGGTGTAGGCGGCATGCAGGCAGACACCCTCTTCATAGAATCCACTGTGCAAGGCCTGCAGATAGAATTTTCAGACACCTGTGCAGAATGTCTCGCTCGTGTTCTGAGCCTCATGCCAGTAGCATCTAAGCAACCTGTGCCGACTTCACAAGACCCACTGTCTCCTGCTTCTCCACATGGGGAAGCCACCAGCAAGTTAGCTGTTCTCTGGAAGGTAGATGTGCGTGTAGAAGAAGTGAATTTGTTTACATTGTCCAATCTAGTGGGTAAGTACTACTTTTTAATGCAGTTTTGACATTTATTCATCTCATAATGTAACATACTTGTTTTAGACAAAAAAAGTTTATACTTGTAGACTGTCATTTGCCTGAATAGCCATCTTCTGCAGGACATAATGCCAAATGGAGGTGGTATACTATCAGATGTGCTCAAATATTATTTTTTATCCTTATATACGTCTTTATAAACTTATCAGTGTTTCACTGGAGTGAATAAAGTAAGAAATTGATTGGTTATTTGCAGTGACATGTTCTTCCAACAGACCATTAGACTAGAGTAGGTTTTAACAACCTGTGTTGCTATCACATGAAACCGGCTATTGCACATTATATACTGTGTGTGTGTGTGTGTGTGTATATATATATATATATATATATTATATATATATATATATATATATATATAGAGAGAGAGAGAGAGAGAGAGAGAGAGAGAGAGAGAGAGAGAGAGAGAGAGAGATTACAAAAAGTGGAAGCAAACAGTGGTGTTGCTATGGGGGTGCAGACTGCACCCGGGTGACACCCTCGAGAGGGGTGACACCCAGGGCCGCCATGAGAGAGGGACAGCCCATACAGATGTGCGGGCCCGGGCGCTGCGCTGCCCCGCATTTCCTCCGGGGACCGGACCAGCGCCACAATGAACTACTCGCTCCATTATTGTTTGTGTCAGGCAGCCCCAAGAAGGACAGGTGCCTGCTTCTCAGTGCTGCATGCCTAACCTAAGAGCCAATGGAGCCTAGCTTAGGCTCCTCCTCCACTCTGTCATTACATTCTCAATAGAAGAAAGAGGAGGAGACTAGGCAGAAGGACATCTGTCTAGAGAGCTACGTTGATCTGAGGTCTGTAATGGGGGAGATCTAAACTGAGCAGGTGAGAGAGTTACAGAAGATTTGCACAGGGGGGAATTGCACTGGGAGGATTACACTTGGGGGATTTACATGGGGGGATACACTGTGTGGGAGATTACACTGGGGGGAGTTACACTAGGGGGAATTACAGTAAGGGATTTACATACAGTACACTGGGGAGATTAACATGGGGGGGAGGAATGCACTCCAGAGGATGTACATGGGTAGGATTAACGTCAGGATTAATGGCACTATTATTGTAACTATATGCAGTATATCAGGGAAACAATTATTGGCGGGGAGGAATGACACCGTGCTTTACCGCACCCTGACACCAACCCTAGTGATGCCACTGGAAGCAAGCATAATACATTGATGTTTTGGGGCCATGAAGGAAGCCTTTCTTAAAGTGACAAGCTGTCCAGAACCAAAAACTTGAAATATATGTGCACACCCCATAAATCATCAAACTCAAAGCTACTGATTCCTGTAATAAAAAAACAAATGTGGCACTTAGAGGCACACAAAATTAAAATTATAGACCGTGTGTGGCAACTGCTGACTGCACAAATTATTCAAGGTCTTCTGATAGTTTTTGAGGAGAAAAAAAATAACTATATAAGCAGAACTGTGCTTGCCTGTGTGTGATGAATGTTTTTCTTTGCATTCATCTCACACAGGCAAGCACAGTTCTACTTATGTCGTTATTTTTTGTTCCTGTGGTAGCCCATGTATATGCCTTGTAACCAAATGCAAAAGCCTTAATGGAATAATAGAAGAACAGATATCTACCCATACCAGACCCATGCAGCACTGGGATGAAACTGAGCTGTAAACAAGCAACAGGTATTGTGCGTGTACTGGAATTGAAAGTTCATATCACCAACCAGAAAGTGTCATTGGTTGTGCTCATTCATCCAAACAACCAGGGAATAGAATTCCCATTCATCATGCCCTCTTTGTCTTGGTTACTGGGCTCTGTATTCTGTGTCTGTCAAAGAAAGTAAATAAAGTGTCATTAGCAGGTGCACAAGTTATACTGATCAGGTTACACAGTTCGAATTCTCCTAGCAAAGAGCCATCCACCTAAAGTGCTAATACAAAATATACAGGTGAAACTCGAAAAAATTAGAATATCGTGCAAAAGTTCATTTATTTCAGTAATGCAACTTAAAAGGTGAAACTAATATATGAGATAGACTCAATGCATGCAAAGCAAGATAGTTCAAGCCGTAATTTGTCATAATTGTGATGATTATGGCTTACAGCTCATGAAAACCCCAAATCCACAATCTCAGAAAATTAGAATATTGTGAAAAGGTGCAATATTCTAGGCTCAAAGTGTCCCACTCTAATCAGCTAATTAAGCCATAACACCTGCAAAGGGTTCCTGAGCCTTTAAATGGTCTCTCAGTCTGGTTCAGTAGGAATCACAATCATGTGAAAGACTGCTGACCTGACAGTTGTGCAGAAAACCATCATTGACACCCTCCATAAGGAGGGAAAGCCTCAACAGGTAATTGCAAAAGAAGTTGGATGTTCCCAAAGTGCTGTATCAAAGCACATTAATAGAAAGTTATGTGGAAGGGAAAAATGTGGAAGAAAAAGGTGCACAAGCAGCAGGGATGACCGCAGCCTGGAGAGGATTGTCAGGAAAAGGCCATTCAAAAGTGTTGGGGACTTTCACAAGGAGTGGACTGAGTCTGGAGTCAGTGCATCAAGAGCCACCACACACAGACGGATCCTGGACATGGGCTTCAAATGTTGTATTCCTCTTGTGAAGCCGCTCCTGAACAACAAACAACGTCAGAAGCGTCTTACCTGGGCTAAAGAAAAAAACAGACCTGGTCTGTTGCTCAGTGGTCCAAAGTCCTCTTTTTTTTCTGATGAGAGCAACTTTTGCATCTCATTTGGAAACCAAGGACCCAGAGTACGGAGAAAGAATGGAGAGGCACACACTGCAAGATGCTTGAAGTCCAGTGTGAAGTTTCCACAGTCTGTGTTGATTTGGAGAGCCATGTCATCTGCTGGTGTTGGTCCACTGTGCTTCATTAAGTCCAGGGTTAACGCAGCCGTCTAAGAGGAGATTTTGGAGCACTTCATGCTTCCTTCCGCAGATGAGCTTTATGGGGATGCTGACTTCATTTTCCAGCAGGACTTGGCACCTGCCCACACTGCCAAAAGCACCAAAACCTGGTTCAATGACCGTGGGATTACTGTGCTTGATTGGCCAGCAAACTCGCCTGATCTGAACCCCATGGACACTCTATAGGACATTGCCAAGAGAAAGATGAGAGACATGAGACCGAACAATGTAGAAGAGCTGAAGGCCGCTATTGAAGCATCCTGGTCTTCCATAACACCTCAGCAGTGCCACAGGCTGATAGCTTCCATGCCACGCCGCATTGAGGCAGTAATTGCTGCAAAAGGGACCCAAACCAAGTACTGAGTACATATGCATGCTTATACTTTTCAGAGGTCCGATATTGTTCTATGTACAATCCTTGTTTTATTGATTGCATGTAATCTAATTTTCTGAGATTGTGGATTTGGAGTTTTCATGAGCTGTAAACCATAATCACAATTATGACAAATCACGGCTTGAACTATCTTGCTTTACATGTAATGAGTCTATCTCATATATTAGTTTCACCTTTTAAGTTGCATTACTGAAATAAATGAACTTTTGCACGATATTCTAATTTTTCGAGTTTCACCTGTATATACAAATGAATCAAGCCATTGTACTGCTGATATAGAGAGGCAATGTAAAATAGTCAAGGTAATGGAATGATGTACATTAAAACAGCAGTACTATCAAACATGTAAAAAAGGAAGATACATCGTTGTGTTTTAACCCTCTAAGGACCTTGGTGTTTAACCCTTTTGGATCTACTGTCTGCAGAGTACACAGCCACATATCTTTCTAGGGTAACTGACTGAAATTCCTAACTAGGGCAGTTGAAAAAGACATCTCGCAATTGACACAGGGCCCTGTGTCCTGTAATGTTCGTTAAGAAAAATTAGCATTTGGGTTTACCTGTAAATTTTTTTTTTTTCCTTGGAGTATGTCACATAACACAGGGATTACACCCTTCCTCCTGTGTTGCCCATGGCTTGCATCAAAGTGAGGCTGGGTGGAGAATCCTGTCTTTTATTGCCACTGTCCAATCACCTAAAAGTGGCAGCTTAACCATAACTTTATTCTGTCATATACTTAAAGAAAACGATTTTACAGACAAACCCCCAGTTTTTTTTTCCAGCACGTTCAAATCACATTGCAATTTGAATAAAAAATAATTTGTGGAAATTAAAAATGCAGTTAACATTCTTGATTTTTCTGTGCTTTGACCTGCATTTCTTAAGTTAATAACAGGGTCTCTTCAAGCAAAGACACACGCTCCCACTCCCTCTCCCTTTCCCTCTCCCTTTCCCTCTCCCTTTCCCTCTCCCCTTTCCCTCTCCCTTTCCCGCTCCCCCTCTCTCTCTCCCTCTCTCTCTCCCCTCCCTCTCTCCCTCCTCTCTCCTCTCTCTCTCCCCTCCCTCTCTCTCCCTCCTCCTCCCTCTCTCTCCCCCTCCCCCTCTCTCTCCCTCCCTCCCTCTCTGTCATCCCTCCCTCTCCCTTTCCCTCTCTGTCATCCCTCCCTTTCCCTCTCCCTTTCCCTCTCCCTTTCCCTCTCCCTCTCCCTCCCTCCCTTTCCCTCTCCCTTTCCCTCTCCCTCTCTCCCTTTCCCTCTCCCCTTTCCGTTTCCCTTTCCCTCTCCCTTTCCGTTTCCCTTTCCCTCTCACTTTCCTCTCCCTTTCCTCTCCCTCTCCGCTCCCCCCTCTCTCCCCGCTCCCCCCCCCCTCTCTCCCTCTCTCTCCCTCCTCCCTCTCTCTCCCTCCCTCCCTCCCTCTCCCCCCTCCCTCTCTGCCATCCCTCCCTCCCTCTCTCCTCCCTCCCTCTCTGCCATCCCTCCCTCTCTCTCTCCCCTCTCCCTCTCTCTCTCCCTCTCTCCCCCCTCTCTCTCTCTCCCTTTCTTTCTCTCTCCTTCTCCCTCTCTCTCCTTCCTCCCTCTCCCTCTCTCTTCCTCCCTCTCTCTTCCTCCCTCTCCCTCTCTCTTCCCTCCCTCTCTCTCCCTCTCCTCTCCCTCCCTCTCTCTCCCCTCTCCCTCCCTCTCTGTCATCCCTCCCTCCCTCTCTCTACCTCCCCCTCCCTCTCTCTCTCTCCCCCCTCTTTCTCTCCCTTTCTTTCTCTCTCCTTCTCCCTCCCTCTCCTTCCCGCTCTCTCTTTCTTCCTCCCTCTCTCTTTTCCTTCCTCCCTCTCTCTTCCTTCCTCCCTCTCTCCTTCCTCTTCCTCCCTCTCTCTTCCTTCCTCCCTCTCTCTTCCTCCCTCTCTCTTCCTCCTCCCCCCTCCCTCTCTCTTCCTCCCCCTCCCTCTCTCTTCCTCCCCCTCCCTCTCTCTTCCTCCCTCTCTCTTCCTCCCTCTCCTTTCCCTCTTCCTCCCTCTCCCTCTCTCTCTCCTCCCTCCCTCTCCCCTCTCTCTTCCTCCCTCTCTCTCCGCCCCTCTCTCTCTCCCTCTCCCCTGCACTCTCCCCCCTCTCTTTCTCTCTCATTGACTGCTGTCATGTGGTTGTATGACTTTTCTGTTTTGCATTATTAAAGGTGCCTCTCAAGTGAGAATAGACCTGCTTACTCTGGTGGGAAGTGCGGAGAGCTGCAGTCTGAGCCTGCAAGGCGTGGCCTTATCCCTGCTGAAATCCATCACTGAGAAGATGGAACCATGCTGCAAATCCCTGGACATTAGTGAACCACTGCTCTACTTCTCCATCATGTCCATGTCTTATTACACTACTATTCAAGCATTAGAGGTAGGCTGAGCTCTACCTATTACCCAAGTGGGTCAGGGTGGAACTTGTATGTTTTCACTACCAATGTGTAGTGTGTTCTTATATATTTTTATGTACAGTTGTCGGTAGTGGCAATATGTAAAAAAAAATAAGGTAGGTATCACATCTGTAACTACATGGATATTGACATATACAATCAATAATTTCAGATTTAATTTATATCTAAGTTAGTGTTTAAAGGGGAAGTAAAGGTTATTTCCAGCTAGCACATATTTTGAGCTATTATTGCAATGTTTACATTCATTTTAATGAGACTGTCACATTTTCTACATGCCTGTTCTTTCAAATTTTTGGTATTGAATGAAATCTGAAGATGTATTTATTAGCCACCAGAGGCAGGCTGGGTTAGCTACTACAATGACTCTCTAGCTGCTTAACAACTGTTGAGATAAGATATGGACCACACAGGGAGTTTGTAGCTTTGATTATGTCAGCTGATGCACAGATTTGTAGTACTTTGTTTTCAGTCAGTAAGCTGACTTTGCTGAAAGGTTGGAGGTCTGCTTTAATTACAAATTATACAATGAAATATGTATTTAACACATTAAATAATATGTTTAGGATTAATTGCATCCTTCTGATCTGAGCATATTTCAAGTGTTTGGGTGTTAATTTACGTTATATACTTTTTCTTGTCACTTACCGTATTTGCTGGCGTATAAGACGACTGGGCGTATAAGACGACCCCCAACATTTCCACTCAAAATATAGAGTTTGTTATATACTCGCCGTATAAGACAACCCCCTCTTCCTATGGACGGGTAGATGCTTCTCAGGAACACAGGCAGGCAGCCCACAACCCAGAGGGACTCTGGCAACACACTGTAGAAGGCAAGAAGAAAAACAGCGGGCGCCACCTCCTCGTGTAAAACCTTTTTAATAGATCCGTAAATCAGAGATAAAAATGATACTCACAAACATAGGAGTATGACAGGCACATCAAGAGTATAAACATTGGATCAGCAAAACCACGGGATAGGTAACATGTTTCTGGGGACACGCCCCCTTCGTCAGACCTTGCTGAGCTCCCAAAGGAATGTTCATAAATAGTGTGAGAGTGGCTAAGACCCCTACCCATCCTGTATTATACCAGCCAATAGTAAATGCCAGAGGCTAATTCACTAAAGCTGCATCTCCCTGTAATTGGCACTAGTGCGCAAGCTCTGCGTAGACAAGGGGCGGGCCGGAGCGCCGCTGCTTCCCGCCGAGCAGAACGGGCCGGTCACGCCAAAAAGGCTGGCACCCCTGTATCGCTGCTGATGCTTGCCGCAGCCACGCTGATGACCCACCGCGGCCGCACTGGATACCGTGCGATACTGGATGGTATGTAGAATGAGGTGGGCGGGCATCGGGAGGCCATTATGGGCACCGGGCGAGTATTGGAAGGCCACTATGGCAGCTATGTCTATCCCAACTGAAGTGCACCCGGCGTATAAGACGACCCCCCCACTTGGAGGCATGTTTTTCAGGGCAAAAAAGTCGTCTTATACGCCGGCAAATACGGTAACTTTATTTTGTGATGGCATTATTATGTGATGGCATTTTGCTATGACAGGTTCTCTTTAATGAGACATCCGGGATCTATTGGATTTCTGATGTCTCACCTGCCTTCTACTGATGCTAATGGAGCAAGGCACTACTGGGGGTATCTGAAAGCAATCGGGCAACTGTACAGTTGTATTGTCTCTGCCTGACAGCCAACAGATGGATTGTCTGATTCGTGCGCATTCCCGGCTGGTATGTATTCAACCCCCCCTCCCCACTGCCGATGTATGACATATGCTGGTGGCAGCAAAAGGGTTGATACTTGGTTATGTCTAGGGGTGCCAGAATAAAGAGAAATATTCTTCCATCTTTTCAACTGGGTCACTGCTGCCTCCTCAATAAGCTGCACACAGCCGAGGTTACACACTCTTCTCTGCACATACAAGGCAGACTTAATAACCCAGCATTGTACATGATGACTCTGAGGGACCACCCACAGCCTTAAAGTGTTTGTAAACCCTTACATATAAATGAAGTGACTAGCCCAGGGGTCTGCAACCTTTAAGACATAAAGAGCCACTTGGACCCGTTTCCGAAGGGAAAAAAAAGACTGGGAGCCGCAAAACCATTGCAACATTTATAACAAATCCGACACTGCATATATTGCAAAAAGCACTCTGGTCATGAAGGGGGTTTAAGGGCCCAGTAAGCAAAGGGTTAATCAGGGCCACAGTGTATCTTCATAATCACAATCATAGCCTTAGGTCAGTGGTGGGCAACCTTTTTTTTCAACTGAGCCAAATCTCGCCAAAACCACGATTGAAATTTATTTTGACAGCCACATTTTTAAAACTGAAAATACATCCCCCATATAGTAATTCATCCCCCATAGTAATTCATCCCCCATATAGTAATTCATCCCCCATAGTAATTCATCCCCCATATAGTAATTCATCCCCCATATAGTAATTCATCCCCCATAGTAATTCATCCCCCACATAGTAATTCATCCCCCATAGTAATTCATCCCCCATATAGTAATTCTTCCCCCATAGTAATTCATCCCCCATATAGTAATTCTTCCCCCATAGTAATTCATCATCCCCCATATAGTAATTCATCCCCCATAGTAATTCATCCCCCATAGTAATTCATCCCCCACATAGTAATTCATCCCCCATATAGTAATTCATCCCCCATAGTAATTCATCCCCCACATAGTAATTCATCCCCCATAGTAATTCATCCCCCATAGTAATTCATCCCCCATATAGTAATTCATCCCCCATATAGTAATTCTTCCCCCATATAGTATCCCCCATATAGTAATTCTTCCCCCATAGTAATTCATCCCCCATATAGTAATTCTTCCCCCATAGTAATTCATCCCCCACATAGTAATTCATTCCCCATAGTAATTCATCCCCCATAGTAATTCATCCCCCACATAGTAATTCATCCCCCACATAGTAATTCATCCCCCACACAGTAAGTATTCATCCCCCACATAGTAATTCATCCCCCATATTGTCTCAATTCACTTACCTTTGCTCCGCGCGTTCCTCTCGCTGTGTTCCCGCGCCGTTCTGGTCTTCAGGGCGGACTGAGAGAGGAGTTCGTCACTCTGCCCCGCCTACATCCTGGCTGCCCCACCTACATCCTGACAGCCAATGTTCCACGCTCCGCGGGCCGGATTTTTGAGGAGGGAGGGGAGCGGGCGCCCGGCACACAGAAGAGCCGCATGTGGCTCGCGATCTGCGGCTTGCCGACCACCTGGTGGGCAGTGTGCTCCGGAGCCGCAGCAAAGATGAAAAAGAGCCGCATGCGGCTCTGGAGCCGCGGGTTGCCGACACCCGGACTAGCCTCAGGAGAAACACAGAGATGTGTCTACTTCTGTACTATGTAAGGAAAACTGTGGCCCTTCAGTGAAAATGCACTGACTTTTTCTGCCTTTGTGTTTGAAGGAAGCTAATTGATCAGATGCTTCTGCTTCATAAATTGACATATGAGGCAAGAGGTTGCCCCTCAAAGTTTGAAAAAAGTTGGTGAGAGTGACTGAATTCTGTTGATACCTGTGACACCTTTCTTCCATGTTCCTAACTTCTAGATCTGGGGAATTATTTGAGCCCCAATTCCTTCTGTGTGTAATCAGAACATACGTATAGTTGTGTTCAAAAGTTTGCATACCTTTTGCAGCAATCGTGAAATGTTGGTGTTGATATTGAAAATATGACTGATCATGCCAAAAAACTGTCTGTAAGGATCGTGGCCATATGAAGCCATTTGGCTCCTTTTTAAATCAAAATGACAGCCAAAATCACCCAAAATGGCCCTGATCAAAATGAGCTGCCTGGTTGAGTTGCCAGGAAGAAGCCTTTACTGCGCCAATGCCACAGAAAAGCCCAGGGAGGCATGTCAAGGTGTTGTTGGGCATATTGTAACAAGTCTTTTTTGTGGTAGCGCAGCAAAGGCTTCTTTCTGGCAACTCAACCATGCAGCTCATTGTTGTGCAAGTATTGTCGTATTGTGCTCCTTGAGCAGCCTATATTTCTCCTGAGGTTACCTGTGGGTTTTTCTTTGTATCCCAAACTATTCTTCCGGCAGTTGTGGCTGCAGTCTTTTTTGATCTACCAGACCTTGGCTTGCTATCAAGAGATTCCTGAACTTACACTTTTTAATAACATTTCTGACTGGCATATTCAAGGCCTTGGATATATTTTTAAATTCTTTTCTATCATTATAAAGTTCCATTACCTTATCACACAGGTCTTTTGAAAGTTCTTTTCTGCTCCCCATGGCTCAGTATCTAACCTGCTCAGTGCATCCACGTGAGAGCTAACAAACTCATTGACTACAAGGACACTAATTACAATTTTAAATGCCACAGATGTGGGAAATTAACCTTTAATTGCCATTTTAACCCGTGTGTGTCACCTTCTGCTTCTGTACCAAGGTCAATCATTCCAATGTATATAAATATTTGATCAGGGCCATTTGGGTGATTTCTGTTATCAAGATTTGAAAAGGAGCCTAACAACTATGTGATGATAAATGGCTTCATATGATGACTATCCTTAAATAAAGACAGTTTTTTTGGCATGATCAATCATTTTCAATATAAATGCCAAAATTTCATGATTTCTGCCAGAGTATGCAAAGTTTTGAGCACCGTAGCAACTCAATTTCTTTTTCTGTACTTTTATTGATCAAATATGATGATCGTATACAGTGAAAATATTTGTTTCTAGTCATAGTTTTATTAGTTTAGTTGTTTTCTGTATTGTACATAGGGTTGCAACCTGTACATCTGCATTATCATAACAATATTTTGGACTTCAATGATACCTTTACTCACCTGTCACTTTGTGTTCTTTTGCAACTTTTTAAATAAAAAGTTCAGTATAATAAAAAAAAAACTACTGTGTAAGGTCTGTAGTATATGGGATACCCAGATGCTGCTCTTGGTGTAAGTATCCATCTCTCTGTAAGGTTGTTCTTCACCTGAATGGCCAGAGGTTCTATGTTTCTTACTTATACTTATAGTATTGCATGTGTATGTTTTCACACACTTCCTTAACCCACAGTCCTTTTCTTATACTATGTCAATATACTGTATGGACGTTTGTTCATTATATTGTACACTGCTTGTATTTTAGCAATGTTTGCTCAGGTTTCTCTTCTCATTGAAAAAATAAAAAGACCTTAAAAAAATAAAAATATTCATCTCTCTTGTTTACAGGTGCAATGTGGTGAGGAGCTGCTTCTACACTGGAGTCCCTGGGATCACATGTACTTGTATCAGCACACACTGTCCACTCTACATTGCAGGGATCTACTGTTGACAACCTTAGCCAAAGGAACCCAACCTGTGGAGCCAGTTAGAACTGACTCTGGAGCTTCTTCACCCACACAAGGTCAGACTTCAGTTGCAGGGAGCCCGGGAATCCATCGAAAGGGACTTCAGATTACTGTGGATTTGAGCTCTGTGAAACTAAGAGCCACTGTTACTAAGGACAACTATTTTCTGTTCATGGCTCAGAACATCTGGCTTAGTCAACATGGAGGCTCTCTTCAGCTGCGCTCTCCTGAGATCATAGTCAATGCAGATGGGCACAATATATTTCTTTTTAAAGACATTGATGCACAAAGACTACCTGAACTGGAAGACATGCTGCTACATCGCAGTCATTTCAACACACTTCTTACAGAAAGGAATCGAGCCTGGGTTCTGGCTCTTAACAGCGTTTCCATGGAATTCCCACATCGCTATGACTTCTCTTCCATACTTGATGAGGCCATAGGGGTGCAGAAGTGGCTTAAAGGACTCCATCGCTCACCTCGGACTGGGCCTGAACCTTTACCACCCGATCTGGTGTTCAGAGTTAAACAGTTTTCTTTTGCGTTCTTGGATGATATATTTGAGGTTAAACTGAGGGACAATTATGAGTTGATGAAGGATGAAAGTAAAGAAAGTGCCAAGAGGTTACGGCTACTTGATGACAAGGTGACTGCTCTCCGAAAACAACATGGAGAATTGCTACCAGCCAGGAAAATTGAGGAACTTTATTCATCGCTGGAGAAGAAAAACATTGAGATTTACATCCAGCGCTCCCATCGCCTTTACAGCAACACCCCCATGAGGAAGTCTTTGCTCACCTGGACCATGTCTGATTTGGAAATAGTAGCCTTGGCTGATGAGTCTCTTCATGGACCAGACAAGGTGCTGGAGAATATGAGAGACATTGACAGTATCAGCCCTTTTCCCTCCGAGGGCTTGTCTTTAGTAATTCAGTGGTGTCGCATGATGAAGTGCTCTCTGAAAACATTTTATGGTAAGTGTTACCCTAAAGCTGCTCTTCAGCTTGAGTTTTTATTTAATAATTGCCCAGCACATGTGAAAACAAAGTAATAAAGCTTCCCTCACTGCTTTACTCACCCTATATCTGGTGCTGTTCCCTGAAAACAAATCGCTCTATGCTGCTTATCTTCTGGCTTTAATAATGGTCGGCATCATTCAACCCATATCCTATGAGCATCAAGGAACCACCCCTGGGGAAATGTCTTCCCACCGGTCTGGGCTCACAGGAGATTGCTGCCAAAATCAGTGCCATGTCACTATGTAATGATACGACAGCACTGTTTGCAGAATTCTGGAGCACCCACCATTTGAGGAAGAGGCGCTACCAAACCGAAGATACCTAAAAAAAAAAAAAAGTAATTGATATTGTTTTAGAAAATAAGTGTGTGTACTGCAGGGAAGGGAGGTGGGTGTGAGAAAAACAAACTAATTCTGGAACACTTCATTTCAAAGGTGAAAAAGAAAGTTTGGAGATACATTTGGGTAATGGCTGGGCATGAAATTTGAGTGGCTCACTGCCTTGAGATTTACTGCTTTATTTCTAAATATGGATTGCTAAGATTGTGACCACAGTATTCCACTATAAACTGTGGACTTCTGCTAGGAATGAAGGTTTGTTTCATATGTCTTTCCAAGTGGTAGATCACAGTATTGTCTGATACCAGGACTGTATTTTATTTAATGTTGCCTTGGGCTCTGTAAGGAAATTCTCTACTAGTAATAGGTAATCCTACAAGCTCTTTACTTGCTCAACTCCCTTCTCTGTATCAGTTTATTTTGCTGTATCTGTACTGTTAGGCTGATTTCCCTTCAGTTTCCATCCCAGGGATAATGGTCCGAGGACAGATTAATCCAGCGGGGACACTGACAGCAATAGGAGTTCAAATATTCAAATGGGGTTTTATCCCTTCCTTGATGTATCCAAAATTAAAAAAGAACAAAATTAGTTTTTGTGTCAATATACAGTGGATATAAAAAGCCTGCAGACCCATTAAAATGTCAGGTTTCTGTGATGTAAAAAAATGAGACAAAGATAAATCACTTCAGAACTTTTTCCACCTTTAATGTAGTCTATAAACTGTACAACTCAGTTAAACAACAAACTGAAATCTTTTAGGTGGAGGGAAGTAAAAATAAAAAGCTAAAATAATATGGTTGCATAAGTGTGCACACCCTTAAACTAATACTTTGTTGAAGCACCTTTTGATTTTATTCCAGTACTCAGTCTTTTTGGGTATGAGTCTATCAGCATGGCACATCTTGACTTGGTAATATTTGCCCACTCTTCCTTGCAAAAACACTCCAAATCTGTCAGATAGCGAGGGCATCTCCTGTGCACAGCCCTCTTCACATCACCCCACAGATTTTCGATCAGATTCAGGTCTGGGCTCTGGCTGGGCCATTCCAAAACTTTAATCTTCTTCTGGTGAAGCCATTCCTTTGTTGATTTGGATGTATGCTTTGGGTCCTTGTCATGCTGAAAGATGAAGTTCCTATTCATGTTCAGCTTTTTAGCCGAAACCTGAAGGTTTTGTGCCAATATTGACTGGTATTTGGAACTGTTCATAATTCCCTCTACCTTGAGTAAGGTCCCAGTTCCAGCTGAAGAAAAACAGCCCCAAAGCATAATGCTGCCACCACCATGCTTCACTGTGGGTATGGTGTTCTTTTGGTGATGTGCAGTGTTGTTTTTGCACCAAACATATCTTTTGGAATTAAGGCCAAAAGGTTCAACCTTGGTTTCATCAGACCGTAACACATTTCCACATGCTTTTGGGAGACTTCAGATGTGTTTTTGCAAAATTTAGCCGGGCTTGGATGTTTTTCTTCGTAAGAAGAAAACGGGAGCTTGTTGTCACATCAACCACACAGGCAGTACTTGCCAGATATTCCTGCAGCTTCTTTAAAGTTGCTGTAGGCCTCTTGGCAGCCTCCCAGACCAGTCGCCTTCTTGTCTTTTCATCAATTGGGGAGGAACGTCCAGTTCTTGGTAAGGTCACTGTTGCGCCATATCTTCTCCACTTGAAGATGACTGCGTGCGGCCTCCCGGCGTCTGGGTATTGACGCCGAGCAGCTGCACTTTTGCGTGCAATTAAGAAAAACATATGTGCTGAGAGCGCGTGCCCTGCTTGCTCCCAGCACACATGTCCGGTACTCACGGAAAGGTCCCGATCTCCTCTTGCAATGTGGACCTTTCCCGATCACGTGACAGCGAATCACGGCAGTCACATGACCCTAAAACCCCACCCCGCCTCCCGACTTCTGAAACCCTTAAAGGGCCGGAAGGCGCTGTCGCCAAGGGGTTAACAACGAGATTCCTCTGATGCTTTGGAAGCACTTTGCGGACCATAGCTTTTGCTGTAGGATATGACTAAGAAAATTTTGGAAAAGACCTACCAGAACAGCTGAACTTTATTTGGGGTTAATCAGAGGCACTTTAAATGATGGCAGGTGTGTTCTGACTCCTATTTAACATGACTTTGAATGTGATTGCTTAATTCTGAACACAGCTACATCCCCAGTTAAAAGAGGGTGTGCACACTTATGCAACCATGTTATTTTAGTTTTTTTTATCTTTACTTCCCTCCATCTAAAAGATTTGTTGTTCAACTGAGTTGTACAGTTTATAGTTCACATTAAAGGTGGAAAAAGTTCTGAAATTATTTATCTTTGTCTAATTTTTTTACATCCCAGAAACCTGACATTTTAACAGGGGTGTGTAGACTTTTTATATCCACTGTATACACTTTAAGGCTTTGTTGAGAGATGACACACAGATCTTAAGTGGTAATATAGCCACACTAAACAAGTTAAACTGACAATCAACACCGCAAGTTAGCTGTCTGTTTATCTATACTGTAACTAAAGGGTTTTTTTTTGTTTTTTTTTAAAGGCTTTAACAAGGCTTACCAAAGGATTTTTACAAGTGCATTGCAAAGCCTTGTTGTACCTAGTCCATGTGTACTTGATTAGTGACATCAGTTGTGAACACCTAAAATTCATAAGAACACTTTATAGAAACTTAGCCTTCTTGTTATTTTTGTTCCTTACACACACTTCTTTTCCATTTTGTGTAAGGGCTTGTTCACACCATGGTGCAGAGACATCAGTTTTTCTGCACACTTTCTGCAGGGGCACAACAAAATCAACTGCTTTCTATGTTCCATGATCACACCACAATGCTGGTATCACATATAGATTTTTTCTACAAAGGCATCTGCAATGTGTATAAAACTCATTGCAGTGCACATGAAAACTGATGTCTCTGCAAGTGAAATCTGCACGTCAGTTTCTATCACTTTTCATGCACATATGGTGTGAACAAGCCCTAAGGGAAGTAAAAATAGGTTTAAAAAATTCCTTTGTAACTGGCTATTGATATGAATTTATATATCCATGGGTTTTAGTGCGAATTCGGGACTACCCTCGATATCTCTTTGAAATCCGAGATTGGCATCTTTCTGGCAGACTGCTTGGGGCTGAACAAAGTGGACAAGCCAGTGCCCGAAGAAAACAAGTCGTTCACTTGGGAGCTCCATGGGGTGATTCAGTTGTAGAGAGGAACATGCCACCCCTCAAATTCTTCTATGACTTTCACTGTGAGTATTTGTTTCCAGAATCTGGATTTTTTCAGTTTACTAATGTAGCAGTCAATGGTATATGTTGGTAATCACCAGTCAATAAATTTACATCAATCCAGTTGACCGTGTTTGGCAATGTTTAATGTTCTTGTTTTATCTTACCTGAACAACCTGATTCCAGTCTGTCTGTAAAAATGGGCAAAAATCTCTCCCAAACACAGAATCACTTACTATCAATGACAAATCCTGCACTTCCACTTATTTTCTTTGCACTACCATGTGTTGAAGGTTTTTTTTGGCCAGACCTCACACTTGGGTGATATGTTGACTTTCTCCATATCCCTTTGCATGTTTCACTGTATCTTTAGCAACCCAAGGTTAATTTGTACTTTCCTTTTGCATGCAGTGCTTCATGCCTCTTTATTACACCTAGTGCCCAATGCATCTCCTCAGCATACAAAGAAACGTCTTATACTAAAACACTGATGAACTATGAGCTGCACTGGCTTTCTGGTTTATGTATGCCATGTTTGTCATGCTGGCTATAGCAGAGCTTTTCTGTAGGGATGCACTGATACCGGTATTAATGCAGATACTAGGCATCTACATGAGTGTTGGAACTCGTGCAAATGCACCGATACCTGAAACCGATACCTTCAGGTTTGCTTTTTTCAGCTGTAAGCGGTATTCCTTCGCTGACAGCTGAAATGTAAACAAAAGAATTCCGCAATTGTTGGTTGTTAAGGAGCGCGTCCTTAACAACCAATGGCATTTCAGCTGTCAGCGGGATTCCCTTGCTGACAGCTGAAATGTAAACACATTTCTCTCCCGCCACTTCTGCTTGAAGCCGTTCCTGCCTCCCCCTCCCCTCTCGCGAAGTGTCACCTTTGGTGCCTTGCCAGTCTCCTTCCGCCTGGTTTCACCTCTTCTTTGCTGCTTCTTGGCTTCTCCGCGACTGCGACTCTGACTCTGAACTGCGCATGCACAGTTCCTGAGCCAGCTGATTACAGAACTACCAGGCTTGGCCTTGGATCGGGCAGCGGGGTGTGACTTATATTAACACGTCCCTCCGCACGAGTAGAGGCAGAGCCAGACCGTTCTCTAATCGTCTGGCTCCAGAACTGCGCATGTGCAGTTCAGAGTCGCAGGTGCAGAGTAGAATTTTTTTTTTCTACTACGAGTGACAAAAGGCATGTGAAAGGGGTCACTAAGGAGGAGGAGGATATAAGTGGACACTTTGGAGGAGCAGGACAACATAAGGGAGCATGGACTTTAGAGGGTGCTGGAGGAGCAGGACATAGGGGGGGACTAAGTAATAACTTAGTACCTCCAGAGTGCCACCGTACATCCTCTAGAGTGCTCCTTAGTAATAGGGGCATGAGGACTGTGGTATATGTGTGCATTGTATACTGCAAATATAAATCTAAATAATGTCGCACTCCTAATCCAGCAAATAAATAAAATAATGAATTAGTGTACCCGTACAATTGAAAAATATAATCAAATAAAGGAAAAAAAAAAAAAAAAAGAAAATATCAAATAAAGAAGATTATATTTTTCAATTGTACGGGTACACTAATTCTTTTTATTTATTTGCTGAATTAGGAGCGCGACATTATTTAGATTTATTTTATTAGAGGATAATTAAATATATAGTAAGCGCTCATCAACAGTTACAGCAGCTGAACATTAAAGGAAAACGCATAAAAAGTCCCAAAATTCATATATAAACAAAATGCAGCGCTCTTAAGGAAATGATGAGAAATTATAATAAACACAGTCCAGTGAAAACAGTGCTCCGTGGTTCCCAGTGCAAATGGTAGAAATTCACACTAACCAGAACACGTATAAGTAATACGCATGTGAATATATATCCTGAAGACTCCCCTCTCCTCTCAGGTCTGGTCAGAGAATATAGCTGGGAAAGATGGAAATCCTACGCCCTCATGTGGTGAAAGAGTGGTCCTGCAGGTCTGGAAAGTGTCAATCTGGATGAGCCTCCCCCTTCACAGGAGCTGACACAGAGATCACTAGGGCTGCAGGGATTGAAGAAGCTCCTCACAGGAGACATAGGGAAGCACTCATAGTGTAGTAGGTAATGATTTTATTCAAAACACAGGTGCAAAATGAACATCACATAGCCAAGTATGAAAAACACACTGACCCTTTAAGAAATTAAGGTGGCCGCCGGGCCTCCTCGTGGCACCGGCGGCTTAGTGTCAACGGCGTCCTGGGTTCCACCTGAAGCGTTTCGTGCGCACGCACTTTTTCAGAGGTGGGAACATATGTTCCGTTGACACTAAGCCGCCGGTGCCACGAGGAGGCCCAGCGGCCACCTTAATTTCTTAAAGGGTCAGTGTGTTTTTCATACTTGGCTATGTGATGTTCATTTTGCACCTGTGTTTTGAATAAAATCATTACCTACTACACTATGAGTGCTTCCCTATGTCTCCTGTGAAGAGCTTCTTCAATCCCTGCAGCCCTAGTGATCTCTGTGTCAGCTCCTGTGAAGGGGGAGGCTCATGCAGATTGACACTTTCCAGACCTGCAGGACCACTCTTTCACCACATGAGGGCGTAGGATTTCCATCTTTCCCAGCTATATTCTCTGACCAGACCTGAGAGGAGAAGGGAGTCTTCAGGATATATATACACATGCGTATTACTTATACGCGTTCTGGTTAGTGTGAATTTCTACCATTTGCACTGGGAACCACGGAGCACTGTTTTCACTGGACTGTGTTTATTATAATTTCTCATCATTTCCTTAAGAGCGCTAGATTTATTTTATTGACACATAAATAGAGGATGTGTTGGATGTCAGCGAACCTATACTTATTATAATTGGTGGCTCACAAGTACTACTCATATTTTCATTGTATACTGCAGGCGCAGATTCTGTTTAATCCTCCTTTAAGACCCTTCCACTGGCCTTGCCCATTGTTCGCTGCGGTGCACGTTTTCCAGGGTTCTCCAAGTCTTTCATATTTTTAGTCATGCTCCCATTTTGCCACGCTGTTTTGACTGAATGGGGGCCTTTCTGAGTTTCTTGCACCGGGACCCTGCCCCATGTCTTTTCAGCTCCTTCCCCCACCCCCACCGCTCCTAACCCACATCAGCCTCCATCCCTCCCAACATTGTCCTCAACTGCTAAAGCCTCCTACTGTTATCCACGGTTACCCACTGCTGCAAATTGATAACTGGCTGACCTACATTCCTTTGATATGTCCACACCCATCAATGCATTATATACTACCACCCCAATTTAACACTACAGAAGTTCTTTTCTGGCCACCCAGCAATCTCCTAATGACCTCTCCCATCCACCTCTCCCATCCACCCACCCCCCGCAGTCACAGCATCACAGCCTTTTCCATCCCAATCACCCCAGCCCTCCCACCCCAAAACCACTAATCCACCCCACACTCAACTACCTAGCCCTCACCCAACTCCCTAACTCCCACCCCCCACCTCTCAAAGCCCCTCTACCTACTCTTCCTACGCGATAGGTATCAGTAATTGGTATCGGTGAGTATTTAAAAAAAAGTTAAAAAGTAAAGGCACTCGTACTCTGTCTTAAAAAAGTGGTATAAGTGTGTGCCTATTTTTCTGTAATATTTCACAGTGCCAGGAGCTGGTTGACTGTAAACACTGTATGAAGAGTATCCTTGCAATTTTCTGCTTTCTGTATAAAATAGACTAAAACTACTGTGGTAGAATGCTGTCTTGGCTTGGGCTGGGTGTGCTTCATAAGAAAGACTGTGGGGAGTCAAGCCATCTGCACACGTCACATGAAAAGGAACTGCCAGAAATACACTCTGCTCTTAAGCCCCGTTGTGGCTTTTTGGGACTGAGTAGTGTAGGCCATTCCAGTATCTTTTGCTAGCTTCTCAACCACCTCCACTCTCAGATCTCAACCATATAATAAATATTCTGTAGTCCAAAATAAGAACAAGGAGTACTCTGAAATAACCAGATAGCATTGGACATGTGCAGAGGATACAAGACACCCCCAAGACCCAACAGGGTTATTTTAATTTTATTTTTTTTGCACTTATGAAGGAGATGCAACATAGTGCTCCCAATGGTATGTTAGACTAAAAAAGGGAGAAAATAGAAGTGTATTGTTAGAGTTTACATACACTTTAACCCTTTCCCTGCCCGGTCTGTACAGTGTATGGACCTACAGCACTGCTTCTAGCTGGCCAGGTCCATACGAACCTCCTCTGTTATAAGCTTATGGTGACTTCAGTGACCATGAACCTGTAGCAGTATTGTTCAGCAGACCTGCTGAACAAAAAAAAAGGCTCCATGTACACTGAAACGGTTTTCTGCTAAACGTGGCAAAAACGTATGTAAATGCGGAACCACGTTCAGCCGCGTTTACCCACGTTTACTTGCTTTTAACCGCATTTAGCGGCATATAGCACTTGGACATTTATTCATTTCATTGGCCAGAGTACTTGTTATTAAAATTAATAAATGCCCAAGCGCTTAACAAGGTTAGTGCTTTGGCGCATTTAGATGTGTTTTTGCCACGTTTAGTGTTTTTTTTAGCCAAAATGTTCCTTTCCTGAATACGATTCTTCTGCGTTCAGGAGAGGGATTTTAACTGGCCCTAAACTCTGCTGCTGTTAAACTGATAGAAGTCTATGTGTGCATGTACACATAGGCTTTTATTGAGTTGACTTCAGGGGTGTTGGCAAAAAAAGCCAAAAGCTCTTAAACTCATGTTTATGAGCAGCAGTGTGCATGAGGCCAAAAAATTAAGTAAAAAAAAAAATAAACATAAAAACCATAGGGTAGATTTAGATGTGTCTAAATCTCCCTTGCCTCTGAAGCCCGATCCACATTCGGATTGTGCTCCAGTGGCTACTGACAGGTGGTGAAGAAGCTATGTAACGCCTCCTCACAGCCTGTTGTAACTCCATTGTTTATTGCAGCTTAAGGGGAGGAGTGTTTGGCAGGCAACAAAAATGCAGCTCAACTGCGCATTTTTGCTGCCCTCAACCACAAGCCTAAACAAGGCCTAAGGCCTTGTTCACACGGAGCATAATACAGCTTGGCCATGTTTATCTGCACATGGATGCACAGGTATTCCGTGCATCCCCATACAGGCAGTCTTATTGATGTTATTTGGGACACAGCAGCTGCACGGGAATGCTCAGGTGTTCTGCGCATTCCTGTGCAGGCAGTCCCATCCATATCAATTGGGATGCAGTGGCTGTATCGACTCAGCCACTGCTCCCAACTTGACATCCATGTGGGTGTTTGTCAACTTTTGGGGCCATGCACCTACACCCGCACAGATGTCAGATCTGTCCTTGCAGCTGCTGTGTCCCAGTTGACATAAATTGGACTGCTTGAACAGGGATGCACAGAACATCCCCGTGCAGGTAAACATGGCCCTCCATGGGTGTACGCTTTACCACATCCAATTGAACGAGGCCTTAGCAGGAATTTTGTAAGTTATGTTGTGGCTTTGTAAGCAAATAAGGATTTTGGGGGGGGGGGGGGGGGGGTTAGTGAAAATAGTGATTTGATAAACATTTCTGCAACTATCTGGTTTGGAGGGTCTTTTACAAACTCTGAAAGCTGCTAAGTGAAAAATGAAAACCTCCAGATTTTTTAGAGAAATGTTTTGCGTATGTTAGATTTTCACCATTCTGCAAAAAGGTGCAATTTAAAATGTACAAACATTTATTAACTCAATACAGGTTAAGCTTTTATATTTAGTAAGACATTTAGCTGGAATTTTGTAAAATTTGCTGTGTTGATATCTGCTAATAATGATTTTAGTGTATTTTTAGGGAAAATATCATTTTGACAAACATTTGCACAAACATTGCAGGACCATAAGCACCTTCCTTTTATTCTACTGGTCATGTGCTTTCAGAAAATATATGGTTTAGAGAGTCTTCCATAAACTCTAAAAGATGTAACTAAAAAATTAAAACCTCCAGATTTTTAGAGAAATGTGGTTATTTACAGTTTTGCATATGTGCGATTTTTACCATTTCGCAAGAAGGCGCAATGTAAAATTTACAAATATTTGTTATTTATTAACTCAATGCAGATTAAGCTTTTATATTTACAGGCGTACCTCAGTTTACAAATTTAATTCGTTCTATGGGACTTTTCATATTGTGAAAAATTTGTAAACCGAAATGCGTTTTCCCATATGAATGTATTGAAAACCAATTAATCCGTTCCAGAGGTCATAAAAAAATTTAAAAAAAAGTCTTTTATCTGTTCAAAACTCTTTATAAAGTACACTTTAAAGGCATAAATAATGTACAGGGACATGATTAAAAATTAATTCGGAAATGCATTGAAAACCAATTAATCTGTTCCGGAGGTCAGAAAAAAAGTCAAATGTTTTATCTGTTCAAAACTTTTTATAAAGTGCACTTTAAAGGCATAAAGGGACATGATTAAAAAAAAATTGTGAATGCATTGAAAACCAATTAATCTGTTCGTATTGCGAAAAAAATTTGTAAACGAGCCATTATTTTCAATGGATTTTCATTCGTAAACTAAAAATTACGTTAACCAAGGCATTCGTAAACCAAGGTACACTTGTAGTAGGAATTTTGTAAAATTTGCTGTGTGTGTTAATAATGATTTTAGTGTATTTTTAGTGAAAATAATGATTTGATAAACATTTGCGCAAATATGATGGGGCCCTAAAAATCAGTAGCATCTTCTTTTTGTTCTACTGGTCATGTTCTTTCAGAATATATATGGTTTGGGGGGTCTTTTACAAACTCTAAAAGCTGTAAAAATCAATAGAAAAAATAGCAAAAATGGTCTGACCACCTGAGTTTAAAACTGGAGCATAGGGCCTGGCATCAAAAGGGTTAAGGCCTGCAGATTACATTATAAAAAGACTACAGTTCTCTTTTCAGTTACCACGGAGTACGATAATAAAAATCTTAAGGTCAAACCAAAGCAGAAGTGGGAATAGACCTTGGAAGGCCATGAATCTCAAGTGTACAGTGTAGCACTGTCTAGACTGGTCAATTCACAAAACACTTGCCTGGTACCTTGCCTAGGCAGCCCATAGATGTTGTGATTTTCTTTCCTTCCATCACAGGTGGAAGGAAAGAAAATTGCTTGACTCCTTAGTGATCGCATGAAAAAAATCCAACAGACTGGTTATAGACAGGCTGCCCATAGATGGATTGGTCCCCTCTGAACCTGCCAAGATTCTATCCATCTATGGCCAGCTTTTGCCAGCTCTACAAAGGAGATTGGTTGTTTATACAGACCTATTATAATTCATTCTGAATGTTTACATTCAAGGAATTGGTAACATTTGCTTATATTTTAATCTAATAATTTCTGATCGTATGACGGTTCTAAAATGTTCTTGTGACTCATGTGTGCCCTGCTGTGCTTTCTGCAGCTGACATACAGTTATACACGATTGTGTGGGGACCATGCTGGGACCCAGCCTGGACCTTGGTGGGCCAGTATGTGGATCTTCTTACCAAAGCTTCTGTGGATCCCAGTGCCCCATTACCGTGGTGGGACAAGAGCAGGCTGCTTCTTCATGGACACTTCAGCATGGACATTGAACAGGCTAATCTTCATCAACTAGCAACTGAGGTACTTGTTTCCACTAATGCACTGCTATGAGGTTATGATGGTGAAAGGTTACAGTTGTGATAATCTGTTATTGTAGGACCCGTATAACACAACAGAGAATATGCACTGGGAGTGGAATCGACTCAAGTTTGCTTGGAATCCAGGACAGTTTATCTTCAAAGGAGATCTGGATGTCAATGTACGAACAGCATCTAAGTGAGTGGGGCAAAATTGGTTTTCTTATTTTTCTATCCCAAAGCTAATTAATAAAATGTGCGTGTTGGGACACAATTGAAACATACATGTAGGAATTTTCTTCAAGCAAAGTTAAGCGTGTTTAAATGTTAACAATTAACTTTTGATCTGCTAAAGTGAAACTAACGTGTTAAAAAACAAAATTGCGAACAGGCAGAATGTTTATTGTAGAACAGACATGCTTTGTCTCTTCTGCAATGAAATAAACTTACCTGTTTGCAGAATTTTTACAATGTACACAGAGCTGTGCATGTGTGCCAGGATGAATGAACTCCCATGCATGATCAAGTGCTGTGTCATCCCGCGTCAGTCATTCAAAGACTCAACACCCAGGAAGAATCTGGGAAGGAGGGACAGGTAAAGGATATGATGGACATCAAATTTTCAGAGGAGAGGTAAGTATTGCGGAGCTTAGTTCCTCTATTAAATATAACACCGTAAAGTTTTTGTGTTACCAGCTGATCCTCTACCTGTGCTGTTTTTAGTTACATTGTTTCTAAATCTCTCTGAGGACTACATAACCCCTCCTCTTTATGTTCTGAAGAAAAGCAGAGAAGGAGATGTTGTGTAATATTGTCCTGGGGTGACAATGCTGCTCATCCATAGATACGGTTTTGATGGGGTAATGGCGTCACTCTAGGGCAGGATCACCTGATGAGAATGAAGGGAAACACCTGACAAAAGGAAACAAATGCAGTTTCCACATCTAAGGAATGATGATATGCAATATTTCTTTTCTCTTGGTTTAGATGTGCTTTACGTTAGTAATAGGTACAAGGTGAATTAAAAGTATTATAGAGCTTTATGCACCTCAAGGCATCATTCACACTTGTGCGACTTGTTATGCGACTTTGGACATCAAAGTTACATGACAAGTTGCGCCCATTCTTTCCAATGGCACCCCTTCAAATCTGTTCGACTTTGAAAAGGTTCCTGCACTACTTTGATGTGATTTTGAGTGTAACGTCAGATCAAAGTTACACTCAAAGTCACACTCTAAAGTCTCACTCCTGGCATCGTGCTAGTGTGAATAGAGTTTATAGCAGTTAAAGGGATGTTTTTGTTAATACTTTTATTCACAATTTGTAGGATTAAAAATTTTAATTTGTGATACACTGCAAATGAACATTTCTTTTTTACAAAGTTCAGCCAGTGGTTGGAGATCTTTAGACTACTGACTGTAGTTGTTTTGCAGTTGTTCACATCTTTGCTATATAGAGAGAGAGCTTCATACTTTTAATTCTCTGCTGTTCAGCTCTTTTCAGAATGTATACATTGTATGAGCCCACCAGTGCTGTAAATTTACCGTATTTTTCGCTCCATAAGACGCGCCTAGGTTTTAGAGGAGAAAAACAAGAAAAAAAAATATTCTGAACCAATGGACTGCAGACACAGTACAGGAGATGACCAGAGACCGTGGACACAGTACAGGAGATGACCAGAGACTGCAACAACAATACAGGAGATAACCAGAGACTGCGGACACAGTACAGGAGATGACCAGAGACTGCGGGCACAGTACAGGAGATGACCAGAGACTGCGGGCACAGTACAGGAGATGACCAGAGACTGCGGATATAGTACAGGGAATGACCAGAGACTGCGGACACAGTAAAGGAGATGACCAGAGACTGCAGACTGTACAGGAGATGACCAGAGACTGTGGACACAGTACAGGAGATGACCAGAGACTGCGGACACAGTACAGGAGATGACCAGAGACTGCGGACACAGTACAGGAGATGACCAGAGACTGCGGACACAGTACAGCAGATGACCAGAGACTGCGGACACAGTACAGGAGATGACCAGAGACTGCGGACACGGATGCCCAGTGATGCATATGTGTGGTGCGTGTGCACATAGTACAGATGACCAGAGACTGCAGACAGTGCAGGGGATGACCAGAAACTGCAGACAGTAAAGGAGATTACCAGAGGCTGCGGACCTTTGGGGAGGGAGGGGGAGCAGGTACCTGAATTTGACAGGTAACCGCTCCTACTTCCGCGGAGTTGTCCTTCCTTCTTCTTCCCGCGGCGGCTTCTATGACAGCCGGGTGCCCACTGCGCGTGCGCGAGAAGCTCTGCGCTTTGTGAATGGCCGGAGCCTTCTGGGACCTGTCATGTGTCCCAGAAGACACCAGACCATTCACAAAGCGCAGCGCTTCTCGCGCATGCGCAGTGGGCACCCGGCTGTCACAGAAGCCGCCGCGGAAGACTGCAGCGCTGGAGCGAGGAACAGGTAAGGTTCTGCAGGAGAGAAGAGCTGAGCGGCTGGCCCGATATTCTGACATGGTGGCGGCAGAAATACCGGACCAGCCGCTTTACATTCGCTCCATAAGACGCACTGTCATTTCCCCCCCCTTTTTTGGGGGGAAAAAAAGTGCATCTTATGGAGTGAAAAATACGGTATATAGCAATGTGCAGATATTGCAAACCTGTGTGGACAAAGCACTGGATGACATCTCATTAGTGCAGGTTTTTCCGCATGATGTCTACTGTTGTATTTGCAAATAATAATATTTCCATAACAAAAAAAAAGTTTTGATGAAGGTCACATCAGCTCCTGTCACTGGATCCTAGTACATATAGACAGTGTATAAAACAATTTATAAAAAAATCATGTTAATATTCCTTAACCCCTTCCTGCCCACCCTGGTATCCCTTTAAACAGTTTGAAACATATGGGGGATGGGAAGGTTCGGCAGCTATGTAACCACTGTAAGTTGTCACATGATTGAAAGCCAGTCTTGCTGGCTACCTATCTTTTGACAGGACCAAGTCAAGGTATTTGTGCTGAGAGCATGCAGTGAATGTGCTCTGTACACATATACATGGGCTGCCCAGTGATGCATATGTGTGGTGCGTGGGTATCAAAGACCACTCTTTTGACGGCACACATACTGTATGTGTTGGGTGGTCATAAAGGGGTTATCATCTTCGCAGAAATTACACTGCACATAGGAGTGCCAGTATATGCAGCCAATTAGACTTTATTAAATTGTACATTTCTGTCTAAAATACTGGGGAGGTGTCAGGGATGTTTAATTTACAGTAGGGGTAGGACATAAGGTAAACACCCCACAGGGACACATGATGATGTACCGGTAAGAATTTAGAACTTTGGAAGGTGTGTGTATCGTAATATTCTGTCCTGTGGTTTCATAGCTGCCTATAACTGTATATGTACGATATATATGAAAAAAAGAAGCTTTATAAAATAATTGCCTCGCAGTACTGTTTGTAATATGTACTGAATCCCCTGCAGGTATGATGACTGCTGTTTCCTTCACCTGCCTGACCTGGTTATGATCTTTGACCTGCAGTGGTTGTGCCATGGGAACCCCCATGATCATCATAATGTAGCACTTCGTTCCCCTGACTATGTCGCAGAGTTCTCTTCCATCCAGCCTCATGACTCTTACCGTGCCTTCCGCTCTGAGAACCTCAACCTTTCCATTAAGATGGACCTGTCTCAGTCACATAATGGTGGGTGATATGTATTGTTATTTTATAAGGTGTGAGGCTTGTAGGGCAAATATTAGCATAATATAATTGGTTTCTAACCTGTTTAACATTTCAGCTGGTTTATCTTTGCACTCTGCATCTTTGTCTTCTAATTTTTGTTTTCCTACTGAGTGCACCTCCTAGATTTTAAAGCTGGCCATAGATGAATTGATTCACCTATGGGACCAGTTGAATTTTGATCTCTTTATGGCCATTCCCATTTGAAAGAAGTCAACCTAGTGATCAACTGTTTTCGAATAAATTGCTGGTATTTTTTTGCTTTCATGACAATTGGCTGCAATGCTGATTATTGTTTTCAGGCAGCAGAGGAGTTCTGCTGTCAGAATACATTAGTGTAGCTAGGTGGATGTCCTCATTTACCTTGAATGTGTGGATGGAGGAATCTTGTTTTTTTTGTTTTTATTTTAGGCTGACCAAAAAAAGCTAATTCATCTATGGCCAGCCTAATGCAGGGTATACACACAGGGAGTTATTTTTCGTTTAACCCAGAAGGCTGAATGAAAAAAAACTGAGAGGTCGCCATGCTAAGTGATGTTAGTGTGCCGATTTTCCCTGCTGAGCTATTGTGTTCTAACATAGGGACCACCCCCTGCCAGGACACACTGATCATCATTTGCAGTCATTGCCTGCAAACGGTGAGTGAAAGCATGCCCGGTCAAGAAAAGCTGGTCAGGTGGCTGTACACACGGACCAAATGTCAGATGGTTTCTGTTGAACAGGCCGATAAGAGATGATATTTGGCTCGTATCTACCAGCCTTAAGTCTCTTGGTAGTTGGTTGCAAATACCTCGCCACAGAGATGTCGCATTTTTCTAATGAATGGAAGTGTCTATGCAAATAAGATATTAAATAAAAAGGTGTGCACTCTTTTCAGCCATGGACCATTATAAACTGACAGACGGCATTGTCAACAAAATAGTCCAAACATATAAAAAGTATGCCTGCACACCATTGTAACAAAATGGTGATGTGTGTAACATTTTGAGGCTGCTGAGTACCTTACTGTTGCCTGAGGAAGGGGTCCTCAGTGGCCTGAAAATGTCACAAGCATTATGTGGTTGCGAATAAACATTTAATTGTCATACAGTCTGCTGCTGATGCTTATAATCTTAGTGAAAATAATAGGTTGCACACAGGGGCGGACTGACAACTCATGGGGCCCCCGGGCAATAGGGGATCATGGGGCCCCTGTGTCCTTGCCCAAGCTCAAAAAAGCCTATGAAAAAGGTACCAGGGGTATCTCATGGGGCCCCCTACTGACCCCGGGCCCTCGGGCAGTGCCCGAGTTTCCAAATGGTCAATCCGCCCCTGGTTGCACACTTTTCATGTGTTTTCCTGCTTTAGACCTTTCCTGTCAGTGAGTATGACATCTGTCTGCATCACAGGAAATCATACATCTGTACAGTGAGCTATGGACCAGAACAGTTGCAAAGTGGTTAGCACTTTTTCTTTATAGCACTGGGGTCCTGTGTTTTATTTCCAGGAAGACACTAAATAAATTTGGTGTGTATTTTAATGGGTTTTCACGGGATGCTCATTTAATATAATAGTAACATAGTTACAGGTGCATTTGAAAGTAGTGCACGGTACATAACACTTCGGAGTGACATGACTAAAGTTTTATATGCTGATGCTCCAAATTAAAGAATAACTAAACTAAAAAAAAAATGAATGTAGCCTACCAATAATTGAATGTGGTGGCTGCTTCAGTTTTTGTTTTTTTTTCAAGCTTTTATTCCTTCTTTTTAATGTGGTGCTCAGCCAGTAACATACTTCCTGTCTTAGGGTGGCTACATTCAGTCCTCAACTGTATCAATGGCCACCCTTGGACAGCAGCATTGCCAATCAGTGGAGAAGGCGGTGTTGGATGGAATAGTAAATATAGGTGGGCTTTACATAAGTGAATAACAATTTAAAGCCCAACTCCAGCTAACACCAATTAAGCAGTTATAGCATATGGGATAAAGGTTTTATATACATGAATAAATCTGACCATTGTAAGCATCCCAGAAACAGGATCTAAGAATAGAGGACAGGCAGTCTGCCCCCTCCATTCATAGATCACATTTTGTTCATAGAGGTTGTAGCATGGCTTTTATGACTGGAGCAGCTGGGTAGAAAGAGTGGACATAGTGTAGCTAGCTCTTTGATGAAAGCCTGTGGCAGCTCGTTGTGTTTAACCCCCGCTGAATTGGAAGATTGCGGCTCATAGTGACGGGGGGGGGGGGGGTTATGTGTGGAAGAGGTTGAGGGGCATGGACAGAGGAGTATTCCTCTACTAACAGAAGAACATATTCTGTCGACCTACCGACTGTAATGTAGGCTTTAATTTTGGTGATTGTGTGCATAAGACATTTTTGTTTTACAGCACTTTAACATAACAATGTTACTGTTCCGTGCAAAGCTTGTGTAATTTGACAACTTAAAGCGGAGCTCCACCCAAAAGGGGAAGTTCCGCTTTAAGGACTGCTCCCCCGCTCCCCATTAAGGATTGGCACCTTTGGAGAGCGGGTACCTGAATTTAACAAGTATCCGCTCCCACTTCCAGTCCGATTGCCTAGGCGGTCGGAAGCGGAAAATGTTCTCCTTCTTTCCCTCCCTGTAGTCTTTTGGAACACGTGACAGGTCCCAGACGACTACAGGACCATTCATGAAGCGCAGCGCTACTCGCACATGCGCAGTGGGTACCCGGCTGTGACTCACATCACAGCCGGGTGCCCACACTGAAGATGCGGCCTCCTGGAATACAGGACGGCCAGTGAAACGAGCTGCGGGGGACACACCACGGGACCGAGGGACAGGTAAGTGGCTGTTTTTTTTAAAATCAGCAGCTACAGGTTTTGTAGCTGCTGACTTTTATTTTTTGATAGGTTGAGTGGAACTCCGCTTTCAAAACGTTTGTTGATCATACTGCAATCTTCCCAAAAATCATAAGGAGTGTTTAAAGCAATACATGTTTTACTTTGTCTAGAAGTGTGCCAGCCTCGCATTTTGGTATACAGCAGCACCTTACGTTGGATGCAGAATTTTTGGGCAACATGGAGCAGTGTGACCCGCCCCATCTGTAGAGGGAAGCTGTTTAATAACCTGAAACCGGGAAAGAAGAAGCTGGGACAGCACTACAAGCAGCTCTCATACACTGCATTATTTCCACAGCTACAGGTAGGAAACCCCGCCACCCAATCTATGACTGATTTACTAAAAGATTTCAGAATGTTCACAAAATAAATTTTATATAGATTAATTTTAGTTTTCCAATCATGGAAAAAGTAAATCCCTGTTTACATATTTCATCTGCATGTGATTAGATAGTTTTAGTGAACATTCTGAAAGCCTCAATGATTTGATGCGGGGGGGGGGGGGGGGCTGTATAAGGAAGTAGCACACAGCTTTATGTTTTCTTCTTCTCCAGATCCACTACTGGGCCTCCTTTGCCCAGCAGAGAGGGATCCAGGTGGAGTGTAGTCAAGGCGAAATCTTCACCCGTGGAGTGCAGAGACTCATCCCACAAGGTAATATTTATTGGAAAGTGACAGATTACTTTCACTACATACTAGGATATTGTTGATAGGCTTACATAGGAATACTCACATGAACTTAGAATGGCATCTTGCATGTACAAACAAGTATACACTGGGAATGCATGCACCAACTCAGATCTTGCATGCTACGTGGCAGCACATGTGCACAAATTAAAGAGATATGATTAAATACATGAAATTTAGGTAGCATTTGTCCTTAAGATATTATGTATAAAGGAAAATGGTTCTATATTGTATATATGGGGTACTGGCGGGCACTGTGGACACATTTTACTTTAGATAGGATTTCCTGTAAATTGCTGGTATTTCAGTTCCGCCCAGCCCCATGCTTTAGCTGCTCTAAAACATGCTATGTGCTAATGAAATATAGTGTGACCAGATATGGTGTTTCTGAACAACTGAGAGTATCATCTGTATGACAAGTATATAGAAGTTTCAAGCAGCATTGATGGTGTTACACTGGGCATGGGTCATCAGGATATGCCAGCTCAACTATTATAGAAAATAATATACCACCGATACAAAGTTTAAAGCTTACATAGAAGTCCTTTTACTGTCCCCAGTGTGCAGATATACAATGCACTTGACTAGGTAAATGAGGGTTAAAATCCATCAATTACTCTTAATGCTTTCATGTGTTACTATACTAGGAATACTTTACATGCAGGAGGAAATGTCCACTAATTTATCTTGCGTGTGGGGGTTCCATTTTTGACCTATTAGGTGTGATCATACATGATAGCTGTAATGCATTCTTTTGCACAAACACAGACAAACCATAGACAGTGGTGACCAATGTCATGTACTACTGTACATGGTGACCGCCGGACTCTGTACTATTGTGCATGCACCCAGAAACTTTTATATCCAGGAAAAGTAATGTTTGCACCGTCAAAGGAGAGCACTGTCATGTGTTATATTTGTTGACATTTGTTAATGTTGCCTAAGGAGATGTGATGTTTCCATTTTACTATAAATTCCAATACCTGGTTAAAGGTCTTATTATGTCACCTAAAGTGTAAAGAAAAAACTTGCCAACCAAGATCAAAAGGTGAGAGTAAATAGTTCAACACAGGGCAATTGTTTGGTGACAACTAAGAAAAAAATTCCCTTCAATCTAGGGAAATGTCCTCCCTCTTCATTTTGTGTCTCCAGGACAGGAAATGAAGAGAAGTCTACAGGACACACCGCAAAAATAAACCGATTGGTTTTACCCGTGCCCTACTGTATCCTAAACCTAATTAAAAGAAAGTTTTGCCTGGACATACACATTAAATTTGTCTCAATTTTACAAGATCATACCAGTCTGCTTTGTTTTTCTTGCTGCTTTTTCCAATAAAGCAGATCATTCTGCAGTCAAATTATAAAGAATCATTATTAGATATATCATTGTTTTGCATAAAATGTGCAGTTATGGTGAAAAGTAAGTACAGTGCAACCCATGGAAATTGTTTTACTTTAACATACCTGAGCAGGCAAACATTAACTCTTGATTCAAATACTGCCTAAAGATGATATACTTAAACAAATGTCACATAAAATTGACATGTATTATTCATTTTCATTATCTAAATTGACAAAAATGCAAATATGGAAAAATTAAGCATGCATCTACATTTACCACCACTTCAAATTACATTACATTTGAATCTGGTGTAACAGATTAGGTGCCATTGATTAGAACCACCTTAGGCAGTAGGCAGAAGGGACTTGTCTAATTTGAACCATAGACATATAGGGGTTTATTTACTAAAGCTGGAGAGTCCAAAATCAGACTCCCTTCTGCATAGAAACCAATCAGCTTCCAGGTTTCATTGCCAAAGCTTCATTGAACAAGCTGAGGTTAGAAGCTGATTGGTTTCTATGCAGAAGGGAGTCTGATTTTGGACTCTCCAGCTTTATTATTATTATTATTATACAGTACTTATAAAGCGCCAATAGTTCACTCAGCGCTGTACATTACAAGCTTTAGTAAATAAACCCCATAGAGTCTGGTTTTCTGTTTTGTTGTTGATTATATGTGGTATCATGCCAAGATCAAATAAGCCCTCTAAGGCCCTCAAAAAATTGTGGATGCCTGTGAGTCTGGCAAGTAATTTAAAAGGACTGCCAAATAAGAGAAAATCAATCAATTCCACCTTAAAACAGAGTTCCACCCAAAATGGGAAGTTCCACTTTAAAGATTGGTCCTCAACTCCCCATTAAGGATTGGCACCTTCGGGGAGTGGGGGGGAGCAGGTACCTGAAATTGACAGGTACCCGCTCCCACTTCCGCTGCTGTCGCCTAGGCGATCGGAAGTGGAAGTTGTCCTACCCTCCCTCCCTGTAGTTTTGTGGGACATGTGACAGGTCCCAGAAGACAACATGGCCATTCATGAAGCGCATGTGAAGTAGGCACCCGGCTGTGAAGCTGCAAGCTGTCACAGCCGGGTGCCCAGACCAAAGATGCCGGCGCCTGGAATACAGGACGGCCGGTGAAACGGGCTGCGGCGGGGGCACTGCAGGATCGTGGGACAGGTGAGAGGCAGTTTTTGTAGCTGCTGACTTTTATTTTTTTTACAGAGTGAGTGGAACTCTGCTTTAAGTAAAATAATCTACAAGTAGCATAGCATTCAGATAACTTCTAATTTGTCCAGAACTGGCCAGCCTACCAAATGTAACCAAGGAGTTGATCTTATGTTACTAAAAGAACTCTTCCAAGGACCACAAAATTTCATTGTGGAGTTTTCAGGTAACTTTTGCAATAGTTGGGTCAAAGTGCCTGCACCTAAAAAATAGCTACAAAGAGACAATTTTGCTTAAGAGTTCAATACCAGTTTTTGATGGCAAAGGAGTACTTAATTTTTCCACAGTACTCAATTACAGCTATTGATATTTTTGTTGAATAATTTATTCAAAAGGCAAAATATATTTGTGTTCTTATTAAAGTTTATCACCTTTATCTGTAGGTCCTGTTTATATAAAGAGATATGTTTACCAGGTCAAATATGTTGAAAATGTCAACAATTTTCATGGGTTGTGCTTTAATTTTCACATGACTGTATATCACATTTTTCCTTTACTTGAGGTTACTGATCAGTTGCTGCCTATAGATTACATCTGGTGGTTAGCTTGTAAAATGTACAATGCAATACAAAATTCTCCTTCACTGAGTAAAGAGGATGCCTCCCATCTCTTTCTAATAAATACAGTATATGCAAACACTGGTGACATTGACATGTGACAGTGCCCTCTATTTTATCTATGAACTTTGTCAGTCACATTGGGGTTTATTTACTAAAGCTGGAGAGTCCAAAATCAGACTCCCTTCTGCATAGAAACCAATCGGCTTCTAACCTCAGCTTGTTCAATGAAGCTTTGGCAATGAAACCTGGAAGCTGATTGGTTTCTATGCAGAAGGGAGTCTGATTTTGGACTCTCCAGCTTTAGTAAATAAACCCCAGGGTGTCTGCATACTTAGCCACCCTCTAAAGTCCAGGGGCTTATTCAGGAACAATGTGCAGTAACAAACAGCGGTCAGTAGGAATTCATCTGTCAGTCTTCTGACTTTAGTAACTTGAAATTGAAAATTCAGATTGGTTGCTGTTTTTTACTAAAATTTCTTCAATTTGCGGTGCTTATTAAGGGTAAGTGTCTGACCTAGTTTCAACAAATAATTAATAGGAAGTAACATTTGATAATGTCTTATCATGTTTGATGTTTGAATATGGAATGCTGTATTAATTTGCGTGACTATGTTTCTCTTTTCACTGATTCTGACGAATGTGGACATCAATTCCAAACTAAAATGTATGTATTGCTTTGTACTTGATGTTTGTGCATTATTTCACTCCATAGATGCCATTAATCACACATTAGCTGTTCAAGTGATGGTCTGTTTGGGTAAATTGTCTTTGTTTAGAATAATATGAATTTCATCTACATTTTTTAATTGGTTATTGCTTTTTCAGAGTTCCAGAGTATGCAGTTTATCGGCTAAAAATAATCTTTGGCTCTTTATTTACTGATTTTATATCCTTATCACCTTAGCTGGTACAGTGATGCGTCGCCTCATCTCAGAGTGGAGTGTACCTCAAATGACCAGCAAACTCAACCTTGTCACTGTACATCTTATGGCCTCTGCCTGTGATGAGAATGCAGATCACCAGCTTGACAACCTGGTACAGAAAACCCATCTGCTCAGTCTTTCATCACTGAGCTATGACAGACAGGTAGGGTTGACTAACATAATGTGCACCTAACAATATGCTTTGTCTTAGTCTAGGTTCACACCTATGCGTTTTCTGCTGCATTTTGCAGAAACACACAGCAGTCCATTTAACATGATTTCCTATGGGACTGGTTCACATCTCTGCATTTTCACCCGGTGCGTTTTTTTTTTTTTTTTTTTTTTTTTTAAAAGGGATTTCTTTAAATGCAAAATGTTGTGTTTTTGGTTCTATATACTTCAATATAGATGCTGCAGAAAAGCATGTAAGTGCGTTTTTGATGCGTTTTGCATTTTATTCTGCCCAGCAACGAGTTGAACAAAAAAAAAAAAAACGCACCGCGCAAAAAGCACTGCAGAAATGGATCAAATGCAAACTGCATAGGTGTGAACCTAGCCTTAATCAGGGTTTTGGATAATAATGCCTAATTATACAGTATGTTTAGTCATTGATTTAAAACAACTTTTCACTTTTGGTAAAATAAAAATCTACATCCAACTTGTCGATTGAAGGACACAGGAAGTCTCATGCCTTAGAGTTATCTGCCACCTACCGGAGGCAGTTAACCTGGCAAAAACAAAAAGTAGCCTTTATTGTGACTAAACCTATACAGTCCTTTAAAGCCTGGTATTTTGTTATCTTGTTATAACTGAATAAACATATTTGGGGAAAGAAACCCTAAAAAGTAGCCTTACTTGGGCCGCTGGTTGCCTTTATTTCCCACTGATTTTGCTGCAGAAAGGGTTAACACTGTGGGACTAAGCACTGACGTCATGCGGTAGGTGGAGTGTCATGTGTGGTCCAAACTTCCTTTCTTGCCTAGGCCTTGCCTCTTCACCTGAGTCTTTACCACCACATAGTCACAATATGATTTTAAACACAGGGCAGCAGCCTTACATTCTACTAAGGCATCTAGGCCTGCTTACAGTGTGTCTTCTGATGGTGCCAACTTCTGCAGGCAGGAATCATGTTATCGTGTGGTCTTAGAGACCTTTCTGTCCTTTGAGTTCTGTTTGGCTATGTCTGAAGTGGTTGGGTCCGCTCTCCTCTTGACTGAGGTTTTTAGTGTGGTCATGCAAGATTTTATGCCCAGGTTATACAGCTATTTTCTGATTTTGATTGCAGAAGCCACAAGCAGGCTTTCAAGTTCTCTCCTGCAGATTCTATATCTGAATCCTAGGATTAGGGTGGTGAGCTTGCCTCTGAGGAGTCAGTCAGTTCTTTTGATGTGCTCCCAAAGGTGCCTTTTCGGTACACTTTTGAAAAACTGTGCCAAAGATGCAGCATGCAGGATGTTTCAAAGTGCACCGCACCTGCAGTTTGAACCGTTACATAGCATTTAATTTGGAAAAGTTTTCATGTGCTTTTGTCTACCCTGGAAAAGTGTTGCAAAAGCGCACCAGTGTGAAAGGGGCCTAAAGGTTTAGCCTGTTGCTTCTACCAGTGCTGTTTCCAGCCTTGGGTGCCTTAAAACTAAGGCCACGAAGACTTTCCATTTACACCTGCTTTTCCAATTATTTCTCTGTGGATATTGAAAGCATCACGACAAGCTGTTTGCTTCCTATTAACACTTATTAGCCTTGTATCCTTTTAGTGAGGATTTTGTGCAGAAGTGGTCCCACTGTGGATCTGCAGTGTCCCGTCTTAACAGGGCTTTTACCATTGTGGTGGAAGATCCATCTGTCTTTAACCCCTTTGCGCCGGCCGCACGCAAATGTGCGGCCTCCCGGCGTCTGGGCCTAGACGCCGAGCGGCCGCACATTTGCGTCCATGGAACTAAATACATATGTGCTGGGAGCGCGCGCCCTGCGCGCTCCCAGCACACATGTGTAGTACTCACGGAAAGGTTCCGCTCCGCTCTTTCGAACGGGACCTTTCCCCATCATGTGACCGCCGTGACGCGTCATCACGGCGGTCACATGATTCCTAAACCACGCCCCCACCGCCCCGCCTCCCGGCGTCAGAATCTCTTAAAGGGCCGGGAGGCGGCGTCAAGGGGTTAAGGACCCAACCATTTAAGTGGTTGAAAGTCCTTTTCAGAGCTCAGTTCTCGCTGGCGGGCCGCACCCTTCATCCAATCCTCTCTGTGACCTTTACTTTATCACACTATGTCTGATTAGGTTCTATTTAAAGCGGAGTTCCACCTGCAAAAAAAAAAAAAAAGCAGCTACAAAAACTGTAGCTGCTGACTTTTAAAATACAGACACTTACTTGTCCCTCGGTCCAACGGCGTCCTCACCAACGCTGGTTTCACCAGCTGTTTTCTCTTCCTGGGGCCAGCATCTTCAGTGTGGGCACCCGGCACTGCACATATGTGAGAAGTGCTGCACTTTGTGAATGGCCCCGAAGTCTTCTGGGATCTGTCACGTGTCCCAGAAGACTGGGGAGGGAGGGGGGGGACAACTACCGCTTCCGATCACTTAGGCGATCGCAGCAAAAGTGCGAGTGGGTACCTGTCAACTTCGGGAACCCACTCCCCAAAGGTGCCAATCCTTAATGGGGAGTGGGGGACAAAGGCTTAAAGTGGAACTTCCCTTTTTGGGTGGAGCTCAGCTTTAAGTACAAAACTGAGGCATGCTACTTGTAGGAGGGGTTATCCTAGGCTGGCTTACAGTTTTTTGTTTGCTGGTGTCCAATCTCGCTGAATATTTAGTACATAGCACATGGTTTTAGGGCATTTGGCAGCAGTCTTTTGTTCACAGCAAACATGTTTTGTATTCCCAAACAAATTGATGAGAATTAATTCTGAATTTTAGAAGTCTGATGGCATTGACATAAGGCCAAAACCTATCAACACAGAACTTTATTAACATTGTTTTATAGTACAGTTATAGAGAAAATTTAGACTTGCATATACAGAACCCATTTTCTCCGTTTCACCATGTTTTTCAAACGGCTGATTAACAGGAACTGTCTCCTACTGGTGAAGAGAATGCCATCTACACCCACCGGCTGCATCTGGTTGACCTCAGGGCTTCTTGGACAACTCTTAACAGAGACATAGCTTTTGGTCTTTATGATGGCTATAAGAAAGCAGCAGTCCTGAAGCGAAATCTCTCCACAGAGGCCTTGAAAGGACTCAAAATTGATGCCCAGTTGCAGGCTAAGAAGCTGAAACGCAGCTCCTCACGCAACTTTCCTTCTCCAAAGCATGCCACACCACCTGTAGTTACTGGAAGGAGTGAGAGATCTCTATCTGGAGGTAGGAGATGTTACTGGAGCTTTCACACCAAAATTGCTAGGTTGTCTCTTATGAGTTGTTAAAATTTGTGCATTTACAGTTTATAAATATATATTTGGGCCATAAAAATATTTTTCTGTGTCCAGAGGTAAATATCTGCAAATAGGGTGACCTTTTTTATTTTTTTTTTTAACCTTATCCTATTGGTTTGATTGCCAACTTGCAGCAAACATTAAGTGTGCTGCTTTCTCCAGAGCACATAAAAGGGTAAGTCATTCCAAAACTGATAACTTGTTTCTTTGGAAATGGTATTAAATTTAGTAATCTGGCTTCTGAATACTTTGGTGCTTTCAACAGCATTAGTTTCAATCGCTTGACATCCCCCTAACAGAGTCGTAGTATATTGCTTATGCTGTGCTATAGAGTATTTGCTTCCTGCTGGATTCTCCAAGGGTATATATTAAGATTTTAAAATGAGCTTGGATGACAGAATGGCATGATGTAAATCCATTGGTGTCACGCCCACGGTGGGATGTAAAATCGTAGCCTTTGGGGTATCCCTGCCTCTCCAAAATAATCTGGTGAGTAATAGAGTTTCATAGCACAGCACCCCATTCTCTCCTCAAAAATTGGCTATTGCTGCATTTGTACTTAAATACAATAAAGGATAAGTTTGCCTTTACAAAAAAAATAATAAATGCACATTTTTTTTGCAGAGTCTTTTTTTTTTTTGTTAGGAGCTTGTAAAGCATTGCACCCATGATCAGCGGATCGTGGGTATAAAGCCAAAGAGCTGCATACTGTCTGTGTATCTGTCTGCCTGTACCGCCAATACGGGCAAGTAGTTACACTCTGACAGGTAGAATGAATGGACTATCAAGAGTGCTGAATAGTGCCCTGGTAGTTCATTAAGAACTGCAAGCTGACAGCCGTAATGGCTGTTGATACTTGTAGTTTTCACATTCACAGAACACTATATAAATGAATGACACAGCGGGGCGGGCGCAGAGCCCTGCACGGCCACATTTTTTTTTTTTTTTTTATTTAGAAGATCCCCACTCACTGTCAAAACGGGGACTCGGGAGCAGAGGTTAGTGCATGTGTAACATGGTACACCCTAAACATGGGTGTAACATGCTACAAAAGGTGAACTTATCCTTTAAAATCATGTGCCCCCCCCCCCCCCCCATTCACAATTTTAGTGTGTGGTCTGTTTCTGCCCAATGCACGATCACTGCAGACAAATGTGATACTTAATACATAAAAGTAATAAGTATAGGCTTCCACTTAGCTTTGACTCAGTTGCTGCTTGTATGTTTATACTTTTCTATCCTCATCCTTCTTTAGGAGCTGACATGCTACAGAAGTTGATTGAGGAAACTGATAAATTTGTCGTTTTTACTGAAGAGGAGTCTGGTGTGAGTGAGCAGTTGTGTGGAAAAGCTGCCTGTCAGGACACAGACATCTATAATCACAACTGGCTTATTGAGCTGGTAAACTGTCAGGTAATGGTGTATTGCTGAATTTATCCTTTATAGAGCTGTAAACCGGACATGTAGAAAAAGAATGAACTATAGAACAAGCTTAAAGCAACGTGTGCACTTAATTGCCACCCGCCCCAGCTGTATATACTTGTTTTTTTTCCCCATGATGCTCCACTTGGCCACCGGGAGTGAGACAAAGCCCTGTATTGGAGCTAAAGATTCTTTCAGCTCCCATGTTAGTGCTGGAGGCCTAAGCATCCAATTACCAATCATCAACTTATTATTTTGACCTATTCATAAAACTTGAGTTGAAGGTACTGGTCTCAACTCAGTGAAACCTGATGATCTCGAAACCACATTCCACCATTTACATTTACCATAAAAGAAATCTTGCTTTCCATGTTCTTATACATGTCCCACTTTTGGGTCTGCAGATGGTGCTTCGAGGAGCTGAGACAGAAGGCTGTGTGATTGTGTCTGCAGCAAAAGCCCAACTTTTGCAGTGCCAGCACCACCCATCCTGGTATGGAGACACCCTAAAGCAGAAAACATCTTGGACCTGCCAGCTCGACAGCATGCAGTACTTTGCTACTACTGAGAGCAGCCCAAGTGAGGGAGAAGCTGGACAGCGCTGGCTGGAGGTAAGTCTTTGTTCTAGATAACATTTTACTTGTGAGCATTAATTTCATTTGATATTTACATTATAGGTTGGATCTCTGTCTTAAGCAGGGGCAGACTGACAACTCATGGGGCCCCTGGGCAATAGGGGAGCATGGGGCCCCTGTGTCCTTGCCCAAACTCAAAAAAGCCTATGAAAAAGGTACAAGGGGCATCTCATGGGGCCCCCTACTAACCCCCCGGGTCCTCAGGCGGTGCCTGAGTTTCCAAATGGTCAGTCCGCCCCTGTTCTTAAGTATGTTAAAAGCTACTATCTTTTTATTGTTCTAACAGTGATGTAAAAATTGGAATCTTTTTTATAGATGCTTACAATTACTTAATATATCAACTTGTCAACAAGTGCCATCTGTATTGCCCCTTGGTATTCAGTCAAAGTTTCCAATTTATTTCTTTTTAAATAGGATCGATTGCTGTAGAGCAGGCAATTCTTATTAAAGTCCCATTGATAACTAAGACCAAGAGTTGTAGAACCAGTTGTTTTTGGTTCATCAATATGATTTCTGTGATGTATAGCTTTTGTTGCGCAGCCTAGTTATTTGTAGCTTTTCGCTGTCGATGGAAAATTTTGTATCCACTCATTCCCTTTAGGTCAAAAACATTGAGGAACATCGTCACAGGAATCTGGACACTGTGCAAGAGTTGATGGAGAGTGGTCAGGCTGTTGGAGGCATGGTCAACACAACTACAGGTCAGAACCGTATTAGTACTTTTTATTGCTATGTCATAAAATTAAATATTGATTGGAATCAATTTCATCTGTTTGTCTGTCCATGTAACAGACTGCAGTCAGCCGACAGAGGCCCAGCAAAACCAACAGGTCCAGAGAATAATCTCCCGCTGTAATTGCCATATGTATTACATCAGCTATAGTCATGATATTGACCCAGAGCTGGCTTTGCAGATTAAACCACCCCCAACACCTTTACACCCAGAGAAGGAAGACTTGCTTAAAGGACAAGAAGGTATGTTTTAAATTTGCTGTGCGAATCTAAGGTACTACATTTCAGTTCTTTGGAAACAGCCAGTGTTTTGTGTTGTGTTATGATTTCAAGAGAGCGTGATTAGAAGGTTGTCATGTTTCCAGATTTCCAAATTTTATTTATCTACTGAATGGTTGTTTTTATAAAGTGCAATCAACAGAATTACATCAACCAAAAGGGGAAGATCTTTCAGAGAATTGTGATTGTTGCTGAGAGAATTCTTTAGCTCCAGGATCCATCTCTTCTGTGATGCCATGTTATGTTTTGCACATCCAAAGTGTAAGAAATGATTTCCATTCCTCAGGCTAGATATAATGGACTTATTTTATCATTCGCTCATAAGCAGATGCAGACACGGATGAATATAGCTCCTCCCACCTCCACAAGAGACAGGGGAGATCTGTCTTTTGCGGTTTTTCTAACAGTTTCTGAGCTTCCATAGCAGCTGTAGGACAGATGTAGTTGAAAAAAGACCAATGTCCATCAAGTTTATCCTCTCACAACTCCTTTAACTTTATTCTAGAGGAAGACCAAACCAAAAAAAAAAAATCTGTTCCTCCGATGTTTAATTTCTTTTTCGGAGGCAAAGTTCAGAGATAGTAACCAGCAAGTGTAATGTATATATCTTTGTTGCAGGCATAAAACTTACAGTTTAGTAGAGTTATATTTATGTTATTACCTACCAGCATTGCCATTTTTTCAACAAATGGACCCATTTTGTTTGTCTGTGCTAGTATGTGATATATGATGTATAATGTGTGCAACCAAAAAACTGTGTTAATGTGTTATGTTTAGCTGCTGCAGATACATTTACCCTCAAACACCAGCATCTGGAGATCTCCACAAATCCAGCACAGTATGCCATGATCCTGGACATAGTTAACAACTTGCTTCTACATGTGGAGCCAAAGCGTAAGGTGTGTGTTTTTTGTTATTAATATTAGAGCCCATGATGATGGCTTTGTAAAGCATTTCCTCCCTGCACATCATGGCAGTAACTGTTCCAAGTAAACCCAGTTAAGGAATGGACATGTTTGCTAGCTTGGAACAAACAAACTTTGAAAAATTGAAACTGCGTACACCTAAAGTGATTCTAAAGGTACAAATGTTCTTTTAAAAAAAATAAACAAATATTTCTTACCTGCTGTGTAACAGTTTTGCACAGAGCAGACATGCTCCTCCTCTGCTCAGGTCTCCGCTGGCACTGTTGGCTCCTCCTCCCCTCCCACTGAGTGCCCCCATAGCAAGCCACTTGCCATGGAGGCACTCGTATGTGCTCGCTTCCAAGCCAGCTTTGTGTGTGCATAAGACACACAGAACGTGGCTCGGCCCTACGCCCCATTCCCTCCTCACTGATTGTGATTGACAGCAGCAGAAGCCAATGGCTCCTGCTGCTGTGTCTGAGCCAGTGAGGAGAGAGAGACTCTGCTCTTGTGCAGAGTCTCAAATGTCTGTATGAATATAAATGAATGCAGTGGTATCATTCGGTCTTGTTTTCTCACCACCCTTAGGAGCACAGTGAGAAAAAACAGAGAGTGCGTTTTCAGCTGGAGATCTCCAGTAACCCCGAGGAGCAGCGCAGCAGTATCTTGCACCTCCAGGAAGCTGTACGACAACATGTCCTGCAAATCCGCCTGCTGGAGAAGCAGATGTACTCTATAATGAAGGTTAAAATCATTATTTGTTACCGTGGAACACAATTATCAAGTTGTGTTTACTGGAAACTATCTTAAAGCATACTTCTCAGCTTAAATGTAAACTGGCAGTAGGAAATAAATGTGTAGTGTTCCAAAACTCATGAAAAACAACAATTCAGCCCCCATCACCTCCCTGCTGGTCCAAACTTGTGAAGAGTGCCCTTACTGAATAATAATAGTGTTGGAGTTCTTGGCCCAAACCACCTGGAAAACATCCCATGGTATGGACAAATATTTCCTATTGCCAATTTATGTGCTCAAAGGCACAAATTATTTTTTTTTCAGATTTGGATAGAGTGAATAAGAGTTCTAATTTTCAGCAATTTTTTGTTTCTTTCTGTATCACCATGCAAAAACATTCAGAGCGTACAGTTTTCATCAGGACAAGAAGGCAGAGACAGCATTAAAAACATCAAACATTCTACCCCTTCTCACACAATAAACGCGTGTTTTGCTTTTTTTTTTTACTCTGTTAGGGAGCTTTCTTATCACTTCCTGTACTCAGAGGATGTTCAGGGAACAATTGAAATGGAAATAAAAACCTTGCAGGGGCCCTACCCTTCCCTGCTCTATCCAAAACCATTATTTTGCTGAGATGAGTGAAAGGCTAACCAGCCAGCTAAACAAAAAAAAAACTTGGCCAAATTTCCCATCCACACATTCGAGGAGGATGGGGAAATCCTCTGTGCTTTGTGTTTGTATTCTGACACAAGACTGTCCTGCTGGCAAAGTTTACTGATCAATAGGCTGCATGCGCCACTCAAGCAGAAATTTTCAAACAAGCCAGTTCGTGAAAAGTCGATCAATAAATTGAACGTGCATTGCTGAACTAACCAAATTTAAATCCATGTATGGCCAGCTTAGGGTACTAGAGGGTATGTGAAAAAACATCTGCATTTTTTGCATGCACTGTACACTTGCTGTGACTACTTGTACTAACTGTTGTAGTTACAGGGGTTGGGAGCCACAGATAAGCACTTTCCATTGCTGATCACTCTCGTATGACAATGAAAACTGAAAAGCAGAGTTAACCTAACTGCTGCTTTTTCATAAAAAAGTGCCTTCCTCTGCCTTAGAGGCACTAAATGCTTTGGTCATAAGGGAGCTAGACATAGCCTTGGAATATTCTATTTTGCAAAAATGTCTCCAGGGCTGCTACTTTATCCACCTTTTGCAGATATGAATCCCAAAAAAAAATTCTCATTTTCAGTTTTATTTGAAATATTAGGTGGGCATATGATGCTTGAACTGCACTTATGATACTTGTTGATCATCAACATATGAAATCAGTCGTCTGCCAGTGCAATAAAGTGCATCCTCCATAATAGTAACTAAAAATTAAAATATGTGTTCTGTTTCAGCGGCTGCATGATGAGAGTAAGAATGATATGCTGCATGAACAGCACCAAAAGCTTCAGACTCAGCTTTGCCAAGAGAAGATGGACTTGCAGCAGAAGAGTGAAGAGCTGAACATCCTTATTAGGTAATTTTGAACAAGCAGGTCTGGACAAGGTTTCTGTGTTTTATAGCATCTTTTAGGCATTCAAGGGAACATTTGAAACCATATTTGTCAGTCCATTATCCCAACCTTTGTAGTTACAGAGTACAGCCTATTCTATTTTAAAAGACAAGTGACCTGCTTCTGTTTGTGTGTTAAACGTAAGCTGACACTGATTCTCCCGCTAGTATACTTTAGTAAAGTTCACAAGAATGCCCTTTCTATTAACATTTTATGGGGTGCAATACAGAAATGTGCATAACCAAATGACTTGCAGTATTAATAAAATGTCCCTTCTTACTATTTTTAATAGCAATAAAAATTGAAATAGCAACTCTATTTCTATTTAGGTTAAATAATGGTGGGTTATATTTTAGGTGTTTCAAAGACTTCCAGCTGCAAAGAGCAAACAAAATGGAGTTGCGTAAACAGCCAGAAGATGTAAGCGTGGTTCGTCGCACAGAATTCTATTTTGCACAGGCACGGTGGCGCCTCACTGAGCAGGATGGACAGCTTGGCATTGCAGAGTTGGAGCTGCAGAGGTTCCTGTATAGCAAGGTTAGAGCAAACGTTAACCCGTTATTGTCTGTGTAACACATATATGCGGTGGAAAAAGGGTGGACGTAACGCTCATATGCTGCATATCTCACTGGGAGACCCGTGTTTCTGTGATGAGAGCACGCTCACTGCAGAGACCGAGCTGTCGAAGACCATTCTCGGTCCCCACTAATGATTGGTAGCCGATGGAACTGGCTCCAGATGATGTGACCACTGTGGCAGGAAATCACAATGGTCACATGATCGCCAATCCTTCCTGCCCCACTGGGTGTTCAGAACCTTTTAAAGGGATATGGGGCGGGAGGGAAGGAATTAAGTACCCTCTTCTCTATCTTTTAAGGTTTTGTAAGTAGAACGTACAAGTTATAACTTGTAACCTATTCCAGCTCCTGCCCCCTCTTCCCCCCTTCAGTGTGACAGTGGGCAGGGGTTCTTCTCCCTGCACCTTCTGTCACTTTTTAAAAGTAGAGCAGCTGTGCGGGGTTCCACCCACACAGTCACATCATTCATTGACAGATTCCTGTGTATGACGCAGCAGATGGACTCGTAGTTTGAATGAACTGCGGACGCACTGATCAGCACCCCCGTAGTTGATTGACACTGCCTACAGCTCTACAAAATGACAGCCCATACAGAGGTACGGGCAACAGAGGTGTAGGCAGTGTGTGCAGGAGCCTGATATTGCACCTGCAACCTTCTAATCATGAGTGCAATACTTTGCAGGTGCCTGTTTTAAAAATTAATAAATTCACAATTTTTTAATCTGCAAAAATATGTGCATTTATTATTTTTTGTAAAGGTGAACTTGACTCTTAACTTGGCAGATAGATGGCTTTCTGGCTGTCTTTTTGATGACCAGCATCAACCTAACATAATGAAAGTGCTAAGTAATTAAATGTGGCCACTTCTACAACTTAGACTAGTGTGAATTTTCAGTGTTTCTCAGGAATTAAGGTAATAATTATAATATATTGCCATCTACGTTCATAATTTTCCTTTTCATATATTGAAGGATATAGGCACTGTGAATTAAAAGCGCTGCCAGTTTGAAAAATAACAGTACAAAAATTAGCCCAGCCTATGAGACAGTTTACCTTGCCCAGGGTTTTCTCTGTTGGGTTGTGCTCTTACCAATTAGTTTTTCCCAGGACCTATTAAGGCCTCTTTCTGGCTTCTTCCTGCGCTCTCACATCAATGTGCATGTGTCTTACCCCGTCCATGTTTCCTTGTTTTTCGAATCACAAAGTTATTGTTCTCCTTGCAGGTAGTAGAGCACCAGGGTGGTGCTGGGTTAGGAGTTTCATAGAACATTGAGTAATATGTAGCTCTGTGTCTGCCCAGATAAACAAAATGCTTTGGTTTTTTAGGTAAATAAGTCTGATGATACAGCTGAGCATCTCTTGGAGCTGGGCTGGTTCACCATGAACAATCTGCTACCCAATGCAGTTTACAAGGTAAGGACCTCAGGCCTGCTCATTAAAGGCTAAGTTCACTTTTTTGGGCAGAATTTCCCTTTTCATAATTAATAGAAGCATTTTCTAAATACATTTCAGGCCCAGTCATCCCAATGTGCTTATCTCTCACTTACCTTATCCACAGGAGGTTTAAAAATCTAGTCTGTTTATTTGAATTTTTAAAATGGTTTTCAGTTTCCATCACTTCCTGTAGATCATCTCTCAGCATTCACTTCCTGTAGGTCATCTCCCAGAAGCATTCACTTCATTGTTGCATCACACAATATTGCGTGATAGGACGTGTTTACCACACTGGACCACACCTCCCTCATTACAATACTACCTTCCACCCACTTTCTATACAATCTGATTGTACAATCTTCTATAGATCTCCTATCAGCTATGTAGTGCAAGAGCATGCAAGAGTTGATACAGATTGAATGAATTGTTCAGCTGTCTCCTGTTCCATAGTTCAGGTAAATCTAAAGGATATGGTACAAAGATTGTACAATCAGATTGCATAACTATTGCCAGCTTTATACAAATATATAGGAGGGAGTGGATGGAGACACTCATCTGTCAGGCCCTGTTCGCATCTCCATAGAGCAAAAACTCATGCATTTATTTTTTTGGGGTATTTTAGAGCGTTTTCACTCATCACTCATAGGGCAGATCATAGGGCAGACCATTCACCATTCACTGCCCTGCACGCAACAATCACCATAGAGAAGCTTTTTTGGAGCGGAGCATGGTGCATTTTTACCGCAGTTTTTGGCGCCTTTAACATGTATTGACAGCACGAACATGATACATATTGTCAGCGTGTTTCTGAAACGTATATGGCAAAGCACGCTCTTTTTGTGCAGTTTGCCATGCATTTGGAAGCACACAGATGTGAACAGAGCCTCATTGTTCTTGTGTAAATACAGCAATTTCATTTTCAGGTCCCATTCCTACCTAGTGTAGTGGGAGCACACGTTTTCTTTGCTAATTTTTTTTTTCCCCCACACACAAAGAGCAGCCCGTTGATTTCAATGAGTTGCCCTTCACGTGGAAAAGTAGCTCATAGGACATTTTGGCGCGTTGCGGTTTAAAAGTTTTTTCACTGTGTGTTTTGCTGTGTTTGTCACTCTTTTTTTCACGTGGCAAAATATGTTTGCTTGTGTGTTTGGGATGCTGCTAATAATTAATAGTCAAAAGTAAGATTAGTTCATTTTAGGTATATACAGATGACCATACACTATTCAATCTGATTGTACAATCTCCTTTAGATTTACCAAAAATATAGAATAGGAGGACACACCATCTATCCAATCAGGCAGACCCTTGCACTAAATAGTTGATGGTAGAGCTAAAGAAGATTGTACAATCAGATTGTATAATGTATGATGAGCTGTACAGACTTCCAGGACACATGTCTCCTGTTTTCAATACTACAACTCTATCCACATAAGCTGTTATCTGATCACTCAGCTCTTGCAGACTCTGCCAAATAAATGATCTATAAAAGATGAAGGTAAGAGAAGAAAAACAGTGAATGAGTGTTCAGTAAGAATGGTGATCACTGCATTAGATTTGCATGCACCTGTGTGTGAGCCATATCCTGGAGGGGAAGCCAGTGGCATGGTGTGTGTTAATGAGGTCAGCTGGTGTACTGCTTCCTGTGTCATACTGGCTTCCCCAACCTAAGGTCCATCGAGGAAGTAATGGAGACGGTCTCCATAGATCAGTCTGATGCCTAGGTAAGTGCTGGTGTGAGATATTACAGAACTCTTTATTTTTTTTTGCAAAAGAGGTACATTAATGCTTTATTGGTACATAGCGAAGCTAGAATTTAGAAAAAAAAAGTGAACTTAGCCATTAACCTTTTAGCTTAAAGTAGTTGTAAACCCTTACATATATCCAATGATGTGACTGGCCTCAGGTGATACACAGAGATGAAACAAATTCTTCTACATAAGTTGTACCTGTCTATCTGCAGTCTTCTCTTTTTAACAGCCATTCAAAGTGCTGAATTTTAAAGCTTGTCTGAGAGTCCAGAAAAAGGGGCGGAGAGCTAAATCACACAATGCAGAGCTCAATGAGGGGAGTATTGAATACTAATAGGAGGGAAGAGAAAAACCCACCCTCCACACAGCTCACAGGAACAGAGGGGAGCCTGTCAATCTACTGAAGGTCCCCGTCACCTTTTTTCTCTTGGTGTCAGGAAAACTTGTCTGAAGTGACTCACGCTGATAGAAGACGAACGAAACAACAGACAGAAATGACACTTCGTTCTCTTAATTGTTGTTTACAACCACTTTGATCTGGTGGGTTCGTAGATGACATTTTAAACATTCTTTTTTGTAAATTTCTTATTAAGTTTAACAGTTGGTACAAGACAGTAAAACACATCCACGGCGGTATTACAGAAAACAATAAAGTAAATGCCTTAAAAAAAGTTGGCAACGAACATTGTCTGGCCTAACACCAGAAAGCAAACAAATACTAGGACCAGTGAGGTGTAACCCACTGTAGGATATTCACAAACAAAGTGGTAGTGTAATGGTTCTGAGCCACGATCGGGTTCAGGTTTGGATGTCTGCTGCTGCTCCTAATTTTGAGGTGTGGATGCACGTGCAGTCGGAAATAATCACACTGACATCTGCTCAGTTCAATTACTTCCTCATCTCTGTTTATTGCAGGGCGGTGCCTAACCTTTTATACACAGAGAACAATGGAGTATACGTCACTGCTATGTAAAAACAGTCACAATCTAAAAGGCACATCTTGGTTGGCTGGAATACAGGAAGAAGGCAGGAACTTGATGCTTGAAGCTTGGTTGTCGCTTATTAACTCTTTACTTCCTCATACATCCAGGGCGTAGTCAGCAGGATCTTCACAGCTTGATGGGAGGGGTTGCTGAGCAGACATTTTTGAGTTAAGGAGGACTACAAAGCCCAGCAGACAAAAGATATACACACAACACATATATATATATATTCATACAAAATATTTAGAAATATGAAAAAGTATAAAAGTAGATATGTATAAAATGTATAGAAAAATGTATATATTCAACAGGAAACCAAATAGGCATTTTACCATATCCATCACAGTAGTCCAAGGCCCACCATCCCTCCCCACAATTACATCAGATTTCAGAAATATACCCCACACAACACAACCATGTGTGAAACATAAAAATAACCCAGAATATATGGATACACATACAGGGTAAAACATTTTGACTTGTTGAAGATCATGACTGGCAAGGCCCATGATACACCCAGCATACCTGCTCATACTCAACACAGATAGTGACTGATACAGGACTCAGACCATACCCTAATCAGAGACAGTGTCAGAGGAAGCTGTCCATCCACCCCATACCTTATCAAACTTGATAAAAGGCCCAACTACTTAGGTAGGCAGCCTAAAATGGAATTGCTTTATTTACCAAGGATTTCCACACTGCTAGAGTTGGTGCAGAAGATTTCTTCCATGACAAAATAACTAACTTCCTAGCATAAAACAACAGTAAAGTAAGGAGCATGTGTTTTTGCTTCAGTGATGGCCATTGACTCAACCAGACTCATCAGACAGACTTCAGTTGAAGACGGTACAGAAATAGAAGTAACTGAGGTAATACAAGTTAACACTGCCTGCCAGTAGGGCTTAATGCTAGAGCACTCCTAGAAAATGTGCATGAAGTCTGCTGCAGTTGCTGAACATCTCCAGCATAGGGAAGACTGGCCCCTGTCTATCCTAGCAAGCTGGGGTAAAATATGCCCTGTGCAAAAATGTATCAAACGGTCTCTAGTGGAAACAAAACAGCTGGACATTTTGAACCTTCTTAAGCTTTTTTTTTTTTAAAGGGAAAGTGTATGGCATATATTTGAGCTACCATTGCTGCATTGTTTTTTCTGAAACTGCCTGACTGTCAAACTGATCCAGTGTCTTTGAGTCATTTACCTGGAAAAAGCATACATTTCCAGTGTTCGGACTGCACTGCAGCATACTAATGAAGTATACAGGTTAGGCAGCATGGGTAGGAGGTGTGTGTGAGAGTGGATGTTTGTAAGAAACGTTAGACTTGGGCTTTTCTTCCACTTTAAGGCCCCATGTACATGGGACACTTCTGAACGATGGAAACTGACTGCTGGAAAATGTAGTTTAAAAAAAATGTCTGTTTAGCTGCGTTTGCATAATGCGTTTATGCAAGTTTGTGTTTAGAAGCGTTTTTTAAGGATTAGTACAGGAGAACCTCCCAAATGCCCAGAATGCACTGAAAAGTAGTAAATTATTAACTATTTCAGACTGTTTCAGAGGAATACAGAGAGTAGAAGCAGAGACAGCAGTATGTTTTGAGATAATTAGGTGTGAGTTGCTAATTAACATTTCTTTTGTTTCCAAGGGTAGGAAAGGTGTCTGGAGGAGTGAATCATTAAGGTCACCTGGCAGGGGGTCTTCATGAGGAAATTGAGGCATGAATGTCCATTAACATATCTTTGTTTCCAAGGGTGGGAGAGGTCTGAGGTGTGAATTTTTCATTACAATGTGTGACAAGCTTGGTTGGACATCCTGTGGTCAGTGTTTTGTCCATTTGAGTACCTTGAAAATGCTTTGCATGCATTTTTCATGATGAAAAAAGGCTCTGGGCGGCATCCGGTACTGGAAAAGTTAAAAAAAAAATTTCAAACGCAAACTATTATAAACACAATTTGCCGCGTTTAGCAACTTTTACAAGCGTTTTGCATTTGAAACGCTGATAAAAATTGACTGCTGAACGCAAGGTTTCTGTGTTCAAAAAAACTACTGTAAACGAAGATGTGTACATGGACACATAGGAAAACATTAGGGTGAGTTCAGGGGCTGCTGAAAAAAACGCTGAACAGTTCCTAAACGTGAGTTTATCAGCTGCAGTGTACATGAGCCCTAAGGATAATGATAGAAGAGGCAGCTTCCATTTTTGTATCGGAATAAGTCTACTGTAAAATATAGCATCAGTTTTAGTGCAGTTACACTTGTTGGAGTGCAATGGTCGAGCTCATCCCGTGTGAATGTGTGCTGCAATCTCTATTTAATTCTTTGGAGGATTTATTTTCCTTTAGGGCCAGTTCACACCACATTGAATTGCACATGATCACGCATGTTCATTTGAATAGGTTGCAAATCACACTGGATCGCAAAAAAGTGCATGCACTACTTTCCAAAAACACACTGCACCAAATCACATTGTACTGCGGTACCATGCGACCAGATGCAGGCAAACGCACTGTGTTTGCAATCTTCATTTGAGCTGCTGTTAACAATATGTTGCCACCTGCAGCGGATCCCAAAAGGAGTGTGTTTTGAATGAGGTGTGGCAAACACGAATGGAATATACCTTTCCCGCACAACATTCTGGTGTGAACTGGCCATAAGACAAGCAAGATTATGGTCTCTCCCAAGAGGCAAGACACTGAACAGTGGCTATGATCTCTTAATATCTTCTCCAATTGTTTTTATTAAAGTTTTTACAATTCATAAGTGAAACAATTCAAGATAAGACAGTACCAGTACACAATGATTACATTTTTATACATTCTTATACACAAATGTTCCAATGTGTAACCTGTTGGGCTGAAGTTGCATTCTACAAAAATAACTATAATAGTCTCCTAAAAGAATCCTCTTAAACGGGGGTCACCGTCGTCTGGATTTCTTCATTTCTAACTGTCGTAAAGTTTACTTTCTTTTTAATTTAGCCTTGCCACAAAGTATGGGTTATTCTTATTAATCCTTGTGTAATTCCTATGACCTGGGCATTGATAATTCCATTGGCATTGCTTTCATTGGGAGGTCATATTCCTTTCCCTCTAACCACCCATTTCAAGTGTGGGTTATACCCTGGAAAATGCCCACCTCTGAATATATAGATATGGGGTCAAGAGCTTTTGTGCTGTAGGACTCCTCTCCTGACAGTTAACTTCAGAGCTAATGCTTTTGTTTTTATTTCAAGATAGGGTTTACAAATCTGTAGATCTGTAGAAAGTATAAATCATTTTTGCTAATAATACAATGCTTTGGATTTGTTTCATCACACACAGGTGGCTCTGCGACCACAGAGCCCTGCTCAGTCTGGTAGACAACTTGCACTAAGGTTGTACAGCAAAGTTCGCCCACCTGTTGGTGGCATCTCAGTCAAAGAGCACTTTGAGGTAAAGTCTTTTTTTACTTTTATGTTTTGTAGTATTAGGTTTATTGTACAGTTTTATTCCTTATGTTTCAACCAAAATCAAAATGGAGAATTTCATGGGCTAAATAACAAAGTATATTCTACCACCTTAATGATAGCGTTCCAAAGTATTATGGTGCATTTTGCCTTATACATAGAACCCACAACATTAGCTAATGTCCCAATGCAGTCATGTATTCCCAGTGTCCTTGTACTTATCAGAACATGAAGACAAAGCATGATCAGCTTTAGCTTTCCTTTTCCTTGAGGTTTTTATTAATGCAAGTGTTGTATCTGCCTAGTTTTCTTTTTTTTTTTAATCCCCTGAAATCAGATATGGGTAAAGTGTTTATAATGGGCATTCGCAGTCTGCCTTATTTTATCTAATAACAAAATTATATCTTTCTTTGCAGGTGAATGTGGTGCCTCTCACCATCCAGCTGACACATCAGTTTTTCCACAGAATGATGGGATTTTTCTTCCCAGGACGCAGTGTAGAGGAAGAAGAGGTTGGGGATGAAGAAGATAAATCAAAACTTGTTACAACAGGTATGGACCATTTTGACAGTGTATAGACCTCAAATGAATACATTTGCTTAATTTTACAGGTACCTGTCTTATAGAAGTGATGGGTTGGGGGCTGCTGTGATCACTGTCAGCTGGGCAAACATGGTAGCAGATGTGATGGAAGTTATGTTCTGCAAATTTTGTGGACCTGTATGAATATATACACTGAAAAAAGTGCAGGCTCTGTAAATAGTATGTGTGTACTTTAGTCTTCTGCTGCTTAAAGATATGCATGAAGCTTACTGTTTTTCTTTCCATTCTCTTAGGGATGCCAGTAGTGAAACCAAGGCAACTCATTGCAACTGAAGACACAGTATCTCTTGGTCCAGGCAAAGGTGTTGGACAGGGTTTAAATCGAACAACAGGAGTCAGACGATCATTTAGAAAAGCACCAGAGGTATGCCGTAAGAACCATGTGGAACATGAAAGTCTTGTGCAATACACTATAGGTCTCTGCTTAAAGGTCAGCTTCACTTATTCTATAGCCCCAATCCCCATCCCTAGCCCCCTAACTACCCTTAGCTGAACAGTTTTCCCGGGTGCTTACTTTCCTCCCCCAATGATGGTGGCCTTCTGTTTTTTCCATTCCAGCTGGTAAAAATCAAGTGTTTTGCTGCATGTGCTCGCACTGTTATGGTCCCATAGACTAGAATGGGCTGCTTCTCTTGCCATAGGGTTACGTTTCTTTCAGGTCTATGGGATGTTTCTGCATTAGTGTGGACAGCTTGGCACTAAATTTATATTGGCCGGATGGAAACAACTTAGGAGGCTGCCTCTAATAGATGTAGGTAAGCAACCTTGATGGAGAATTCTTCAACTTAGAGTAGTTTAGGTGACTAAGTGTAGAGTGGTTGGTAATCATAAAGTGAGATTGTCCTTTAACCAGTTCAGCTCTTTGAATGTCTGTATGACCATTCAATCACTTTTACAGTACAGGCAGTGCAGATCTGTGCCTGTTTGGATGCTCTGGAGGGGAGGAGAAAATTGGGTCTAATAGACCACAGTGTCTCCATAAAGAGTAACTGCCATTATAATATAATAAAAAAACAAAAGATTTTAAACATAACCCCCATTGCCCTGCACACACCCACAAATCAAATACATGCACAGGGTGCACACGTGTACATAAACCACAATTGCACCACACATGGGAGGTATCCCTGTGAACGTCAGAGTGAGAGCAATAATTCTAGTACTGTAGCTCACAGTTAATTCTAAACCAATGCGCTATAAAGGCTTTTAAAGCATTGCCTATGAACATTTTTGGGTACCATATTTTTTGTAATATCAACACGCTCGCGCAATTTTAGGACTTGACATCTTGATGCCACTTCATTTTTATTTTACAAAAAAACCGATGCGCTATAAAGGCTTTTAAAGCATGGCCTATGAAAATTTTTGGGTACCATATTTTTTGTAATATCACACGCTCGCGCAATTTTAGGACTTGACATCTTGATGCCACTTCATTTTTTATTTTACAAAAAAATAGGATATTGTGTTTTGCGCTAAAATTTATTTTATTATATTTTTTTCATGAAAATATGCACTTGCTAAACAGTTGCACAAATATTGTACGGCAAAAAATTGCACCTACTTTTATAAAAATTGCAACCATCATTTTATTCTACAGGTCCTCTGCTTTTAGAAAAAATATCCTGTTCAGTGGGTAAGTAATTTTATAGCCAAAAATGCAGATTTTTCATGTGTGCAAAAGTAACAAAAAATCGCTCTTATGTCGAAGTGCCTAAAGTAGTTATGCATAGGGTTTATTATTTGCCTTCTTGGTAACAGAATTGCATAAGCTTGGGATGGCCACCTCTTGTCATAACTGGGTTAATTCTGATCTCATAGGGGTTGATAATTGTTGGCACATATTATCACAAAGGAAGATTTTCCAACTTGCTTATAATCTTCCCGTGACTGAAAGATAGTAGTGCATGTGCTCCACTCTTAACTGTTGGGCAAATATTGCATCTGGTTCTTGTGCTTGCTCAAAAATAGGGAAATATTTTTCTACCCATCGCTTTTAACAGGATTTCTGCTGTTCTTTGGCCATCCTTGGATTTTGTGTGTAGAGCCAGAAAGTTAAATGGAGGTAGTGGGCTCTCCTATACTGAACATCATCCCAAAAATCTACCAAAATCAACCTTGTTACCTGTTCATGGTGAACTAAAAGCCTGCATTCTCATCTATACATTATCTACATTCTTATCAGTATTCATTCAGCACAGAACAATGAGTCTACTGTACTGCAGGTTATACAAAGAGAAGTTAGTATGATTTCTGATATAACCCTTTCCACCGTGTCACACTAAAGGTTTTATTCTATTAACCACTTCCAGACCGGACACTTTTACCCCCTTCCTGACCAGGGCAATTTTCAGCTTTCAGCGCTATCACACTTTGAATGACAATTGCGCGGTCATGCAACACTGTACCCAAATTAATTTTTTACCATTTTTTTGAGACAGATAAAGCTTTATTTTGGTGGTATTTATTCACTGCTGGGATTTTTATTTTTTTTGCTATGTAAATGAAAATGTCCAAAAATTTTGAAAAAAAAGTGTTTTTTTTTATAAAATTTTGCAAATAAATAATATTTCATCATAAATCTTTGCCAAAATTTATTCCGTTATCTTTTTAGTAAAAAAAAAAAATCCAAATTAGTTTATAACCAAAAATTATAATTTTTAAACCTTTTTTATTTACATTTTTATTTTATTTTTTTATATTATTATTTTTATTATTTTTTTTTTTTTTTTTTTTACATACTGTCACCCTAGCAGTACAGTGTCACCATGATGACACTGTACTACTTGTGGGGGTGATGAAGATTTTTTTTTTTTTTTTTTTTTACACATTGCTTTTACACCCATATAGGCTGTAAAAGCAATCATTTCTCTTTCTCTCTGTGTGCATTCTTGCACTCATTGAGAAGTACTGAGTGAGCTGTGATTGGTCACAGCTTTTCACATGGTGCAAGCCTGTTGTGAATAGGCTTGTACCATGTGACCTCTGTGATCATTCACAGATTTCACACGTAGTAAGCAATGATGTCAGTAAGCAGTAGTAGTGACATCTTGCTTACTACTTTGCATGTGATCACTGATTGGCCAATCAGTGATCACATGATCGGGACCTCATACAGAGGTCCCGTCCGACCGGTGTTTCACTGTGTCCGGAGGACACAGCGGGCACCGGCTCACGGTGCTGCGCGCTCCCAGGGAGCGCACACAAGCAGGGTGCGAGGAGGCCGTTTATAAACGGACACCCGACCCTGCAGTGCCACCGTCCGGCCATTTATATACAACGGCCGGTCGGGAAGTGGTTAAATAAATATATAAGCCTCGTGAAAGCCTATATGGCCTTATACCTTACCTTTTTTGCAGTGCAGGTCATACACAGGCTAAGGTGAATAAGGTGCTACACAACAATTCATTTCTGTGTCTGTACTCCTAGCAACCTGCAGCTGGAATACTTTACACACTGTAAATGAAAAGGAGCCCCTGCAACGTTTTGTTTTTTTTATTTCTGGCCCTTTCCCTTACAGTCTCTCAGCAGGTGTAGAAGGCTATCCTCCTGTATCATACACATGGGGCTGTATATATGATACACAGAATATACATCCACTTTTATGCCAAGCAAGGTATGGTATGTCATTTTCTGAGATTATCTGATGGGGATGTGTTGGTGCATTTCTCTGCAGAATCTCTACCTACATGGCAGATATATATTTATGTATAACAGGACTGCAGAAAATTGTTAGTAATGAGTAATATGTTTAAATTAGACGTCTCCAAACTCTAATGTGTGTCTTCCTTTTCTTTCAGCATCCTGTGGATGATCTGGACAAAATGAAAGAGCGAGCTGCCATGAACAATTCATTTATCTACATTAAAATCCCACAGGTGCCTCTCTGTGTCAGCTATAAGGTGGGTGCACTTAGTGCTGATCTTCTGATGGCATTATTTGATAAACTCTGTCCTTGGCACCCAGCACAGGGGTAGATAATGTTCTCCATTCGAAATCAATGTGACCCTGCTGAAAAATAAAATGAAAAAAAAAAAAAAAAAACAGTTCCCCCGGTAATGAACCTGGCTAATTGCTTTTGTTGACCCCAAGTATAAGCAGGCACATTTGATGCCTAGCAGTTTCCTCCTCAGACAAAACATTCATGTTCTGTGGATATTTTTGTAAAGACTTTTAAACGTTCACATTACACCTGCACATCCTGCAGCATCTCTGGGTAGTTTTAGGCTGTGCATCTATTAGCAGCATCCTTTTTTTCTGTTGGCTTCCCCCTTTTTTCCATAGTAAAGAAAATTATTGTAGTCCCTTTAAAAAGTTGGATTAGCCCTATCTGTGCTCCCATTGGGCAGAAGCGCTTGTTATTACACTCTAGAAAAGCTGTATACAACCCAGTTATCATTTGATCTTTGGAAGCTATGCTTTATTTCTTGCAAGAGGACTTACTGTTTTCTGTCAGTATCTCTATAGCTGTATTGAATTCAGAGAATTTCAAACTAGTTATTGTTTTGTATTATTCATGATCCATTGACCCCCGGCATACTGTTACATGCTCCAACATAAGCCTAAATCACTACTGTATTTAACAAGGAATTTCATCTGCAGTGTAATGCAGCTTGTTTGGCTAAGCAGCAAGGCAAGGTCAATGGATTTTTAATTGCTCGGTCCTACAGTAGCTAGACATTATTACAAATTCTTTTTTGTGACATACTTATAGGGTGAGAAAAACAGTGTGGACTGGGGAGACCTCAATCTGGTGTTGCCTTGTCTGGAATATCACAATAATACTTGGACGTGGCTGGATTTTGCCATGGCAGTGAAGAGAGACAGTCGCAAGGCTCTGGTTGCACAGGTGAGATTAGCTCTGCTCAAGCTGTAAATAAATGTGTAAATCTGATCAGATTAGAACAAATTAGGTTTTTATTTTTTGAAAGACATTTGTCCATCAACCATAACAATGTGATACAGTTTTCTTTATAGGAAAAAATCCTTCCTGATTTCTAAAGGCAACTAAATTGACTCCCTTGAGCAACATTCTTCATTATTATTACAAGTTGATATTTAGAGTGTGTTTTTCTGCACATGGGATTCATTTTAATAGCAGCGGTATAGCTTAGCCGCAGAGCTGGAAAGTAAAAAAAAAAAAACCCTACAGCACCCTTTTATAAAGCACAACTGTAATGGAACCGGACCCAGACCGCGCTAGGGTATTTCCGTTAGACTCCCGCTTCCCTGTCCGAACACACATTCCCGGACACCACCCTGACCATACAGGAAATAAGACAGGACCAGAATCTTCTTAAGACAGGAAGCCAACTGCTTTATTTTAACACAAACACAAGATATATACACGGGGCGGGGAAATACAACCAGGTACAGGAAACACATCCGCAGGCCCTCCCAGCAGGGGGAAGGGCTGCAGGAAACACCCCCCCACCAAACCAAGTCACAGAACAATGGGATGCAGCACATGGCAGTGAACAATGGAACAACCACATGGCAGTGAACAATGGACAACCCCCACACCCATATTAGAACATTTCACCCTGTACCCCCTAACAGGCACAAGGTGTCTTAGACATAAGAGGGATTTGGAAAGATGATACAGGGGTCCCCCCACCCCCAAAAGTCACTCCCATCACAACAACAATGTGCTTTACACATGTACTCTACACTCTGTTGGCTTTAGTACTTTGAAACCAACGGAATGCATTGAAATTAATATATGTTTGGTGAAAAAAAGAGGAGAGCCTGATCATGTGACCAGTCAAGCCATATGACTAGTTCTTCTCCAATCATGTATAGATGAATCAGAGTGACTTGCGAGCCACAGGTGTGATAATTACTAGAGGATCGCAAACATGAAACACATAACTACAATTGTGTTGGAAATATCTACAAATATATGTTGCGCTCCTAAATACTTCTCAATAAATAATAATTAAATTATTACCATTAAATTAATTCAAATTATGATACAAATAACTAATAAAAGTGTATAAATACCAAAAAAAATTTAAATAGATAATTTCAACTAATCAATCTCCTCCAAATAAATATCAAAATAATTCCAAATGAAATACTCCTCTAAAAAATATTTTACCAAGTGCTCATAAATCATCTATTAGTGACATGATGTACTTACTAATACCCTCAATTTCATTTATATTCATAATACCCTCATTTAATATAATAAAAAATAATAAACCAACTAATAACCCTCAACTAAAACGCATTTAAATGATCCCCCATAAATAAAAATAACCAAATGCTCATAAATAATTAGTAGTGATTAGTATGAATCCAAATATCATCAAAATAATAGTCCCATTGAATAAACATTTGTTTATATATAGTGACTTGGTGCTTGTTGTTCTTCAATTTGTGACTTTTGTGAATCCTTCAAATAGTGAAGATGTGCGCTCACCTCCTTTGATGCCTGCAATTAGGCTATACACGCTTTCGGTTCACTTTCCCTGGAGCCTGCTGGACATATACTTTTGTTGGTAAAATTGGGAGATCCTTCCTTTAGGAGTACACACTCCTTTTGTTATCTCAGACCTCCTAATTATCCTCTCCTTGTGTTACTCCGCATGCAGGAAGAAATAGAGGACATAGCGCTTTACTTTTTAAAAACTTTTTTATTCCCACGCTTTACTTTTTTATTCCCACCATCCAAGTATTAAACTCACATTAGACAGGTTTAAATAACGCAATATCTCATTGGAAATCCTCTGCTGGCCTCTGAGTCATACACCTGCCGTCTATCTATCGTGTTGTGCAGCTCCTCTCCGAGTGATGACGTAGCCCCTCCCCTACGCGTTACGCCTCCAATCACGTGGCTTCATCGGGGTTGTGATAGGTCCTATCCTCGGAGAGGAGCTGCACAACACGATAGACGGCAGGTGTATGACTCAGAGGCCAGCAGAGGATTTCCAATGGGATATTGCGTTATTTAAACCTGTCTAATGTGAGTTTAATACTTGGATGGTGGGAATAAAAAGTTTTTAAAAGGTAAAGCACTATGTCCTCTATTTCTTCCTGCATGCGGAGTAACACAAGGAGAGGATAATTAGGAGGTCTGAGATAACAAAAGGAGTGTGTAATCCCTGAGGGGATAATCAGCCACCAGAGGATACATCCATTACTCCTAAAGGAAGGATCTCCCAATTTTACCAGCAAAAGTATATGTCCAGCAGGTTCCAGGGAAAGTGAACCGAAAGCGTGTATAGCCTAATTGCAGGCATCAAAGGAGGTGAGCGCACATCTTCACTATTTGAAGGATTCACAAAAGTCACAAATTGAAGAACAACAAGCACCAAGTCACTATATATAAACAAATGTTTATTCAATGGGACTATTATTTTGATGATATTTGGATTCATACTAATCACTACTAATTATTTATGAGCATTTGGTTATTTTTATTTATGGGGGATCATTTATATGCGTTTTAGTTGAGGGTTATTAGTTGGTTTACTATTTTTATTATATTATATGAGGGTATTATGAATATAAATAAAATTGAGGGTATTAGTAAGTACATCATGTCACTAATAGATGATTTATGAGCACTTGGTAAAATATTTTTTAGAGGAGTATTTCATGTGGAATTATTTTGATATTTATTTGGAGGAGATTGATTAGTTGAAATTATCTATTTAAAAATTTTTTGGTATTTATACACTTTTATTAGTTATTTGTATCATAATTTGAATTAATTTAATGGTAATAATTTAATTATAATTTATTGAGAAGTATTTAGGAGCGCAACATATATTTGTAGATCTTCTCCAATCATGGAGGGCTGTCTTTTCTTTCTTCATTGCTCCACTGTCTGTCTTGCTTTTACTTTTCCCTCCTCTACTCTTTCCCTGTTCTTCTTCTTGGTGACCCAAATATTAGAGTTTATATGACAGATTTAGCAAAAGATGGCTGAAAATTCCTTCCTACTCTTTCACTTGGCTGGGTGGCTGTTTTTTTTTTCCCTTTCTATGGCTTCTGCCCTCAGCTGGTCTCTCATTCACTACCTGAACCCTTTCTCTCAAAGATGTAATGGGTTCTTGGGCTTTTTACAGTATCCAGCATCTGTCTTTTTCACAAGCCCTAGGGCCGCCACCAGTTTTTTATTTGTATGTTTCAGAACTTTTTTTTTTTTTTTTTTGGAACAGGTGGCTGTTTGGGCCTCCAGTTGATGATGATCCATGCTTCTGCCACACAGCACTTCTGCTGTTGATCGTTTGGGTCAGTTGACCCTACTTGCCCTTTTTTTGTGGGCGTGTTGCTGCCATTTTCTGGCAGTTTTGTTGCCCATCCCCTGATTTATTGTTTGGGGGCATATCATGGAAGAATCAATTCCTGTGTCCTGTAGTATACAAAATATAGAATATACAGGTACATCAACATTAAAAATGTTTAACTACATTTCCTCAGTCTAATGCCCAGTATCACAATACCTACATCTTTTGAGCCCAGGTTGTCATTGAACACCCCAAGCTTGTGATTGGACAGTAAAAATGAAAGCAGTAATGCGCTCAGTGATCTGTCACTTTGCTCCCTTTCTGTCAGCATGCTCCTTGTCAACACATGAACTGTTTGACTCATTGTGCTACTTATTCCTACCACTCTAACTCTGCTGTACAGGGCCCGAAATGAGGCTGATGGCATGTCAGTTAAATGTGTATTCATATCAGAGCTGCATTAACCATGCTTTTATATTAGCTAGAATTTACAATACTATTTTCTCTCTTACATTCGTTCAACGACACAGCCTCTCTTCAGTATTCATGACGAAATAGGGTTTTATAGCCCCACCTACAAGAGTAGGACACTAGGCAGAAAAAAATACTTGGCCCCTTCTATGGGCAGTCCTATCTGGGCATAAAAACCCCCTCTCTGCTATAGGCCTCCAGTCATTTCTGCCTAGTGTCTTCAGGAGTATGGATGTACTTTTTGATGCTGGGACTACATGTCCCATAGCTTTCTTATTCTTTCCTGGGATTTTTTCTGTTTCTGTGGAGATCTTCTATCCACAGTCGGGTTGGATGGCGGGCTGGATAGTCTAGATCCAGTGGTCACCCCAGTTTGACCAGCGCGCGCAGACCGCTAGCTCTGTGCTCGGTTGGCCATGACTATGCCCAATCTTAGATCGGGGCGGCCAGCAAGTTAAACGTCTCTTGGGGCACACATGACCAGGCACCTATAGTCTGTGTCACAGTGTTACCCTTTCCAACAGCCCACCCACTTAGGTGGAGACGAGGATCTGTCATGGGAGCCTTACCCGCTTGCTCCAAAGGATTGGTAAGTAGATGCCCCCCTCTTCTTTCCCTGGACACAGTGTGGGGTGCAGGTGCTCCCTGGTGTGGTCGGTCCTGCTGACTCCCTTCCTCCCATACAAGCCTGGGCTCCTGTACTACACCCCTTCCCTGCTGTGGTGGTTAGGTGTACGATGGTGTTTCTCTGGGGTCACAGTGTTGCCTGATATCTGATTGCCCTGCCTGTGTCCCTGTATAGATGGGCAGCCCCTGGTCTGGGCCAGGGGGATCAGCCAGGGCTTTGGTGTGTGCCCTGCGTGTGCGCACCTTTCTCCTGCCCTCAGTTGGGTATGCTTAAAAGTGAGTTGGAGAGACACCTGTTGACCTTGGTACTACCTCCCTCGGAGATATCTGCCTCTACTACTGGCTTCTGCAGGATGGATATGTTTTGGACCCCCCCTTCCTACCTGGGTTGCGGTACGTCACTGCAGGTCTCTGCACCATGTGGTCGGGCCTTCCCCAAAATCTAGCCTGGGGCTTTGCAGCCTACTTGGCAGTGTCGTCCTGCCATTTTGCCTGTGGGCAACTGCCCTGTCTCTTATGTCATATCCGTCTACGTGCTGTCCTGAGCCAGAGGTGGAGGTGCCTGGGGCTGGCGCCATGAGCTGAGGGGTGGGACTCGGTGGGCGGTGTTCTGACGAATGGTCACACTGCCATCTTTATTGTGGGCACTGTCCCTTCCTCACCTCCCGACCACAGCCAGTCCTGGTGTGTTTCGGCACATGAGGGGTTATGCTGCTGCATGATGTTATGCCTGTGTGCTGAAGGCGCTACACACGGTTGGTTGCTGAGGGTCTGCCGCAGGGCCTTGACCAGCTGAGCCTGCTGGAGACATTGGGGGGTGACCTGCAGGTTGCAGATTCCCAATGCCAGCTAGCAATCCTTTGGGCATACAAAAAAATAATAATAATTACAGGAATGATATCCATCTGCGGCCAGTTTTCCTAGCAAGTGAGTGCGGGCAGTACAGTGGCTGGATGCTTTGCCCTTCTCCCTGGGGTTACGCAGCTCCTGGAACCATGCCTAGTCTGTACATTCTCATGACCCTGGTGTGTTTTCTGGGCTCCCCTTTCCGGTCATGCATGCATTTCTCTTTTTTGATGGACACAGCACCCATCCCCCCCCCCCCTTCATTGGAGTTTACTCCTTTAACACTACTTGTGACTGACTGAAGGTCTGTAGCAAAGGGGGGGGGGTCATGCTGAGATGGGACTGCCCATAGGAGGTGCAGAGTCTTTTTTTTTTTTTTTTTCTTCACTGCCTAGTGTCCTACTCCTGTAGGTGGGGCTATAAAACCCTGTTTGGTCATGAATACTGAAGAGAGGCTGTGTCCGTCAATGAATTCAGAGAAAGAGATTTTACAGTGCGTAACAAAAAATCCCATTTTTATCTTGTTCCAACAGTCTCTAAGGGCCTGTTCGCACCCTCATTCCGTGGTACAGGCCTCAATGCAATGCAGTGCTTTCATGCTGAAGGAACCCAAATGCACCATGACAATGGGATTGCATTGCAATAAGCTGCCAAACATTCTAAATGCATCTATTTTGATGCATTAGACAGCCTATTAAAATAAATGGGCTGCCTTAAAGCAGAGCTCCACTTAAAAGGGGAAGCTCTGGTTGTCTGCCACAGGGGGAGCAGGTACCTGGTTTTGGGGAAGTTCGGCCCCTCTCCTTAACCCTCCCCCACCCCACACACACACACCCCCAGGTCCCAGAAGACTGCGGGACCAATATCAAGGCGCAGCGCAACTCATGCATGTGCAGTAGGAAACTGGCTGTGAAGCCTCACTTGCATTGCCAGCATCGGGAACCCGGAGGGTAGTGAAGAACTAGTCCAGGTGACAACGGCACTAGACCCCTGGACAGGTAAATGTCCTTTATATTAAAAGTCAGTAGCTATAGTATTTGTAGCTGCTGACTTTTAATTTTTTTGGGGGGACCCTGTTCACACCATCATGCTGCGGTATGTGCCTTGGTATGATACACCGCTATTGATTTTGAATGAAAACGCAACACACCTTGCCAAGGGATATGCGTTGCAGCACACCTTGAACTAGCCTGCCTACTTGCACTGCGCTGCCAAAAATGTTAAATGCACCTATTTGGTGCATAGTTTGGTTACATAGCCTGTTCAAATGAATGGGCGGCCTTAAATTAGTTCATTTTAATGCGCATGCTCTAATGCAGTGTAGTGGTGTGAATGGGCCCTTAGTGCAATCATATGTTATAGAACATATTTATCTTTTTGTATGTTAACAATGCCAGCTGTTACTGATTAACCTATACTGTGCAGGTCATTAAAGAGAAACTACGACTGAAACCTGCTGCAGGTGCAGAGACAAAAGGCAAGACTGAGACAAAGACTGACATGAATCAACAGGAGGAGGACGAGAAGGCGAGACTTCTCATTGGACTCAGTATGGCTGATAAAAATACTGGAAAGAAATCCATATTTGGCAGAAGGAAATAAACTATGGACATGTATTGGATGGCCTTTTTGGCTGTTTAGCTCAGAGGATTACTTACTGGATGTCGTGTCCTAAGCATTCTGTCCAAGACAGAAATGTGGACAAATTATCTGTGAGAAGATAAGCAATGTCTTACCGCTGTTGAGGCTACCAGTTTTGCTATATGGAAAAGCTTGTAAAATCATTATGGGGCATTATTTCTCCCTATTCTAGAAATGCAGTATTCCAGAAGATCTTGCGAAGTTTAGGAGCCCTACAAATCACCAAGTTCATATCAACTTGTCTTTTCTCCTCTCTGTAGGATCCAGATCAAACTTAAATATATTTGGCTTTTCTTGCATGACAGCCCCTAACTTGGAGTGTTGCCACGCCTATCAATTGGAACTGGAAATGGAGTTAAATGGCCCTGCTCATTGTTCTCCTATCTCTATCCATCCTGTTGGAAGTTACTGGAAGGATATTGTGATCCCACATAGGTTCATTATTTTTGACCAAGTGGATGTCAAGCAGTTAAAACTAGAACTGTAGAATTTAATACTGCTCAATAATTTTGTTTCCTAGAATAATTGAGACTGTTTTTTGGCCTTTAGAAAGCACTGGAGAGGTGTTTATGGTTCATTCTAATTTTATTGCATATCCCAGCTGATACACAAGACAGCTTATGGCATAGTAGCTGTCATGGAGGATCAAAAAAGTGCAATTTTAGTTTTGTAGGAAGGATGGAAAGAACCAAGTACATTCAGTGAATGTTCTATCAGAGGGTAGTTATCCCGAGACAACGGGTCACACAGCTAGCAGTATGCCCTGTGATTATACCTGTATACATATTTAAGGTGAATATCCAAGAGCAGCACCTGCTTGAGCACTTCCTAGGAACACCAACTGGCACAGTAGAGATGGCACTTTACAGCATATCTGTAAAGTTCACTTACTTTTCTTTAATACTGCATTTACTGTTCTTGGTCCTCCCCTTGTTTGCTAGCAGTGCACAGTAAAACACATGTGAATATGGTAAGTAAGATTGGAACAGAACGCAAAGCTAATTTAATATCAATGTGGTGATGTGCTGTACCTTGACAAACCTTCATCTTGGTTTTAAAAGTTCTGAGTTTCCAGACAAATGGGTGCAGCCTTCCATTTATTTTGTCATGTTAGAATTTCTCCATGTTGTTGTTTGGAGAGCTATGTGGATTTAGTCATGCTAAACCTTTCCTCTGAGAAGGACAGGTTGTAAGATTTTCTACTTAAACCATGGGACACTATGAGATCTGTTTAAAAATAATTTCACCTTTGATTAACACAATATTCTCCCAGGATGTAGACATTTTTCCAATAGAATTAAATTTGAAAAATGTGTAAATCTTGTGCGCAAAGAAATTTGAAGTAGGCTGCTATGTGTCTCAGGATGTTAGTGCACATTATTAGATGCTGAGCAATGTTCAGGCTTTGCCGTTTCAAATTTACTTTTAAATCCTTGACAAGCCATAAATGAGCTTTAAAAAAAAGGCTTACGTAGCCTTTCTAGCAGTAGACACTAGGGAGTTGTTCATCCTGAAAGATCAAAACAGAGACTGTGAACTCAGGTTTGCTGTCCCTTTATAAACAGCACCTGCTATTTCATTACAACAGAACACTTCCAAGCTGCCATCATCCTGTTGCCAGAGGAAGCAAAGATTGGTACCATATACTCAGGAGCAATAGTAAAAAGTGTCCAAATCAAAGATGAGCTGCAATTTCAGTGCCTCTCTCTTAAATTTTATAAATCATTTCTCTACAGTGCCTATTGCTACATGGGTCAGTCAGTTTTTTTTTAAAGCTCATTTACTGCTTGTTAAAAATATGGAAATATTTAAGTATCCAAAGCATGTACACATGTTCACATTAATAAATCAAAGTTTACATATCACCCACAAAATTAAATAAACAGCCTCCCAGAATATCACTGAATGGGGGGAGCCCATTGCATCAATGAATGGTGCAGAAAGCCACTTATACAGAAGCTTATGGAAATCACTTAGCATCACGGGTTTGTTTGCTGTGCGTTACTGCTCATCACTGCTGCTAACACCATGTTACTGTCTTTAAGGTCTATATGTGATATTCAATTAACTAGCTTCCCTATGATAATAGATGATATAGTCCAGCAATAAGGACCAAGTAAATGCTGCAAGTATGATGCTATACTAATGACTTGACCCACTAGACATGCTTTGATGTGAACACACTCCCTTTCTCCAATAGACAGACGGACCCTGATACATGAAGTATAAGCTCCCTGTTTAACCACTCACTATCCAAACAAAAGGCCGCTGCATGTTGCCTTCACTCTTTTTTGCCTCACTATTAACACTGTTGCTGCCGGAAGGATCTGTTTCTGACCTCACTAGCTGCAAGCGTTTATGTGACAAACGTCTAATGAACATTTAATGAAAATAGCTTCCTGATAAAATATTTATTTTTCCAGAGATTCATTTGTAATTCTGATATTTCTGATATCATTGTTCTGTTGCTGACTCTTTGGCTTTCCCCTATCCCTTGTGCCCTTACTCCTATTTTTTATTAACACAGATTTAGGGGCTGTATATTTCTGGGGTATCATGCCACCAGTGTGGTAGGCATGGACTTCAAATATCTTTGTAATAATACATTAATGATAATGGTGTAAGAGCATTTCCAGAGGTGGTGTAACTTTTTATAAATGTATATATACATATTTATATGCATTGAGGTGGGGCTGGGTGCAGTTGTTGCTGCTACTTAGGTGTATAAACTCCTGCTCTCATCTGCAGACATTTGCACTTTTTGGTACGGATTGCTCTCCACCAATGATGATTAAAAATCATATTGTTACTTTTAAACATAAGCTGGCGTCGTGTGTTTTATTGTGTGCCGTATTCTAGAAATGTCTAATATGATAACTAGAATATTGTTTGAATGTACCTGTTAAACATACATCATGGAGGGAGACTGCATGGACTAAAAGTTCCCAAAGAAAAACAATGAAGAAAACGTGGATTGGGTGACAATTTAACGTCTCTGCATAGATTTCTTTATGGCCAGATCAAAAAAGTAAGTACAAGGACATATTCTGTATCAAAAGATAAGCTTTTTTTTTTTTTTTCTCATTCTAGCTAGTACATTATCATGAACCAGCAGCATGACAACAACATCACTCTATTGCAAAAATACTATGTTTCAGGTTCAAACTGACCCTTTCTCAAGCAGGATATGGTGCCTCATAAATACCAATATAGCCTGCATTGGAAAACCTGTCATGATTGCTACTGTTCCCACTAATAAGCTGGCATTTACAACATCCTTCCCCTATTCCCTTTTCATTTTTATAAACGTATATGTTTGGCAGTATTAAAGTATGCTGCATTATGAAGTTTACTTATAGCCTGGGGGTGCTCAGATCATGCCTGCACATTAAACAGCCCATAGAACTATTTGGCTAGGTTAAACTGTATCTCTAAGCAAAACATTTTTTTTTCTTTGGTTTTGGATAGAGCGGAGAAGGGTTAAACCTTCCATCAAGGTTTCATTGCTGTCTGTGTCGGTATTACACAGACTGACCTCTCTGTACAGGTGACAATTGTTACTGAGAGACTCCTAAAGTACTTACCTTCCCTGCATTTCCTCTAGTCAGTCGCTAGAAATACCCTGTTCTTTGGGTATGGGGGAACATTTGATGCTCCTTTTCCACCCCCAATGCAGTACTTGCCTGAGTGATTAATCATAAGACCTGAGCACTGACACCTGGAGGTGGGGAGGTCCAGCTTAGAGTTTACAAAGGACTTTTCACCCACGATTCTGATATATGAACACAGCAATGGCAGAGCACAAGGTAAGAAAAGTATCAGTTGCAAAGAAGCTATATTGAGAACCTGCTGCTTTATCCTAAATGAGAAAGGTGATTTGTTCACGATGTTTGGAAAACTATGTGTAATAATGTCTTTTCTTTCCCATAGACAAAGGGACACATGAAATAATATACTGTTGGGTTATACTGCCACCTGCAGGAGGATAGGACATTGGCAAAGAAAAATTGTGTAGGCCAGCCCATCATAATCTTTCCTATTCTCAGCATGCCTCAGTTGTTGCTGGAGTCCTAAGAGGATGTAAGTCAAACCTTTTTTTGAGGGGTTTTTTTTTTTTTTATCAATTCTATAGTCAAGATTCTTTGCTACATCACTGCTTAAACTGGTCTATACTATTGCAGCTTTTCTGCTTGGCCTTTCTCTAGCCTAGCTTTGGAATGCAATACCCACACCCCGCTGGACTGAACGTTGTGGGGCTAATCTGGAAGTATTCATCAGGCACTGGGTTGCACATTAGATGTTTTCCACACTTTGTTCTGGTAAAAACGCAGCCACAGAACACTCTCCAGAGTCCAGAGCCTTTGGCGTTGCATCAGTACTTGCCCTGTCTTTTAAGATCCACTCTGTGAATAGGCAGATCTTGCTGAGCACCAAGAACTACCTCGTTCTTAGGACTGCTAGGCCTCCTTAAATTTCCCGCTTCCATTGGCATTCTGCAGAGGTATTTAATTATGAACGCCTAAGCATTGACATCTGCTGGTTGAAAAGTCACACTCCGTGCTCCCTTTTCTGCCATTTGGCATTGAGGAAGCATCACCCTGCTGCTGCCCCTGCTTTGTAGAGCAATGTGAACCTCAGATCTGCAGTCTATTCCTGTTGTCTGTTTATAGTGACTTTGGTCACTTTTGGCCACAAGACTCTCACCAGCTACCAGCTTCTGGGTTTTTGTAAGGTCCTGGTTTGTAAGCAGAGCTCAATTTTATTGTAAGATGCCTGTGTCTTATTACAGGTGGAACAGTCTTGCAATCGGTGACCCCAGCTCCCATGGTTACAGGCATGTTTTTGCTCTGTTTCTTCTGAAAACAATGAGTCCTCCATAGTTGTGTCGAATGAGGCCGAGTCCCAGGGCATCTACTGCATTCATAGAAGGATGGTGTTGTGTTAACCGCAGAGGCTTTAAG